GGCGCCTGCACTAGACACGCCGATCATGATGTGTGGCATGCCGGACACACGGAAAAATACACCCCAATCTCATCCCCAAATTCAAGCAAAACTCCACAGAGAAGACCCTATTATCTGCGCACCAATATGTCGTGGTTACCTTTACCCAGGAGGCGTATAAACCTTCACAGTTTGTGACGTTGAAAATGCATTTATTTCGGGGTCATGGTGGGTGGGTGGGTCGATGGATGTTGACTTTCCGATTCATTTATTACCAACCCTCTTGTGTCCAGACCTGTACAGTAAATGCCAAACAATACAGTCAAAATGAAAGTCTGGTGGGGTAAAAATTTATAGAACGTTTTATATTCAATATTCTCATAGGCTGATGTCAGCATTTTGAACATTGAAATGACATGCAGGTTTTATATGGGTAAGGTACTAGTATCCAGCTGGAAATGTCCTACATGTTATATATTTTTGCATACAGTTATACAGAACACATTTTAGGTAAAAGGTGGATTCCATTTTTACTTGAGTCAGATGCAAATTTGCAATGGCCAGGAAATGAGATAAATTGTGTACATAATGCAATGGCTTAATAATGTTATTATTTCAAACATTATGATGGAGTGGGTTTCTGTAGCTGCATGGTGTGGCCATCCTTTTGGTCTGTGTGTGTGTGTGTGTGTGTCTCTTCCTTGTGTGAAGGGGTTGAAGTCTGCTATCCCTGCTTGCCATATTTGTGATGTCAGACTCAGAGAGTTGACATCACTCGTATTTGTCTTAAGACTTGAGTGTATGCTATCATAGAAAGTGACTATTAATTTATGCTTTTCCAAAATGGTATTTTACACAAATATCAGTACAGAACTGAAAGAAAGCATGTAAAAACTGTTCTGCAATGACTCTATAAGTTACTGAGTAAACTATAAGCTGTCCTCAAAATCACAAAATTCTAAATCAAGTGTAGTCCAAGTTGACATCATGAAATTCCAAATCAAGTTCACTTGAAAACTGTTTTAATCTTAAAATTAAATCATAAAGTCATTAGCAGTCATAAGCCACATTACACATGCATCCAAGAGTAATTTTGTACCACTGACTGAGTATAAATTACCATGGTAAGATAAAAGCATACTAAAATGGCACAGTACATGTACATGTACATGTAGATTATAGTAGATGTTATTGTCCAGACATGGTCCTTAGTTAGAGATTTTTAGTATGAAATATTCATCTATCATAACTAGGCTGGCTGGTTTGAAACAATGTTTGCCAGCCTTCTTTGAAACACAAAATATACCTGACTAAATACCAAGAATAGCCTGCAGTTTTCTAGGAAAAAAGAAGCAACACTCTAGAGAGATCAATAGACCAACATAAATGGCAACATCAAATAAAGTGTCTGAGCATGGGATGAATGGTGACGATGGGGAGGGGGGCGGTGGCATTAGGCTATAAATCTGAATCAACAATGCCTGCAAATATTTTCTTGTTGTTGAAAAAACATTTGCCACCTAACAGTGAGTAAACATCTCTTTTTTAAAAACATCATCATATCAGTTACTCCAGTTTCATTCTAACTAATGTACTAGTATCTGGCTACTTTTCCAAAAATTCAGTCCTAAATTGTTAGGTAAGAGTTTCACTTAAGTATTCTGCTTGTACCTGGCTCATTCATTTGAATTGAAGGATTAGTAAAGCTAACAATAATATCACGAGTTTCAAAGATAGAAAACCTGATAATGAAGTAAAAGAATGACTGAGTAAGGTCCATTTTGTTACCTCAACATCTAATTATTAAAGATACCCAGTTGACTTAATTTTACCCATGGTATACACATAACATGATGAGATATATAGTAAAAGTACTATCTGTGCAAATCTAATTGTAGCCTGTAGACAGGATCATTTATACCTAATAATTAAAGCCACAGGTTTGGATGAGAAACTCGTAGATTACTTGTAAGTTGTTTCTTGTCTATGTATAGAACATGGAAATGAGATTGTTGGTGCAAAACATTGTAATCCATGTCACATAACACGCTCAGCCCAGAAGCTATGTACTGTCCAAAGGTATGAAAAACTTGAAAAATCATTGCAGAACTACACATCTGTGAATTTCATGGATATATGTCCTACTCGTGGTCCTAATACATCTCCTTGCTTTATCTTGTTATATTCTGAAATCATCTGTTTTTGAAGGGTAACTAATTAGCTATTTCCCAAATGCAAAAAAGATACCTTGGTTTCTGTATAACGTTTAGGTGGCTGCATGTATTAACCATGATAAGTCAAGAAGGTGTGGATGGATTTCCATGATTTACTTCAGATGTTTTACATCATAAGCACATTTTATGATCATTTTTATAACACACGGACACGGTAGTTAATTTGAGTCGTCAAACAATAATAATTTCTGGCTCTAAGCCAAATGGCAATATGGTACAAAATACAGTAGCTGTACACACATTTTATAAATACATGCAGTACCACCTCTGTATTGTTTATTTTTCTCACATGTTAACAAAATAAACTTGGAGTTCAACCACTAGCACTAGTAGCAGGTAGATTTGAATGCAAGTTGTGCTCTTGTTTATAATGTATTACACTGTCACTAGCACTCTTTCTATTCTAAGCAGGATTTTTATTGATTGATAATTTGTAACATTTGATTTGTTTTTATTTGAGAAAATGCCATATTAGAATTGTTGTGTTTTTGAGACAGTTCTTCTAATTGAAGGTATATGTTTGTAGAATGAAGCAGCATTAGCAAATGGACATTGACTTGTACAATGTACATGCCATATATGTAGATTTTTCTTGTTGATAATGATAATTGATATGTTTAACTTTAACTTTCTCATTGTGGCCTAACCAATGAAGACTTGGTAGCCAAACGTGGTTAACTTTCAGTCTGCTAAAGTAGCCATGTAGCACGAAATTGGTTGTGGAGTTAGGCAGCAAGGAAACGATAGATCTACAAGTATTATACAATGTAGACATGTACAGTTTAGCCTTAGTTAGAGTCAGACCCCAGAGTGCTGTAGCCTACTGTCGGTTAAAAATTTAAAACAATGTTTCTTAAAATATATGTAAGTTTACGATTTTTGCTGTATTAGGCCTAGGGAAAAAAGTTGTTTCCTGTTTCAGTCCTGAAAAAAATTAGGGTCTGTACGTAGGGATTATCTTTTTTTTTTTAGACTTCAGTGATATCTATATAGGGGACCAACTTATATTTACAGTTTAACTAAGTAAAACTTGCATGAGGACACATTTATTTTTAATGTCAATGTTAGGAAACCAATTGTACAACGTTTTATCTCTCAGGTGTCAGATCATGGAGCTAGAAAAGGTTGATCAGCTTGAATTATTTATGTCCCTTGCAGGGGTCCACCCCCAAAAAAAGTCTAGGGTTGGTACTACCAATGGTAGTTTTTTCTACGGTCAGGCCTTTTTCTAGGCCTAAGTACCATGAGCAGTCATGTCAGTACTCACTAACTGATATGTAATGCAAGGCTGTAGGTAGGCACAGGTGCAAACCGCCAGTCTCTGTCATTAAGCTGCTCATCTTTTTCTCCTCTCCGCCAGGACAAATTTGGCGACCATCCATAAAGTGACAGTTGACAATGACAGGCCCCATTTGAAGTATTGGATTTGGAACAGCCTCCTCAATAGAGCATAGGGGTAACCTCTTGAATAATGTCCTTCCAAACTGCTAGAAAGCAGTTCAAATATAGAGGAAAATAATGTCCATCAGGCCCCAAAATACATTTTCTACATACACATACATTAGTAAGTTGCACAGATGCAGATGATAATATTCAAAATCTTGTGCACTAAACAAAGTTTATCTGCACAACTTAAATAAACATAAATGTTAACCGAGAAAACAATGTTTTGAAAATGTTCCCTGTTGTATCATTTCGAATCTTCTCCGATTTGCTACAAAGAATGCAAGGCACTTTTGGGCCATTACTTTCTCTGTGGTACCACCACCCTGATATTGTTGGCTGGTTTTGTCATGGTCCAGTGCAAGTTAGGTGCAGATACAGAGCTCCTACTTGTAATGTGGACTACATTCCTATTTGTACTACAAATTGCATCAACTGATAATTTTACGTTAGCATATATAACACATTTACATCACCATATACACGTGATCTCTAAAGCCCTTTGCTAAAGTTGGTGAGATTGCCCTGGTATTAACTTAATTAAGAATGGTCAGACTATATCCATGTACATGTACATGTACCGGTAAATATGTTCTGTGCATGACCATGTACAGAATATGGGCATTATATCTGAATTTGGCAAGTTGTCATGTGACAGTTACACCATACACGGCTGTGGCCTTTAGCCCCCATTCCGAGGTTGTGGCTTTTTTTACATAACTGTGTTAACACTGTGTGTATGCAAGAGGTCGTCCTTACATTTCTTCAACATGGTACCTCTTAAGGCTGTGTTAAAGACAAACGTCCGTGTCTTGAGGATTGTGAAGTTAAGTATCTGATCTTTGTTCAAGTATCTGAAAAATCTATTTCAGTCTTTTCCTGCAGCTTGTATTACATGTATGTTTTTGGATGATGTACATGTATTTACTGGCATTGTTTCCTTTGTTGGTATTAGAAGAATTTTTTTCTTTTGATTTAATACAATGTATGGCTAAACATTGGACTGGTAACCCAGCTACCCGGTACAATTGTAGTTACACTTACAGCTGTACAGTAGTACTAGTTACCTAAACCCGTTGTAAACTATGCAGGGATACATTCAGAAATGTCTCCTCTGTCCTACCATTTTTTTTGGTAAAAATACACAAGTTCAAGATGAACAATCTTTAAAATCTACTTCTGCACTTGGTAACATAATTTGAATATGTATGACTACGATTACCAAATTTGTACTGGTTAAAAGGTATGGAAAGGAGTGTCCTTACAATTTTGTGCCAAATATATAAATATCTGAATATAGTTTTAAGCTGTAAGACCACCTGGGTTCGACACAGGACTTCATCAAACTGCATATTATCCAATTGAAATTCAATTAAATGCTGTAGTCAAATGTACATGTATGTAACCACTAACCAGCCTTGATTGTGTTTGTGTCTCACTGTACTGCTGTTTTTTCTGTGTGACTGCAGGGATTGCAAAGCATTATGGGCAAGGGAATGAAGTCTGCCATCTCTGATTTACCCGAAATTAATTCTTTCTAATCCTGTGTTCCCATAGGTGTTGTAAAGCATTACTGGTTAGGTAGTGAAGTCTGCCATCTCTGATTGCTTGGCATTAATTCTTCAAATTCCTCATCCTGTGTTCCCATAGGTGGAATCTTTCATCCTTGACCCAGAGGATTTGGAAGGTCACCCCATGTTAGACACGGCGTCCAAACTCCTGCTGACCGCTGCCAGCGAGGGCGCTGACCTCCGTGCCGTTGACCCTGAAACCCAGGCCAGACTGGAGGCATTATTGGAGGCTGCTGGTGAGTTTTTTGTGTTTGTTTGCATAACTGGTAAACTGCCTTTTAAGGTTTTCAACAGAACTTAGAATACTAAGATTTTCTACAGCTTTAGCTTGCAGGTTCATTAACATATCTTGTCGAGGGTAGAGAGATTTTGGGTTAGTTTTTTTTAACAAGTACACTCACACAGGAATTGGCAAACTATCAACAGCTGATGGGAAGGCGTTTGCGGACCCTGAGGTACTGCGGCGCCTGACGTCCTCGGTGAGCTGTGCGCTGGACGAGGCGGCCGCCGCCCTCACACGGATGAGAGCGGAAAACGGCGGGGGGAGCAACAACAGCCAGGATGGAGACGGGTGAGTGCACTTAAGGAGCACAGCCTTTTTGGAAATACTTTTGATGTTAGGCCTAGGAAAAAAATTTTGTGTTTTCTGTTTCCCTACTGACCCTAGAAAAAACCTAGCCTATTTTTGTATGGATCACATCATTTTTCAAGCAGATCGACCATTTCTAGCTCCATGATCTGACACCTGAGTGATGAAACAGTCATGATATAGACTGCCTCCTTTTACACTATGTACAAGGGCTACTATGTACACGAAAATGATTTGTTGGATCATGGAAACGCCACTGGCAGAGAAATTCAATTCAGTTCAATTTCCAGGGAAGCTCAAAGCTCCTGGTTGAAGTTAACATTGAAAAAAATGCTGTCTACAGAGAGGATTTTTGCAATATCTTTGTGAATCAATTGTTATAAAACATATGATTTTTCTGCCCGTAGGTCTCTAGCTGAGGCGTGTAACGAGGGGGACGTTGCAGCTGTACGCAGACTGCTGGACGAAGGCCGCAGCGTTCACGAGACAAACGAGGAGGGAGAGAGCCTCCTGTCCCTGGCCTGCTCAGCTGGGTACTACGAACTGGCCCAGGTCAGGACTTTAAAACACCTAGTGTGTTTCCTAGTCTTCTGAAGAAAAACATATTGTTTTTGCTCTGTTTCTTCTTATTCTCCAAACAAATAAGGTCAGTGACCTGGACCAGAAGTCTGTCATCATGGTAACAGGTGCTATAGCAGACACCATTTTGTTTCATTTTGTTCTGCAATTCAGGAATAGATGTACTTTCTGCAAATATACACTTAAAAGTCTGGATCTAAACCCATGACATGTACAAAATTGCATGCTTAACATTTTGAAAATTTGAAAAATGCATGCAAAATGACTGGAATGTATATAATAGCGTCAGTAGTAAACACAAAAGCTCTTAACCCTTGTCCTGCGGGGCCCATATATTAATATATGGGTTGCACATACAGTACCATCTATATAGTGCCCTGTATATGTGCGATTTGGGGGTGTTTCTCGTGCAACGCATCACACCGCAGCGAAACGCAACGAATGCGAAAGTAACTGCGCCACCGCAGGGCAAAAAAGTCAAGGGTCTGTAACCTGATTAAGACATGAAATTATTTGAAAATATTGTGTAAAAATTGCCAGCAGGACAAGGGTTAAACACCATTGAATTCCTAGCCTGATTTTTTAGTGTGAAAAATTTCATGTTGCTTAATTTTTTTTCTGCAGTACTGAAAATGCAGACTGCAGATGGGTATATCTGACACTGCTTTATCTTCAATATCTTAGGTGCTGCTGGCCATGCATGCCAATGTAGAAGATCGGGGGCTGAAGGGTGACTGTACGCCGCTGATGGAGGCCGCTAGCGGGGGTTACACAGACATCGTCAAGCTGCTGATCGCTCACGGGGCGGACGTCAACTCTCGCTCATCCACAGGTCAGTATCTGGGCCCAGATCTAAGGGTCGAGGTTCTGATCCCATTGGAGGCACTGTTGGTTGATTTCAAAGTGTAGCTTAGTTTTATGGCCAGGATGCAGGCCATAGCTTGTAGACAAATATTACAACTTGGCAGCCAAAAAAGATACAGGCCTAACAGTAGGAATTATACTGTGGAAAAAAAAAGACACAAACAGCTTTAGTTGAAGCAGTTCTGTGTTGTGTTCTGAGAGGTAATTCCCGGACCGATAACCGTCTCCTCTGTTAGGGAACACAGCTCTGACGTATGCCTGTGCCGGTGGGTACGAAGACGTTGTGCGTATACTGCTGGAGGCGGGGGCGCGGATCGAGGATCACAACGAGAACGGGCACACCCCGCTGATGGAGGCGTCCAGCGCCGGACACGTGGGCGTGGCCAGGCTGCTGTTGGAGCGAGGCGCCGGCATCAACACTCACTCCAACGAGTTTAAGGAGAGCGCACTCACACTGGCCTGCTACAAAGGTGAGGAAGAAGGAAAGGGTACAGTTTTAGCTCAGGCCTAGAAAAAAAACGTTCCCTGGCTCTTTTTGACCGCAGCTTAATGTCCCATCTAAGGATCACAGCCCTTTCCAGTAGTATACATGTGGGGTGACTGAGTGTCAACAGGGCAAATTTGAATGTAATTACTGTTGACCAATCACATCACATGGCTTGTTGTAACCCAGTCATCCAATCGGCTTGCTTGTCTGTTGCAGGCCACCTGGACATGGTACGTTTCCTGTTGGAAGCCGGTGCAGACCAGGAACACAAGACTGACGAGATGCACACTGCACTTATGGAAGCTTCTATGGTCAGAAAAATCACAACTTTTACTTATTACAGAGATTGTTCGGTGCCTTTTGTTCTTATTTACAAATCAGTTCCTGTGGGCTGCCAGTTGTTTATTTGGAATAAACCCAAACATAATATATATCATATATAGTTGAATGTTGGGTGGTTTATAAGGTGTTGTTTTTGAAGTGCTCTTAGAGTTCAAGAAAGATGAATTAATTCTTAAACTCCGGTCTAAAGTGTTCCAGGTATTGGGGAATCTAGACATCATGGTGAACATTCTTTGTTGGTTAATGGTGTGCATTACTGCCAAATCAATACAATGTCGAGTGTTATATTGATGATGTCTTGTCCACCAGGACGGCCATGTTGAGGTTGCCAGGTTACTGCTGGACCATGGTGCCCAGGTCAACATGCCCACGGACAGCTTCGAGTCGCCGCTGACCCTGGCGGCGTGCGGGGGTCACGTGGAGCTGGCCAACCTGCTGATCGAGCGCGGAGCCAACCTGGAGGAGGTGAACGACGAGGGCTACACCCCGCTGATGGAGGCGGCGCGCGAGGGGCACGAGGAGATGGTCGCTCTGCTGCTCAGCCAAGGTTAGACATTAGCAGGGTTCCCAGAACCAACGCCTCAATGGACCTATACCATTATTACGTCACAGTTTGTTTACCTGTTCTAAAGAACATTCTAGAACGGTCAGTTAAAGAATAAAGATCATTTCAAAGTTTTCAAAGTAAGGTATGTCTGATTTTTGCTGCGTCTAGTTGTGTTGACACAGCATTACATGCCGCATGGGTGATTTAGTTGTGACATTAGACGAAATTAGTACTGTATTAAAAGCCTTATATTAGGCTAACGCTACACAAACACGCACCGCGCTACGCACCTCTGTACAATATAAACGTCGATTGACCGGCATTCATTGCGGTAAACAAACTGTGACGTAATAATGGTATAGGTCCATTCCCCATGGGTTACAGGGTTAGGTAACTGGGAGAAGGTTGATGATTATGATGATGATCTTTACGGCATATTGTACCTTGGAGGGCAAAATGAACTTGCTGAGTAACCAGTACAACACTGTTATGTCCTGAAGATTTGTACATGTATGTAAAGACAGAGAGGGAGAGAGAGAAGGAAAGTAAGTTGTAACTCTGGGCTGTATCCTGTGACTTGTCCCCCCAGGTGCCAACATCAACGCGCAGACAGAGGAGACCCAGGAGACAGCCCTGACGCTGGCGTGCTGCGGAGGGTTCCTGGAGGTGTCAGACTTCCTCATCAAGGCTGGGGCAGACATGGAGCTGGGCTGCTCCACTCCCCTCATGGAGGCTGCTCAGGAGGGACATCTGGAGCTGGTCAAGTACCTCATCCAAGCAGGTCAGCATGCAGTACTGCAGCTCAGCTGCTAGGGGGCAGCCTTTAGTCTAGCCCAAAACTCGTACAAGATTGTATCACAGCTTCAAGTAGTGCTGTGTACCTAAACCCAGGCCCAAGTTCAGGTCCAGATTGGAGTCCAGAGGTTTACAGTAGGTTCAGTCTGGACCTAAACCCAGGGCATATACAAAATTCGGAAGGGACATTTCAGTGAACATTTCCCATTGGGAAATGGGTCATCTTTACCACAAATGTATGTATTAAAGATTTCAGGTGATTTAGAACAAAAAGGGCGATGTGACATGATTTTCTTTGTAAGTCCGGAACTAGACCGAGTCCAGTAAACCCGGTACACAGCACTATTTTGACATTCTGCATTATTGTAGAACACTAAAAAAAGTATTAATTTTCTACCTCTGCATTATTGTATATACTCACACTCCTTTATTTGTTAACCACCTTTGTAGGTGCCAGTATCCACGCCCAGACCGCGACCGGCGACACTGCCCTGACCTACGCGTGCGAGAACGGCCACACGGACGTGGCGGACATCCTTCTCCAGGCCGGTGCCGAGCTGGAACACGAGTCGGAGGGCGGGCGCACCCCTCTCATGAAGGCAGCGCGCGCAGGCCATCTGTGCACCGTGCAATTCCTCATCACCAGAGGTGAGACTAGTGATGTGTTCCAGTTCTCTGGACTGGTTCCGAACTTGTTTAGGTTCAAGTAAAAAAAAACCTAAAGGAAAGAACCAAAGTGTATTCATCCACCAGAGGTGAGACACAACCACTGGAGATTGTTCTCCAAAGACACATGCCAAAAACAAAGCTGACTTCAACAATACCTTGTTGATGAAAGCAAAGTGTTTTCATTCAAGATGGTGTAGTTTCAAACAATCCCAATAAAGTTTTTTTACAGAACTTGGCCACCTTGGGAATGATGACAATGTTAGGCTGAGGAAGCTTTACTTATCGTAGTAGCTTTGTAAAGACTCTGTGCTGTATGTTGCAGGTGCGGATGTGAACAGAGCCACGTCTAATAACGACCACACAGTCCTGTCCCTGGCCTGTGCTGGCGGACACATCTCTGTGGTGGAACTCCTGTTGGCTCACGGAGCAGATCCTTCACACAAACTCAAGGTAACGGTTTTGGTGTAGGAAAAAAATATTTTGTGTTTCCCGACCTACCATAGAAAAACCTGCCGATCCTAGCCTTTGTTTTATTTAACCCCTGCAAGGGACATAAATTTTTCGAGCTGATCAACCTTTTCTAGCTCCATGATCTGACACCTGAGTGATGAAACGTATCATTTGTATGTCTGGGGTTTATTATTGTAAGATGAGTTGTGTTTTTTTTTTCACCTTAAATAAAGAATAAAGAAAGAAATATTCTACCTTGTTTATTTGAATGTCATTCTGATAACCTGAAACACAGTTCTGAATGTGTTGCTATGTTTTCTTGACTGCCACTGTAATGTCCTGAAACTTGGTTCCAAAATGCTGTGCTATGTTTCCTCAGGATGGCTCTACCATGCTGATTGAGTGTGCCAAGGGTGGCCATGCCACTGTTGCCTCTCTCCTGATGGACTATCCCAACAACATGCTGACCCCTCCTCCCCCTCCGGAGGTGCCCCAGTTGGCATCTCCCACTTCGGAGAATGGCCAGGTCAGTACCACTGGTACTATGGTCTATGTTTTTATTCTCAGATTCCACCTTTAGATGTATGATCTACATTGTATTAGTCATGGATCTAAGTAGTTTTGACTAGCCAGTTACAAATTTTGTACAAATGGTTTTGAAAAATGTTTATCATGATAATAATTGCACTGGGTGTCTATACCAATGCAGATTTTCCTTATATTACATCCCTTTTTGTTTCGGTATTTCCCATAGACATATCACTGAGTGTTGTTGTTATGTTTTTGGTTTGTTTCTTGAAATGTTCTCACATTTTTTTCCCTTCCCTTCTTCTCTTTCTCCTGTTCTATCTTGCACTCTTTCTCTCTCTCTATCTCTTCATCTTGGTGGTGAAGATGTTCACTCAAGACTTCACACTCCTCCCCTTTGTGTCTGTTGTGTCTTCACCCAACTTCCAGGTACATGTACATCTCTTTTCACCTTGTATCTCATCTCACTGTGGGGCGTACCAACAGGGAAGGAAAAAAATGAAGGGGAGGTGGTGGAAAAAATGTTTAGGGGCAGTGCTGTGTACCGGCTCTCTGGAACTAGTTCCGGACTTACAAAAATAAATCATGTCACATTCCCCATTCTAAACCACCTGAAATCTTCAATAGTCCAAAAATTGAGCTTCAAAATGAAGAAAACATTACCATTGTGAATCGTCAAATGTCAGCCTCCGTAAATTATGTGGCCACAGTTTTGCTTAGAACATCTATTTACTGGTAAGCATGGTTGAAATATATTCTGTAAACTAATATTCATCTTTATTTTGTATGTAAAAACTGCAATTTCCTCTGGAACTCAGAACAGCATGTGACATTGTCAAGTTGTTAGGAAAATTCATCTGTGTTGGTAGTAATCATATCATCGTAAAATGTTGAACTTTATTCTAACACAAGGGTTACACAGAGATTAAAGCTTCTGTGTACCCCTAATGTGTTGGAATAAAGTTCAATATGTTACTAAGGCTAATTGTTGTGTCCTGTTCTGCTGTAGGCCCCCCGTGTGCCGACTCAGGCCCTCCCTACTGTGGTACCTCCACAGGAACCAGACCAGAGACCTGGACAACTCACCTCTACAGACATCACTGGTAAAATTCATTCTTATATAAGTACTTTGTTTGTTACGCTTAACCGGTAAACTGCCTTTTTACCGGTAAAGCAACGCGTTTCGCCATACAACCCACACATAGCTCCATGTAGGCAGACTTTTTGCCCAGACATGATAAAATACAACTGTTATATTTCAGTAGACAAGTTTAATTTCTATTCCATCTGAGAACTAAATCCTGATTGGTTGTTGTGTAGGTGGGGTTTCCCAGTCTGTGGTGGCAGGGGATGGGTCTGTGAGCCAGCTGGCCTGTAGCACAGGAGTGGACTATGACCAGCTACAGAAGCTGACTGAGCTGGAGTTGAGAATCAAGGAGGCCATCGAGAAAAATGCCCAGCTCCAAGCAGAGGAGCTGGACACACAGGTACGTTAATTTTCTAAGCTCTGATTGGTCAACCTCTGATAACCTATGCTCTGATTGGTCATTCGTCGCAGGTGGCCACTATACACAAGATTCTTAGTGCTCATTGATTTTCTAAGGTTTGATTGGTCATCCACAGATAACCTTTGCTCTCATTGGTCATTTGGACTAATTGAAATGTTCTCTCTCCAGATTGACCCCAATGACCCTGCTGCTAAGGAGAGAATGGCGGAGCTTAACCGGCAGAGAGAAGAGCAGCTGAAGAAAAAACAGAGAATTCTAGAGGAGCTACAGAAAGTGGAGCGAGAGTTACAGGAGAAGGCTGCTCAACAGCTACAGAACGAGATTCTGGCCTTACAGAATCAGGCTAGCACTCAGTCTGGGACTCAGACACAGGTCAGGACCAGGCCATACAATGTCAGAATTTTACAACCTGTCTCTGAGAAGATGCTAGTTGTTTGAATGTGGTATTGTTTATGTCTCATACAAAGTCGTTTGTTTGTTTGTTGACAGATGCCCAGTGCAGCCCAGCCTCAGGGATCAGAAGTGTGCAGTGCCGCCCCCAGCCAACAGGGGGCGCCTGCTGCCAGTCCATCCTTCCAGCTGCCCACCCAACCCCTCACCTTCCTGCCCACCTCCCTCACTCAGCAGCCCCTCCCCATCCCTTCTTCTCAGCAGCAGATCTACGTCCCTACCGTCCCAGGACAGGCCACTGCGTTTGTCCCCATCTCTCCCCAGTCGTTCTTCCTCCCCACGTCCCAGAACCAAGGTGCATACCCCGGGAACTCCCAGCCGCTACCCGTGGTGGCTTCAGGAGAGACAGCTGCCAACGCAGCGGGCCAGCCCGTAGCCTCAAACTGCATCCATCAGGACGCACCCGACCAGGCAGGCAGATCTGCAGGCCACCAGGCTGTGCTGCTGCCTGCTCCCGTGTCTTCCACCCAGCCTAACCAGCCTCTCCTCACCACCATGGTGCAGAAGGTGGATGCTGCTTCCCCAAACACCCAGGCGGTTCCCAGTCCCAGGAAGGACCCAGAAGGGGCAGCGACAGTTCCCCAGGCCACGGGAGCCCCCGCCCCGGCCTACCTCCCCAGCATGGTGCCCGGGGTTACCGACTTCACCCCCATCTCCCCTCCCCTCACCCCGGCAACCCTCCCCGTCCTCCCCACCCCCCTCCCTCCCACTGGTCCCCCTCCAGGGCATGGAGGGCCTCACCTTCTCCCAGACCATGGCAGGGCTACCGGTGGTCTCCCAGAGCATGATGGGAGCCATGCTGACCAATCAGAACTTCCCGGGCGTTCCCATGGTAACCCAGGCGTTGCCCCTGCCCGGCAGTTCCCACATGGGGGAGTCTGTGGACGGGAACATTTCTGCTGGTCCTGCACAGATGGCTCACAGTACTACAGGTAAAACTCACATATCCTCAGCCATATTCATAATGATATTTCTGTCTAATAGATGCACATAATGGTATCAATGTGCACATATAAACTTTATTTTGCTGATATATTTTGTCTTACTCTGACCCTTTCCTCTTCCTTCATGACCTCAATGAAAAGTACATGTAGCTTGCCTGCCGATCTGAGATTTCATGAATAAAGAATGGTTCAAACAAACACAGGCAAGACTTTGTTCCATGTTTTACCTGTAAAACATACGGTTTACTCCTATAGTAGAGCAGTAGTATTATACCTATGAATGCCCCTGTAAAGCTGACACATTGTTGATGGTCTCTATTGCCCCTACAGATCCCAGCCAGCTGCCTGCAATCTACTCCTCGCCCCAGATGCACACAGTAGGCACCCAGTGTGTGGCCAGCAGTCCGGGGTCCCAGCCCTCCTCAGTCCCCCTCACCCCCAACCCCTCCCCTGTCCCCGCCCCCAGTCTGCCAATCTACCCGGGGATCGAGGTGGACGCACAGGTGGGTACACTATTTACAGGTTTGCGATAGCCAAACCTGTTCTATGTTAGGTGGATTTTGTGGGCGCCGCCATTTTGTTTCCCGTCATGCAAAGGGACAGGTCAAAGTTTGAGAGTGAGGTGCATGATGGGAAGGAGTTTCTTCATTTTGTTTTAGTACTGTTGCGATTCTAGCAGATCCCAACAAAACTTCAGGCTGTAAATTTTTGGGTGTGCATGTTCTTTTGTCGTAGGGATGAACTGTGTCATAAATTCACTGTATGTTCACGGTAGAAAAGTTCACGGTCTGAGAAAAATGGAGATGTTTCAAGAACTATATATTTACGGTGGTGGCAGGTGCAGAAAAAAAGTCAGCAAATTATATGTTAATGGTAATGAGTGACAGCAAAAACCGAGAAACATGTATAAAAGTACCGCGAAAAAAATCTTAATTTACAGTATGATTTAGCTGGTGTGTTACACCGAAGGGCAGTTATATCGGCTATACCGATACAGTTACTGTACATGCCAGAAGACAGTTGTATGATACAGATGCACAAAGACTCTTTTAAGATGAAAGAATGTTACTTTTTATTCCAGACTGAAAGTAACCATGACACAGCCTTGACCCTGGCATGTGCTGGTGGACATGAAGACTTAGTCAGGGAGCTCATGGCACGGGCGGCTAACCTGGAGCACAGGGACAAAAAAGGTGAGACAAGTATTGTAGGGACTTCTGTATGTGCCACCTGGCAGATTGGAAGAAAAATAGCAGTGCTTCAGTTAGATATGAATTGTACCAACTACAGTATGCTGCATAAGCAAAATAGCTTCCCAATTCCCTCTTGTACTTCGCAAAGGTAATTTACATCAACACACGGCTCGAATCTCATTTTTGGGAATAGGTGTGGTGCACCCGACCTAAAAAAAACTGGGTGCACAAAAAAATTTTGTATTTCGAGCCCTGACACAACATACAATCAGTAACACACAACCGTGTAACCATGTGACTTGTGCTGTATTCTGTGCAGGCTTCACCCCCCTGATTCTGGCCGCCACGGCAGGACACTCCAGTGTGGTGGAGGTACTGTTGGACAACGCAGCAGACATAGAGGCTCAGTCTGAGAGAACCAAGGACACGCCACTCTCACTAGCCTGCTCCGGGGGAAGGCAGGAGGTAAGGCAAATGTATTGATGTGATTGTTACTAGTAAAAAAATCTACTTATAAGTTAGGTGGGTTGTATCACAATACAAATCCAGAAAGGAAATGCATAATGTTTACCTCTTCGTGGTGTAGCCAAACAAACTACAGCATTGTTTGTTCTTACTCAAAGACAAATACATTCATTATGTATGGTGAGCAGGATCTCCAACTCTGTTCCGCTACATAATGTAACCCAACACCACAGGATGTTGCTACAGTCCCAGTTACCATGGTGACAGACATCTGGTCTAGGTCATTGACTTTGTTTGGAAGGGAAGAAATAGAAGAAACTGAGCAAAAACATGTTTACTTCTGCAAAGGTAAACGTAAAAATGACACCACTCCTGAGGCATCGCCAAAAAAAGATAATCTAACAAGTTTGTATCCTTATACACAGGTTGTGGAGCTTCTCCTGGCCAGGGGGGCCAATAAGGAGCACCGTAACGTGTCTGACTACACCCCCCTCAGTCTGGCTGCCTCTGGTGGGTATGTCAACATCATCAAACTACTGCTGCAGCATGGAGCAGAGATCAACTCCAGGTCAGTACTACTCCACTCTTATTTTCACAGAATAGGGACAACAGGAACTTCATGTATCCAACAGTTTCCAGGACCAAGCTATTTTCCTATGTCTGCTTGCTGCAGTTCTTGAAAAAGACTATAGGAGGCTCCCCTGTACCACTTGACTATAGTACACCTCTTCTTATTTGCTTGCCTGTTTTCCCAGGACGGGGAGCAAACTGGGCATCTCTCCATTGATGCTGGCTGCCATGAACGGCCACACTCAGGCGGTCAAGCTGTTACTGGACATGGGGAGTGACATCAACGCACAGGTAAGACCACTCCGGACAAGGTGGACACTCGTGCTACAACTTCGCCATGAAATCTACCATCACTTTCTCAAGTGTAGACGGATTCTATATTTATATTGTGTTTGCCTACATAGAATCAGGGCTGGATAAGTCCACTTGCCCAGGGCAAGTAAAAGTACTGTTCAGACAAGTGCATATCCCCCTGGACAATTTTTTTGGATGTCAAGTTTACCGGATGAAGCAAAGTTTGGAGCAAAATTATTCATCATTCTTCCCATAATGCCAATCCAAAGTGTGCTCTTTCTCAGAAAATCCATTGCAAGTGTCGAAATTTGATAAGTAGATGTAAAGCATGCAATGGGCAAGTAGAAATGACCGTGTACTGATAGGGCAAGACATGGATTTTTAAGAACTTGTTTAAGAACCCTCAGAACTACATTCTTGACTTTTACAGATCGAGACCAACAGGAACACAGCCCTGACGCTGGCGTGTTTCCAGGGACGACACGAGGTGGTCAGTCTGCTGGTGGACCGCAAAGCCAACGTGGAACACAGGGCAAAGGTCAGTTTACAACCCAAACTGTTGGACTTTACGTTTTGACTCCCATACTGGCCTCTCGTTGGTAGCTCGTCCATTTGAAAAGGTGATTCCCAAGTTTGAGGTCCACAAACTTTGGAAAAGGGACTGTTCCTGTCTTACACAGGCTATGAATTTGTGCCCCACAGTTATGTTAAGAGTTGCATGTATGTCTGAACCCTAACTTAGGCCGCAGCAAGTAAATTTTATGGATGACATTCTCCTTACACTGCAAATCACTACACGGACATGTTCATCCATTTTCAGCACGTTGACCACTGTCAGAGGGCAACAAAATTTCTTGTTTTCAATGTGCGCGCTGATGTCATCCATGAAAATGACTTGCTGTGTCCTTACCGTCCGTTGTTGTTCCTGTCCTCAGACCGGCCTGACCCCCCTGATGGAGGCAGCGTCCGGCGGGTATGCAGAAGTGGGGCGTGTGCTGCTGGACAAAGGTGCTGATGTGAACGCTGCTCCTGTCCCCTCCTCCAGAGACACTGCCCTCACCATCGCAGCTGACAAGGGACACTACAAGTTCTGTGAACTTCTCATTCAGAGGTCAGCCAGCCACAGTCATGTTTACTGCTAAACATGTATGTTTTGGAGCCATACAATTACATGATCTCCAGATGATTTTCACTATTTTAAATGTTGTTTTACACCTTTTGTTGCTCTGTAAGCCTACCTGGGTTAATCATGACATTCGGGGAGTAAAAGATTTGATTCTGGAAAATGCAGACTGAAGATGGGTATTCCTAACACTGTTTCTTGTGTGTTGGGTCTTACAGAGGAGCCCAGATTGATGTGAGGAATAAGAAAGGCAACACGCCGCTGTGGCTGGCAGCAAATGGCGGACACCTGGATGTTGTGCAGTTGTTGGTTAGTGCTGGGGCCGACAAAGATGCAGAGGACAACAGGAAGATCACACCTCTCATGGCCACCTTCAGAAAGGTACATGTAAACCTTGGGAAAAAATTGTGTTTCCTGTTTCAGTCCTGAAAAAAAATTAGGGTCAGTTGGTAATGATTATCTTTTTTTTTTCTTTTCTTTTTTTTAGACGTTGGTGCTGTTTAGTGATCCAAATTATACATTTCAGTTAACAAAGTGAAACTAGCACTTATATTTTCAATGTCAATGTTGGAAAATAAAACTGATGTAGGTTACTTGTATCCCTGTCTCACCTGTTGACACCCTTCTGCTGTGCCTGTACACCAGGGCCATGTGAAGGTGGTGCGCTGGCTTGTGAAGGAAGTGACACAGTTTCCTTCAGACCAGGAGTGTATGAGATACATAGCCACCATCTCTGACAAGGTACGTACCTAGTTCTTCAAATCATGCATGGTGGTCCTTCAAACAAATGTGATGTAATACTTATGTGATTTAATCAAATTTCACCAAAAATTACATACAACTTGTTGCGACAAAAGTAATCTGTTTAAGCTCTAAGCTCAGAGATGATTGTAAAAGCTGACCTATATTGTACATTTTTCTTTCATTCTTATTAAATACAGCAGTTTACAAGTTAAAGAAATGTGCAAAAAAAATTGAATTGTACTGCATATTTCAGCATCTTTCTTCAAAACGCAAACGGCTTCTAACAGTCAAGACACTAAAAAAAAGAAATGAGAATAAGAATTTAAAACTTGTACTTGCAGGAACTGCTGAAGAAGTGCCACCAGAGTATGGAGATCATCGTGAGTGCCAAGGACAGGCAGGCAGCAGAGGCCAACAAGAACGCTAACATCCTGCTGGAGGAGCTGGACATGGAAAAGGTTTCCTTCCTGCTGGTTTTCTCTGCAGAAAATTAATTTTTGGTGCTGCTGTTTCATGAACAATGTATAGAAACATGTAGGTCCATGAACATGCTGATCCGTGAATGCTAGGAAGTACGGTAGTGGTGTTATATCCTTTGGTTGACTTTCATATGTTATGTCTTATACTGAGCGTTGTCTCTGCTGCCTGAAAGGCATTACTTTGACACAACATTGTATACTACTTTCCACAGACCCGTGAAGAGAAGAAGAAAGAGGCAGCGGCAAGACGGAGGGAGAAAAAGAGACAAAAAAGAAAGGAAAAGCAGCAGGCGAAGGAGAAGGAACAACAAGACGAATCACCAGAAAACAAGAAAGAGGAAGAGGAGGTAGAAGGTATGTAAGAGATCTATAGTACAGAAGGCATTAATGTGCTCAGAAATTCTTATGGATCCATGCATAGAAATGTTTACTATTGTTTTTCCACAGTTGTAACTATAAGATGATGACATTGTTGTGTTCTGTAGTAACTATAAGATGATGACATTGTTGTGTTCTGTTGTGCTTTCCAGAAGAGCCTGTCCCACTGGATCCTCCAGCTGCCTCAACCACCACAACCATAGGTAAATATGAAGATGAATATATATATATATATATATATAATATATATATAGTGTAGATGAAAATAAAAACAAAAACATAGGTGTTTGGGTGCAAACAACTTTTTTTGAAGATTTGAAGACAAAAGGAATGGCTTTTCTTGTATAAAAGACATGACTTTCTCAAACACAGGGAAAGTTCGCACCACAGACACAGTCTCCACGGTGGCATCCCGTAACACCAAGAACGTCGCCAAAACCACCATGGCGAACGCAGCGCCACCCAAAACTAAAGACCGGCCCAGTAAAAGGGAGAGCAAGAAGAAGTCCAAGGGGAGAGAGGACTCCAACACGACGGCGAACAACTCCAGCGAAGACCAGAAGAAGAACAAGAAGGACACCAAGCAGGAGAAGAAGAGCTCGGCGGCAGAGCTGGATGATTTTGAGGAGGCAATCAAACCAAAGAGGAGCAAGGGGAACCTGATATCCAGAGATGCAGAGGACGTGGTGAAAGTCATCAAGACAACTGCACTGTAAGTTCCTCCAACAAGCACGTCGGCAGAACGTACTGCACCTGCGCAAAACCTGTAATGTATTGTGCATAGCACTTGGGCAGAATGTCTCATATAAGGTTAACACTCCATCTGCAGTTTCCAAATGTTACGTCGGAAAAAGTATTGTCTGCAACAGGCAAAATTCTTATGCAATGTTGACCATAAATCCATCTAAAACCGTATAATATACTTGAACCTACTACTACTACAAGTTCCACCCTTAACTTGTTCCGACTGGAAACATAAGTTTAAGCATTCACTTCACAATGCTATAGATAGTTTTATTGCATAATTGTATCAAAATCTTTTTTTAATGTCCTTCTCCTTAGTGCGTCAGAATCTCACTCAGGCCTGAGTCCAGTAACGCTCCCCCACGGGATGATGAAGCAGTCCATCGCGACAACGAGCACGGTCACCACCATCTCCGTCAAACCCTCCGCTACCGTCGCCATCAGTCCCAAACGGGGCAGCAAAAAGGAGGAGGGATGGAAGGAAGTCATACCAAAAAAGTAAGGAGGCTAAGACTTTTCATTTAATGTTACATTTAATTATTATTCTGTACCAAAAATTCTTTTACCAACTAACATCTGCAAGTGGACTAGTACTGCTTGTGCTACTGTGTGGCTCATGGGCTGTAGAAATGGAGATGTGCACTGCCTTGTACACCAACGATTCTAACTTTTACTACTGTCACAAATCTGTATGTAGAATTTTTTTGTTATAATCTAAGAATGACTTATGACAACAGACTGATCAGTAAGTGTTTTCCTCTGCCCACAAAAGGTCGAAGCGTATGCTGGTCCCGGGTAGTGCAGTGAGCCGTGTGATTGGACGAGGAGGGTGCAATATAAACGCCATCAGGGAAGTCTCCGGAGCGCACATCGAACTGGACAAACAGAAAACTGCCAGTGGAGACAGATGGATCACCATCAAGTGAGAAACTAGTCAAATCAATAATTAATAATGATAATTATTAATAAATAATAAAAATAATAAAAGTAGTAAGGCCTGAGCTAGTACTAGTAGTAGGGCAGCCTTGACAAAAACTAGTCAAAATTTTACCGGTAAATTTTGTTGTTTGGCTGTTATAGTGACTTATATTTGAAATTTTGAGGAATGATGTAAGACAACAACCCTTCCACTATATAACTGATAAAGCTGTGAATTTCAAAGTTTGTAGCCTGATTAACTTGTTTCTTTTGTTCTGTTGCACCAGGGGAAACAACGATGGGATGAGACAAGCGCAGAACCTTTTGAACGCCCTGATAAAGGAACCAGATAGAGAGCTGGCCGAGATCATCCCCAGGGTCAAACCAAAGGTCGCCTCTAAAACCTCCCCGTCCACCTCCCCTCCCTCTAACAAGCCCGCGGCTTCAAAATCAGCAGCAGCTAAGGTGGTCCCAACCACGGTGACGGGAAGGGTTCCCATGACGGCGGTCTCCGTGGTTACGGGGAAACCACCCGTGATGGCGCAGCCCGGAACAGCCACCAACGCGCAGAAGCAAGCAGCACCAAGTGGAAGTAGCAACAAAACCCAGAGAAGTTTGTCCAACTCTGCCACCAGCAGTATTCCCCTGTACTCCAACCCGACGCAATCCGTGCTCAACCAGATCCAGTCACAGGCCCTCAGACACCCGGGGATCCAGGCAGCCATGACGCAGCTCCCTCCTCCCTTCCCCCACCCTCAGGCCGCACCGGGGTGGGGGGCGTTTCCCGTACGCCCCGCCCCGCCGGCTGTTGCCCCTCAGGGTCAGAAGGGGACGGCCCACCACCCGCCAGGAACGAACACCGTGGTGACGGCAGCGACGACAACCACCACCACAGCCTCCACCACGACTGCCCACGCCGTGTCCAGTTCTGCCACGTCAGGCGTACCCCAGCCTCCTAACGTGGAGTCCGCCAGGCGACAGCTGTTCTCTGACGGCAACATGCCTCCCCCCGCAATGAGAGCACGATCAGAGCAGCTGTCTCGAGGCTCGGCGACCTACACCACACAGGCGCCCTCCGCCGGAACAAACACTACCTTCGCCGACAAGGTTGGCCCGCCCGGCGCCCGTCTACAAACGTCGCAAGCCCAGCCCGTGTTGCACGCAGCGAGACCCGCACATGTTACTCTCCCCTCTGAAGTCAAAAGTACTGTCACCATGGTGACGTCAGGACTGCCGTCCTCAGGCGGCTCGGTGGGTTTGATTGGTCCGCCGGGGCGGAGGGAGAACCCGCCCATGTCCATGGCTCCGGGAGTCGCCAGCGCGCCTCACGTGGGCTCGCCACACCGTATCCCGCCCCAGATGTCGGCCTCGGTCCCGCAGTCGGCTCCCCCGGACTACTCAGCACCGGCGTACTCCCCGTTCAGTGGGAACTCCCCGTTCGGCCAGGTGGGGCAGCCCCGCAGCATGTTCACGGTCTCCTCCCGACCCAAGTCCATGGGAGACATCCCCAACCTCCTCTTCCCCAACAGTTACACCTCCGACCAGTCCCAGAACGAGGGGGTGAATGGGTCGGTGGCACCGGGCTACAGGAGCGCAGTCAACCAGCAGAACGTGCCGGGCCACTACCCCAACAGCTCCCCTCCCAACTACACCACCTCCCCCATGTCAGCCGGCCCCGCGGGAGCCGACATCTTCACCCCCCTCCCCGCACACAACTCTACCCGCTCCTCCACCCCCTCCACCGCCGCCTCCTCAGAGTCCCCCATCCCCCCTCAGTCCCCTCGCTCCTCCCCCATCGGCAGTAGTGCCTCCCCCTCCCCAACACCCATCGGCGCCGACAAACCAGGCCAGGAGAGGAAGCCAAAACCCATCGGCACGGAGAGGGCCCACAAAAAGGCAGGGTCTTCAGCCATGATGGGAGAGATGTCTCATCCCCTAGGACCCAGTAACATCTGGTCCTACCCAATAACTGGAGGTGAGATATATACAATCTAGCATTCTACACTCTTTCTACACTCTTTCTGTTATTTTTGTAGAATTTTGATACATAATTTCCTTTTGAAGTTTGTTGCAAAGGTATGTGTAAGGTAAGGTTTAAGCAAGGTAAGGTGTAAGCTGTCAAGTTTTCTATGTTACCTGTTTATGTGTGAGTCTGTTCTCTCGTATCATACTCTCTGTGATCATATTATATTTATAGTGCTGAGTTAATTGAAACTCGTGCATGCAACAGTCCATTAGTATACCAGTTTGAAACTATGTTGAACTATGACTGTGAAAGATTTTAGTCATTTGGCTCTATTGTTTATTTGCCTCAAAGTCAAATGTAAAAACATGCAATCCAAGTATACATTTATAATATTAAATGAAAAACTCAGGGCAAAAATCCAGTAAGATGGTGTAAACACATTTTGTTACACTGACATCTGTTCTCAAAGCAAAGTAGCAGAGTACGTGTATATTTAATGCATCTACATGTACCTATCTAGTGGTAGTAATTAGTACTCAAAATATGAGAGAAAAAAGGTTTTCTACAGAAAGTAATATCATTGAACTGTTTTTGTTTGTTGAAATGCAGAGCCGTTATTGGAGGTTCTGTGTGTACTTGTGAAATTTTCTGACTGTCTCCCCTTTCCCATTTAGCAACCCTTGAGCTCCTGAGAACCTTGCGAGGTACTGTCCTGTACCACATGTATCTGTACAGTGCTTCTTCTCACAAGACCAGAAACACCAAAAGCTGAGCGGTTTCATTGGTGTGATAATGAAAATTTAAAATGTACTTGGGTCTGAGTTTGTGTAGACAGCTAGTTTCATGGTATAAAATGAGATAAATCATTTTGTTCCTGTGTTTTTTTCTATTGTTTGGCTAACAGTTACCACTACACCAATAACGATTTCCTTGTAAACACAAATCCAATATAGGATAATACAGGCATGGATGAAAAGAAAGGATCAAATTGAATATGTGGCACTTCAAAAGCCTGATTTTGGAAAAATTGGTTGGTTTTAAGATCCCCATCATAATCGTATTGGTGTTGGTGTGTCTTCTGAGAAAAGCACATGTCCATGTAACTGTGGTGTCTTGCACTAATGGAAGCCTCACAGCAAGCTAAGGGGTCAAATGACTTGAGAATGCGTCCAAGGTGGCTGTGTTCAACACATACATGTAGTACTAAATGTGGCAGTGCTTTCTTTTGGATAACTTACATGTAGACCCTGCTTAGTCAGTGTCAACAACAAAGATTGGCAGAAAAGTTCTCCCAGCAGTATGTGCTTGTAAAGGGAACAATGCATGTCAAAACAGCCCCAGGGCGAGGTGACTGCTGGTACTTACTTGGGCCACACCATCTTAATTCTCTGGTTCTCAGATTTAAGAGAATGATGCTTACCTTGAATATGGACAGGAGAGCAGTTAGAGAAGAAACTGCACTTGTGATGCCCACAGTTTTTTCTCCCAGTCCTGGCTCATGTTAACCTGTCAGAGAACTGAGGAAATAAGTTGGTGTGGCTTTATATTCTATATAAGAGCACGTCGGCAGAACATACTGCATCCGGGCAAAGGCTGGATTTTTCATGGTTTTCGTTGGATGTTCGGTCAACCTAGCATCATAATTCTGCCTATTGCAGATGATAGTTATACCAACAGAACATTTGAAAACAGTAAATGAGATGTCATCCATGAGTACACAAATACATTGTACAACCATAAAAGAGATGTTATGCTGAAGTGCTTAATAATGCACAATACATTACAGGTTTTGCATAATTGCGGTATGCTCTGCCAACGTGCTACACAAGAGTATCTATCAGAATAACTAAGGTATATTATAGACTTAACGTTGTCTGTTTTCACAGATGCATCTTCCCCGTGGGTGGCACCCTCTCACCTGCTGAACACAGGTGGGCTCCCCGACAACTACCCGCCCCACCCCGACAACATCCGGCCGCACATGTCCCCACCCACCAGCCTGCCTGCCCCACCCCTGGGGCCGTATCCCATGGGAGACAAACCACCGATGGGGATGTCCAACCCTGCGGTAAGTCTCGGTCACACTTATCTAGTACTGTGTACTGAAACCCACTTAAATACAGGCTTGACATCATAAATAGATTTCATCTAGATTTCATGTTTTGAAGTAATAAATAACATTTGTTAATCCTCCCTCAGGCTGGTAGGATGCCACATCTGTACGGCCAGGCCATGCAGCAGTACCCGCACCTGGGCCACCCCCCTGTCCACCCCCCCTCCACCCACTCCTCCTACCCCCCCACTGGTCCCCCACCCCTCCCCCCTGACGTCATGTGGAACCACACACATGGGAAACTCCCCCCGCATGCTGAGGAGCCCAGGAACCAGAACCAGGTAGGTTTTTCCTTTATCATGCCAATATTTGTACTGGAAGTTCACTTTTTTAAGAGTTTTATGATAAAATTTTTCCTATTTGTTCCATATAAGATTCCTTCCTAACGTCTAGTTTCTCCTTGTTCCAGGGATGGGGGATGTGGAACCAGCAGTGAAAAGAAGAAAACAAGTCCCCTCTCTAAGGTCGCCATCCCATGTTTTCTATGGAGCAGATACTGGCAGCCAGCAGCCGAGTTAGACCCTTACCTATAGCAATCTGCAACATGTGCAGGACCATAGCTAAGATGTGTTACAGTAAAGAGTCCAGGACCCCCCTGGCCAGTGCAAAGGCATGTTGTTTGGTACAAGAAAGTTCCAGGAATTATAAGGTTATTATGCATCAATTAAAGATCTCTCCTTTGTCAGGACAGTTAGTCCTTGTGTGTCTGTCTCTTTTTTTCATCAATCTGTAATTAGTTTATTGAAGACTATGGGCCCATTCTCATTCAAATGTGCAAAATGCTGTCGCCACTCTTTACAACTAGATATGAGCCAAATCACGGACCTCATCATTGCTTTCTTCATTTTCCCACTACAGTAACTATGTTTCCTGAAAAATGTACCACAACACTACGTTTGACTGATGACTTGGAAGAAATTATAGCCTTGTGTTTGGAGAGACCTGTAACCTCCATTAATGCAGATTTCAAAAGTGGGATGTTGTAACCTCTGTTACCAGAATTCTGTACATTTCAATGAGAATGAGCCTACACTGAGCTTCAATTCAAAATTCATGGAACATGTTATGAATATTTATCATCTACAACTTACAAGGTGTAGAATTTCAGGCTTCCACAGCTAGATACATGTCAGGACACTGGATAAACAACCCACTGCCCTTATAGCTTTGAAGAAGAGTACAGGAAGAAAGAAGGACAGCAAACTTTGCCTTTAATTTACCGGTCGTATGTTGAAAGATGGAGGTTCAAGTGTGGGAGCGGACGTAAACTAACCAGGATGGTACCCAGGCTATGCATCTCCAGGACTGTTATTTGGAAAAGCATATCTTTTATTTCTTAAATCATTTGAAGACAAAATATCCTTCTTAGAAGTAGAAATAATTCAGTTGTAGAAGTAATAACTGTACATGTAAGTGTTATTAAGTCATCACCACCAACAGAATATCTCTTGGATAATACAAATCATAAACATTATGTACCTACTTTCTGCCATAGATGCTATGTCCCAAAATAAGTCAGGATAATTTTTAATCCTCATGCCCACTCCATACAGTAAGCTTCATTTTCTTTTATTTGAGATCTGAGCTAAGAATTATTTCTCATCATTCTGACTAGTGCTGTGTACCTAAACCCAGGTCTGGAATCAAGTCCAGAGGTTTAGGTTCAGGTCTTGTAAAAATTTGTAGGGAGCACTGCACTACCAGGGTTTAGAAGCAAGATATGTTTGCGGGGCACGTCTGGGCAAAACTCTGGCCACAATTTATGGGGACCGACACTTGAGGATGCCCATTGGCAATGTTTTCTTCATTTTGCAATGTAAATTCCGGACGTTCAGTTTTTTTTGGACTTGAACCTAAACATTTTTACAAGTCTAGAACTAGTTCCAGCGAACCAGTACACAGCACTAATGGCACGTCACTGTTGCACTGTAGGTAACAAAAACCAGCTATAGCAAACTTGGACTAACAAATGCTTTAACATAAAAGGCGTTGGTTCAAAAGCAGCTACTGAATCTGCACAAGAGTCGTGATTATTGGTTGTTCCAGGACGCAATCTTCCTCTCCAGCTGGTCTCCGATGTCGTTCAGCTGACACCTGCGGAGCGCTGTGACCAGGTCTGCGTAACGAGCGTCTTCGTTCCTGTCGCTCCACAGAAGTAGCGCCTGCCGGCCCTGCTCGCGAAGCTTACGTGAATAGTCCTCAGAGATGCACTCAATGTCCGTTTCTGAAAGCTGAAGCTTGCGGGCCAGCTGGCGCCAGTTCCTGCCCAAGTTGTTTTCAACGATATCGAAAAGTTCCCGCCAACGAGCTGAAATAAACATAAGAACATATGAGGGCTGTGGTATTGTACAGGTACAGACCCAGACCTTAACAAGTTTGGCCAATCATCTCTAACTTTAAAGTTATACAAATCATGCATGGCAAACTTTCTTTTCCTAGTGGTAAATTGCCATATTTCAATGACAATTTACATACATGTATTTATGAAATCAGTATTCTCCTTATTACTATTATAAGTCCTAAATTATCATCTTGGAGACAAGAATTACAAATGTCTAATATCCACTAGTTAGTGTTTTAATTTGTTCAGGACTGGTACATATGCATTCGGGTCCAGACTCAAACAACTTCCCCAACATAACAGCTGCAATATTTTAGTACTAATAGTAGTGACATCACATGTATCAACTAGTACTAAGTAAAGAACAGAAATACGTGCAAGAAAAAAAATATATATTTCTTACCATCTTGGGGCACAGATGTCTGTCTTTGGGGCCCTGAAAGATAGAGGTCAAAAGTCATGTTCAAAATTCGTTACAAGAAACACTACTAGTCATTTCGTAAAATACAAGGGACACCAGGTTTTATAGTGCACCGTTTCCCATGCGTAATGAAATATGCCACAAAAACAGGCGTAAAACGCTTAGGCCGAACCGAACTGAACCCTACATGGAGCCTCCTACATGTACTAGTAGCTACATCTGTTTGGGGATAAGGGGGAGGGGGGCATGTAGTTTACCTGTACCTCCTCTAGCCGTGAGCCTCCCGCTAGTCTGTGTCGGGTTGGAGTCGGTACACAGGTGCTGTAGACGGGCTTCGAAGGTCTCGATGTCTTTCACCAGGTCCTCTCTCTTCTCCGTCCGCAAGATCTCCTTCAGGAAGCCGGTGTTGTCAAACCTCAACTTGTCCCGCTCTTCCAGGGCCTGGAACAGCTGCAGGGGCCTGGTGATTTCTTCCTGACGCTTTCTACCGATGAAGTCGGAGCACAGAAACTTCAAGGATTCCAGCTGCTCGTCTGTTAGCTTCTTGCCTATCTCGTTGAGGCATTTCTTGAATTCTATGCTCCTACGTTGTTCCGTGTCGCCCATTTTTGCGTGTGTTTCTTTGAGAAAATGTTGGAAACCCCCGTTACTTACGTCAACGTACCAAATGCATCTTGTTTCACTTCCTGGTTTCGCAAAGGATAGTGGGATTGGTAAAGACCACTAGTAGCATAGGGGTGTTTTTTGTTCGTGTACATACTAGTAGTAGTGATAAATGTACAGTACATATAGAAATGTAACATATATCTCAAGGTGTGCTTCAAATTAAACGTTGGATGTAACAAGGCAAGCAGATATGTCAGACTATCTGTCTTTAACGTACTACTTGAGAAAGACAGACAGTGCAATTGCTAACAATACACCATGCCCGCATACTGAAGTTTAACGGCATATTTGTTTAACGTCAAGTGCCCCTCAGGCGGCTAGACTGACGGTTTGAAAAGCTGTTTTCAAAAACTCTGATTGAGCTTTTGAAACTTTGTTGGTTTGTTGTCAGAGTATACCCTACTCCAGTCGACGTCAAATTTGCGGATTGACCCGTACGGTAAGTGAATTTAGACTCAGAGTACCAGGCTTCGGGAGGCGGCTGGAAACAGTAGAAATTGGCCAAATACTACTAGTAGTAGTAAACATGCCGAGGGAGTTGATCAACCAGACAGTACATTTTGCCGAAGCCTAGGCATAGTTCTTGGTGAGTTAGCCTGGGTGCCATACTGACCGTGAGTGTTGCCAGGGGCTAGACTCACAAAATTTTACCATAGACGCCCCTCAATACAAGTCAGACTCTGGGCAACGAGGTGCTCTCGCGGCGTCTGTGATCGGGGCTTGTGGCTTCCCCCCAGCCGAAGGGAGTATTGTGTCGAGCCGGAGTATGGCATCCAGGCTAATAGTCAGCCTGAGGATATCGATGTTCCGTGTGGAGGGTGGTCGGGTTAGGACAAGGGCACAGGCCGTTGAGCCACTAGAGGCGAGTCTATCAATGTCACAAGGCCACACTAGTACATGTATGCTCACAATCGAACTTTGACCAGTGTTTCAACAACAGACATGTTCACGGTCGTCGTTAAGTGCTGACTCATTCTTTGGTACCTCAAGTTAGCCGTGAAAGGGCACCGACCAAGAGGAAATCTACTAAATACGTACCTCATCGTCCATTTATATATAAACTTGAAGGTAACTATCTCGTCGTGTGACCTTAAAAGTTAAAGAACGGGTGACAGAATAAAACGCCTATTTCTGATTATTACTGCATGTTTTGTTCACTTAAATGACCTCTGATCCGTTGGCACCTTACATTACCCTTTACAAACGTTCTGTCAATTTATCTATTTATTCCTGTTTTGTATGCTTTAGTCGTGCCTGAATGGCACTCAGGCTTTGGAATCAAAAACTCCGAATGTGGCGTAAATGGTAGCGTGTTCGGCTCAGTACCAAGAGGTCCCGGGTTCGAATCCTACCATGTTAGCGATCTTGTAGCCTTGGTGAAAGGCACTTAACACAATTTCCTCGCTTCACTCAGGTGTAAATGAGTACCTAGCTTCGGTTAGGGACGTTCCTCGGATAGAACTTTAAATAGAGGTCCCGTGTTTGGGAGAGCCAAACCCCACTCAAGTTTAAGGAACACACTTATCGAAAAGAGTACCTAAGAGGACCTTCCCAGTGTGAGTACTAGTGGTTCAGACCTTACAGTCTAGTCTTACACAGCTTGTACTTACATGTACAAAACTGATGTGGTACGCCGAAGGCGGTTTACTGGTTATGCACTGAGAAAGTTGCTGTGATTATGGGGTTCTCGTTTTGGATAATTAGCAATCCCAGTTTGTTTTGTTCTCTTGGTTGGTAATTTGCAATGTTTTGCAGATTTTGACAAGATGGCTGCCGAAAACGTCCCATCCAAACAGGCCAGGATCGACAGAATAAAGGCCACCATTCGGACCTGTCCGGACTTTCCAAAACCAGGCATACCGTTCAAGTAAGGACGGCAGTCGGATGACAGTCTTCACTTTATCGTACCAACTTCAGCTCGTAACGGAATGTTGATGTAGAAATTTGTGGTCGATCAGTTCTGTAATAACACTTCTGTAAATGCTTTTTTACTGTACTGTATTTAGTAATTCGCAACATATTAATAGATTCTTAATGTCTTAGTTGCCTATATCAACTTTGTGTATGAAACAATCATACATGCCTAGCGCCTCTCTTTAAATCTGATTGTTGAACAGTGACTGTGTGTGCAATTTGTTATATGTAAAATATCATAGTTATTGAACACAATTAATATAATATGTCTTGTACAGAGACCTTATGCCGATTCTACATAACCCAGATGTCTTCTCGGATACCATAGCTCTTTTGGAGGAACATGTCAGAGAAACAGGGACCAAAGTGGACGTAGTCGCTGGTAAAGTACTTGATGCATTTTCCCTTGTGAGAAATGAGTAGGGGTTCCTTACACAAATGTGGTAAAACTCACTACTTTCACACAATCTTCCTTGTAGGTCTTGAGGCCAGGGGCTTTCTGTTCGGCCCACCGTTAGCCCTCCGTCTGAACTGTGCGTTTGTTCCTATCCGGAAGGCGGGAAAGTTGCCGGGTGAAACTGTGAAGTGTTCTTATGTACTGGAATACGGACAGGTATACTAGTATAACCTTCTCAAACTTGGTGCACTTCAGCTCCAAGCAGATGTGGGTATGAACTGAGATCGTAACAGGCAGAGAAGCCGAGGCGATTTTCACCCGGCCCCAACATGTGCTTGGAGATAGCATAATATTGCTGCAGTACAGATTCTAAACTTCTTTACATTCAGAAACGTAGGGCGTAACATATGATTCTACTAAGTAACGTTATACAAATGGTGGCAAAAGTACTCGCTTGCTGGTTATGTTTACCAAAGGAAAACATATTGTTTTTGCTCTGTTCCCTCTTCTTCTTCTCTAAATCAATAAGGCCAATGAACCAGACGTCTGTCACAATATGGTAATAAGTGTTGGCTTACATCATGTTGCAATTTTATAACAGGAGCCTTCAGACTCCTGTCATCATATATGTAAATGCGTTCGAGTAAAAATTAACAGAGCAGACCATATGTGAAGGTAACATTATGCATTTGCTATGCAAATGTTACCTTTCTATTGTTTTATGTAATTTCAGGACACTATGGAGATCCAGCAGTCTTCAGTCAAGCCGAACCAGAATGTGGTGATCGTTGACGATCTCATTGCCACGGGAGGTTCGTGTGGTTAGTTTACTTCTGGGAGGCGTACAAATTTCCAAGTACGCTTTTACGTGGGATTTAAAGTGGACCGTTTCTTATACCTAGCCTGTAAAAGTGCCACGCATATCCTGATATACACGTATCAAAGCTTATAATACAATATTCACCTGTCATAGAATCATACATTCCCGTTGTACTACTAGCTAGTCTTGATATTTGGTAGGTGGGTAGGTCTTGATGAGACATCGAAATCATTAGATTTTGGGCCCCTGGCGGCTTGTTATGGCACTGCAGCGGAACTTCCGGTTTTGATATCTCATGATCTGGACAGGCTAGGGTCACGAAATTTGTATAGCCTCTTGTGTGCTCGGGAAGAGGTGAGTTTGGGCCCCCTAGCAGCTTGCTTTGCAACTACAAGGGCAGTATAAATTCGTCAGCTATAAAGGTTAACATCATTTGGGGAAGGTATGAGATCGTAGAACTCTCGTTACCCTATTTTTCTCCGCCCACCCTAGGTACCATGGCTGGCGCGTGCAGACTGGTGGAGACTATGCAGGCTAACGTGGTGGGGTGTCTGGCTGTGGTCGAACTGGATTATCTTAAGGGCAGGGATAACCTTAAGTACGCCGTACACTCCCTCATACACTACTGAATTACAGGATTGTACTTATCTGCGTCTTCCGATGTTTCATCAAGACTTATCCACCCACCAAATAACAAACACGACCGTCTGTCACCTTCTCCAGGGCAATTCTGACTGGTTCACATTAGATGCATTGCCAAACGCATAATATTTATCGGTCTCAAACGCACGGAGTTGGATGTATGCATAATTGTGGTCAGAAACGTCGGCTGAATAAAACTCTTGGTTGTGTAAAAAGAGTCTCTTTATTCAGCGACTTACCCACCTGATGAAACTATTCACGGATGGAAGAACACAACTATTGCTTATGATAAGTTTCGAAACACTTTTTTTGTGTTTTTTGTTATACTATTCGGAAGGCCTACTAGAAGAAGCTATAGTATAGCTACAAAAGATCAATCTATTGACTTCCAACTGGTCAACGAATCCGCCCTGTCCCTAAACCGGCCACTACTGTGTAAATACTGTCCGTGAAGAGCCGTGTTTGTTTGAGGAGATAATTGTCCTTACTCCGGCAGTTATTGTTACATTCTGCCCTAATGAGAACCCGTCTTTGTAGGAGGAAAACCTGAGTAAACCTGTCGGGACCTTTTGGGTCGACCGGGGCACGGCGATATCGATCTGAGAACACACTTAAAGCGATATTATGTGAGATATTATTGCTCATAGTACTAGTCCAAAATGTCGGTAGGTTAAAGATATCCAGTGCAATTTTTAGGGCCTGGAAACCAGATTTTTAAGTCAATATTCTAGTCACATATCGTCATTCGTGGAGCAAAATTGCTCCAAATCCTGACGACAAATGGTTACTGGAAGGACCTGGGATGATTTTAGGGTACCACCCAGAAAATAAAGGACTCATCTTGAGGCTTGTTTGTGCAGTTTTAAAGACTGATTCAAATGTGCTAATGTGGAACAGTATGTGCCAATATCATACAGATTGCCTTATTCAGAATATTTCCAGTTTTGCCGCCCTGAAATTGCATTGGATGCCGTTCAGGTTGTGACGTCACCAGTGCAGGTCGGAAGTCCGGCAGATTTTGTGGGATTTATGTTTTTGTCATCGATTGAAACGAAGGAACAAATGAAGTAACATATACGTGTGTGTCACAAGTGTGTGTCCGCAGAAATCTCTTTCAGGCAGACTGTTATTCAACCACTGGTGTACTAGATCTAGACTACTATTAACTGAAAAGAATCATCCCCAACCCCTTTAATACCACTCAACAAAACTAAAGCTAGTCCCTCATCATTTATGACATGTCACACGGGAATGCTTCATATTTTCTTTAACGTATTGAGATACACAACTAGGAATAATGAAATAAATGTAGCCAACTACTACTAATCTAGGTTTCGATTTGGAAAAAAAACCTCATAGATCAAAAATACTTGAACATTACAGTACAGTACAGTACAGTACAGTACATAATAGGACTCAATACATTGCGCTAACTCCAAAATTCGCGCAGGGATAGATCAAGAGATGCTCTCAGCCTCACCTATACACTAAGTTGAAACAACACTATCCCAATGTATATTGACCCTCATGGAGCAAAAATTTCCAAAATCCTGACGAAAAACGGTTACTGGAACTTAGTGGAAGGACCTGGATTGACCGTTTTAGGGTACCGCACAGAAAATAACGGACTCATCTTGGGGCTTGTTTCTGCAGTTTTAAATGCCTAAAGTATGAAATACTGATTCAAATGTGCTTGTGTGGGGCAGTATATGTGTCAATATCATACAGATTGCCTTATTCAGAATATTTCCATTTTTCCGCCCTAAAAATTGCATTGGATGCCTTGAAGTCAGCCCAACCAACAGATACTCCCAGGTAAACACACCTTTATCTGGTTGTGAACTGAAGAGGACACAGGCTGCCTTTGAGTACGGAGACCGGCCAAAGCTGTACACACGGACGGGTTGATCGATCGGCGCTTTTCACATAGTTTCTCCTGTCAGAGAAGTCATTTCCAGCTACGGGAAGGTTCCGACGCGTTGCTCTTCTTGGATCCTCTCTTGCTAATTGTTTGCTTCCTTACATCGTGTACTGTCTCTAGACTCACTCGGACACTGTCATTGTGCTTGTTTCCTGAGCAAAGGTAATTTTAAAGCGTTTTAATTATTTTCGTAACCGCTACGCTAGCTATATAATAACTATTACTAACTCATCAGCCTTTGAGCGTAAATAAACAACTGCGGGATTATATACGACTTCCGAAAATGGCAACAAAAGTCTGTCGACAGCAGTAGATTATACCAGATAGGCAGTGCGTCACGTCTTAGTCATATTGTTAAGTAAAACTTGTTACACTTGCTTAATGTTAGATAGCTAATGTATATTTTAAATTTAAGGATTCCTTGCTGTGAAAACGTTCGTATTTGAAAAACAAACACTGTTGCGTATCTTAATAAACGTAGTTCGTATTACAGATAGTTAAACAACTTGAATGATATAAATCAGTTGTAGTTATCGTTCAGAAAGCTTAAAGGTATCTAATGCCATTTTTAGGGCTTGGAAACCCGATTTTTCAAAGTCAATATAATAGTCCCTTATGTACATACTAAGTTGAAACAACACTGTTCTAACGTATATTGACCCTCATTGAGTAAAAATTCCCAACTTTCTGGCAAAAAAACGGTTACTGAAAGGACCTGGATTGATGTTTAGAGTACCACACACGAAATAAAGGACTCATTTTATGGCTTGTTTCTGCAGTTTTAAATGCCCAAAGTGCTCGGCAGCTGAAATGCTGACTCAAAAGTGCTAATGTGAAGCAGTATGTGCCAGTATCACAAAGATTGCCTTATATTATTATATTCAGAAAATTTCCAGTTTTGCTGCCCTGAAATCGCATTGGATACCTTTAAGAGAGTGACGTTCTTCCCCGATGACAATAATACATACGTAGTGACGGTGACCCCACGGGCGCCATTGTTCGTCGATCTACCACAGGGGGTGGGCGGCCGCTGACAGCCGGAGAATCGTGCTTTTGAAACCCGCCATTGTTCCGTCCCTGCCACCCTGCATTCCTCTCCACAGAGACGCCGGGGAGCAATGACAACAAGCGAGGCGGAGGCAGACCTAGATCTGGACAGCCTAGCTTCACTTTCCGACGACGGCGGTAGCGAAGACCACCACCGTGAGTCCATCCAGACGTTCCTCGGAGACATGTGCGAGGAGTGCCGAGGATCGGACCTCCCAGCCCACCATGCCACCTCCCTGGGGCACCTGGGCTGTCTGAAGAGGGTGGTCGGGGAGAAGAAGGAAGACATCGCGCTGTTTGATGAAGACGGCAGCACTCCGCTGTATCTGGCGGCCAGGAAAGGGCACAGCCACTGTGTGAGGTAATGTCATTTACGGTGGATCTATTCACAGCGAACTGTCTTACATGTCTACGAAATTCAAATAGAAAATAAAAATTACAAGGTCCAGCTAGCTAAAAACCATAACGTTCAACTAATTTCTTATAACCATGGTCTAATATCTTAAGAATATTACTAGTATTCTTGTAAACAAATGTACGGTAAGTTGTTTTCTGACAATACACCGTGAGTGCGAGACTTATTTCTGTGTCAGAGAACTTCAAATGTTTTATGAAATATCGTTGAACTTTTTTACTTATCGTTAGAGAGAGTTAAATGGTCTTTAGATATTTATATGATAATTTGCTTGATGTCTGCCAGGCACAAACTTAGTTTCTTGTTCAGATTTTTTAAACTGCGGCGAACCAATAAAGAAATAATGCACTAGCCTTGAGAGAGAGTTAGAATTCTGTATGAGTCTCCGTAAAGTCAATAAATCTTCCGAAGTTCACTCGGCTGTCCGGGCAGCACAGTAGTCTCCACCAGACGTCTTTTGCAGGCAAAATAAATCGTAGAAATCGGCCCAAAAAGGATATTGATTGGCAAGAGAAGGTAGCCGGCCTGCAGGAAAATGGAGCTTCTCTGGCCAGCTACCTTCTCTCGCCAATTAATACCCTTTTTAGGCCGATTTTTACGATTTATTCAGCCTGCAAAAGAAGTCTGGTGGAGACTAGCAGCACAGGGCGAAATTGAGCAAGTCGTCCTGTGTCCCCGCCTGATTATAAATCACAGCCGTGAATAAGACAGTAAATCTCGTTCTATTGTACCTTTCAATACAAAATACACCGTCCTGTGGTGCCTCTTATAATCATCATTACGACAAATACAGACAAGCTTATTGTACTCGGGGATAAGTACGTCTGGGCCTCTGCTTTTCAGTAAGCCGCACAATTATGCAAATTTGTCATCACAGATCTTTTGGAACATCGACAGGCAATGATATCTACATAAAGCGGAAACTAACTGGAAAGATGGCCAATTGAACTGACATGTTTTTGGATATTTGGAAAGTAAAATTGGCTAAAAACGGGTCATGATATCTACATAAAGCGGAAAGATGAACAAATGTAACTTGTTTTGGGATATTTAGAAGGTTCATTGTTTCCTATATAATCTGTAGTGTATATTCTCTGCACGTATGTGTGTGTAGATCTACTCCTTACTTGGAACCCCCCTCATGGTTCTGAAAATATCTCGAAAGGTCACACGGTTGTAGTGGACAAAAGGCGGCCGTCACGATTTGCTATCGAGCCGCTGTCCCATTGTGGAACAGATAGCACAAGAGGCGCTCTCGAAAACCCATTCTGTCGGATTCTTTGGCACGAGATGGGCACGAGAAATGTGTGGGTAGAACCAGTCGCCGTGACAGTGATGTATTTTTATGGGCATCATTGACAGTTAGGAACTTATAGTCTGCCTAGAAGTTGTGTGTTTTCACTTTTTTAAACTGCTAAATCTGTAGTTTTAGTGTTGGAATTCTTAAACATTGAAATATTTGCAATTAATGGTTATAATATATAATATTTTCTGTATAGATAAACATGATACACTACGATCATACATGTAGCTAAAGTAGATCGTCGTCTTCGTAGAGATTTTACTTGGTTGCCATATATTTGAATCTCAAACAATATGTTTTGCTCCTATGAAGTCCATCTAAAGCTATCTTGCCTCAAAGGAGAGATGGGAAGAAAGAACGAATGCCTCTTTCAAAAATTAATAGAACGCTTTTTATACTTGATTATTGTACTGTATTGCATATGTGCATTTATTTGGCTTGTGAAATCTTTCAGGGTATCGATGAAAAATTGGAAGAAGAACCGTAGATCGATCTACGTAAATCAGTGTACTTCACCCTTGTGCGACGCAGCAGTGGCTAGCCTCCTTCGCAGACTTCCGATGCGGCGGCGTTAATTTTTTTGGGGGAACGACGCGAGTTATGCCGCAGTGGGATTTTGCTATCCTCTACCAGGCTTCGGGAGGCGGCTGAAAAGAGTAGAAATCTGCCAGATAGAGAGATGCAGTTTGCCGCTCCACTATCTCCAGCAGACCAACTCCCTTGTCATGCTATCTCTCTATTTGGCCGATTTCTACTATTTCCAGCCGCCTCCCGAAGCCTAGTAGAGGCTAGCATTTTGCCGGGGAGAGACGGTGTCCGCGCATCGGCGGCGTCAAAACCGGTCGCTCGGCGGCATAACTCGAGTCGCTCCCCGAAAAAGAAAATTAACGCCACCGCATCAGAAGTATGCTATTGAGGCTAGCAGTGGCTTTATTTTGAACCCCTGAGCCATGACGTCACGCCCACGTGACTGGTTACCACGGACGCCTCCACAGTCCCCGGAACTATGTCCTCTCCTGACCCCGGGCGTCTTATGCAAATTAGGCTTATCGTTTATCCATGTCAGGGTCGAAAGGGCGGAGTCACGGAGTTGACGCTACCACTCGTCTGTCATTATCTAACAAGAAAAATAGGTGTTCCTGTTTTTACACAAGCTTTTCCAAATAACGCGATTCTGAGCGTTTAGAAATCACAACTTTTGTGCATATTTGCATTGACATCATTTTCATCAGTTTCGTTTTCTCATTATACTCGTTTGTTATCATCGAAAAAGAAAAGTAAGTGTTATTGTTTTTATAAATAGAGATTTTTTTTACAGTGGTTGACGCATTTAACTTTGTTCTCGTTCCCAGGTGGCTGGTGACACATTTAACTTTGCTCTCGTTCCCAGGTGGCTGGTGACGCAGGACCTGGTACCGACCCGTGCGGCCAATGTTCGCGGGGAGACGGCCGCCATGGTGGCCGCCGCGGAGGGCCAGCTCAAATGTCTCAAACTCATCCTCTTCAACGGCTACGACCACCACTACGACATCGGCTTCGACCGGGACAGCGGCGGACTGACACTCCTCCATGCTGCTGTGCTCAGGTCAGTCTCAGAACCGGATCACAACGCTTCTTTGGAAGTGGTCTAAGGACAAGCTGTTTTTGCACTGATTCATAATATCATGTTTTACCTATTTTATCAGTACCTATTTTAGCTCCTGAATCTATATATCCTCTACGCAAATAGAGGATATGGACTCGGGAGCTAAAATAGGTCTGGTAACAAGGCTATTTTATTATACCATACTTCCTCGCCCTGACAGAGACCGTGAGGCCGTGGCGTTATGGCTGGTGGACCAGTTCGGAGAGACTCTGGTGGAGATGAAGACGAATGACGGCCTGCTGGCCCTGCACATCGCCGCCGCCAAGGGCTACCTGCAGCTGGTCAGGACCCTGGCGACAAGCAGCAGCGCTTCTGTCTGCACACAGGACGTCAGGGGTACGGGACATCGCTAACAATTCAGTTGTAGTAAAAGTTGAGAGTTTACGATATCAGCTCACAGTGTTCCAAGATTTTACATCCCTGCGTTTTAAGGCATGCCAGTTTTTTTTACAAGGTACTCGTGCAGAGCAACTTCGTTGCAGCTCAGCTAAGCACACTGGTGTTGGGGCACCCCTAGGCCTGCTATTTTCGATAAGCGTGTTGGATTCTGGTTCTGTTTGGATAGCTGGTGTAATACACCGAAGGGTGGTTATGCTGGCTATACAGATATAGACACAGATTCCCAATTTACGTAAAGAGGTTTGCTGTCAACTACAGGGCTCTGGGGGTCCTCTGGGCTTACGCCTCACTTTTCACTACCAGCTTACAACGTCCGAATGTAGATTGTAATTTTTTCTCCTTGAAGGGGCCACGCCCATGTTCTACTCCGCCCAAGGAGGACACGTGGACTGTCTTTCTTACATGGTGGAAGACATGAACGGAGACCTCTTCATCTCCACCCACGAGGAGAAGTCTCCGCTGCACGTGGCAGTACAGGGCGGCCATATTGAGACGGTGCAATGGCTTGTGGGAAGGATGGGGGCTGCCTCGCTGAGACTACAGACGAAGGACGGAGCTACCGTCATGCACTACGCGGCCGGTAAGCACAATGCTTCTATTTTATTCATTTTTTTTCAGGCACTCACTGGACTGTAGATAGAAGGTACATGAACAAAATAAAGCACATATACAAAACCACACAAAATTCAAATCCTACATGACTTGTAATCAAGTAAATGTAGCACTAGTCACGGTCTATACAACAGCCTCATCGACTAATGAAATCAACATATTCTATAAAGTGACATGAACTTCGCGTATCTTTAGCAATGGGGCACACTGACATCTTGCGCTGGCTGCTGTCCCAGCATAAGTCGGCAGAGGTCGCTAAGATGACGGACAAGGAAGGCGGGACCGCCGCACATGACGCCGCAGCGAAGGGGTGAGATCCTTGTATTCTACAACTTCGAGATGCCGTAAAATGTCATATTTTACCATTCTGCTCTATTCTAATTCTACAATATTTGTCTGGTCTTCACATCTTTTAACATTTTAAATACCACAAGACAACCTCAAACTTTGCCCATATTTGCCACCCATGTTCTGTGTTGCAGGCACGTCGGATGTCTGAAACTACTTGTAGAACTGGGTTTGGACATACACCAAAAGGACCAGGTAAAAGCAATTCCTTGCCCATTTCTCAACCTTTTTTTATCTTCAGTGTTAATCAAACGTAAAACAATTAATCAATCCATTTGTTAGTTACACACTTGATTAACTTAATGAATACTTCCTACCATACCTGTTTAGGATGGCGTTTCACCTTATCAACTGGCGATACAAAGCGGAAGTGACGTATGCATCCAGTACGTCACTTCCTTGCCAGGTGATATGTTCGGCCATCGGAGTTTCTGGGTGCGACGTCACGAGAAACCAACTACATCAAGTACGTCTCTCGTTTTTGTTACACTTTGCGTAGGCAAAACCTATTCTGGCTTAGGCCAAAGCGTCTAAATTCTATGGATGACATCCTCCGCAGGCACCAAATCTGATGCGATAAGGCGAAAAAAACAAGGCAGGCCAAAAAAACAAGATTTCTATAGTGTCAACTTTTGAGATCATTTTTATTAGCAGCAAGCTCACATATAGAGGAGTTTCCCATGCTGTGTGCCTTAAAGGAAGGAGTAATATCTGTTTCCCGCACGACAGTTGACAGTGGGATCAGCTGCGGTACAGACGACACGGCCTCCCCCTTCACCACGCTGGACCGGCCCGCCCTGTCGGCGGAACGTCTGCCGCGGACAGGCAGCCTCATGAACGCAGCGTCACGGGCTTCAGACAGCAAGGTGCGTACAGTAAGCCCGTCGGTAGAACGTACTGCTCCTGCGGAAAACCCGTGGTGCATACTTCGGCAGAACGTTTCATATAACATAAGGTCGTATTCGCGCATATAAGGTTAACATCCCGTCTGTTTTATCCAAATGTTAAGTCGGAAAAGATACTGTTTGCGACAGGCAAAATTCTGATGCAACCTAATCAAAAATTACCTTTATGTTGTAGACCGGCACACTTCTATTATGTTTTGACCACAGCTTCCGGGGCCGAAGCGCAAGTCGAGAAGAAAAAGCTGGAAGTTTTGGAAAAGCAGAAAAGACGACGACGAGAACGCGCCGACGACGGAAGACAGGACGATCCCGACGTGTAGCCGCACACCAACACCGCCCCCTGTCAGATCACAGTGGCATGACATCTCCCTGGAGGCCAGGCTGCTGCCCAGGAAGGACGCGCTGTTTCCAGACGGGCAGCCGGACGGACCCGGCTACAGCTGGCGGAGGAAGGGCTCTAAGTCACTCTTTCAACAGAAGCACCGTAACTTCCTACATTTTTAACCTTTTCCCTGCTGCCTAACCCCTTAACCATAAGAAATTTGCTGCCACAGAGCTACCTTAACCACTAAAGGTTAACTCTCTTCTGGTGAATGAACTTTGCACAATATGCTAGTATATGTAGTACCGCTCCAAATGTTTTGATAAAAATGTAATGGTACATCATTTCATGAATAATCTTCAAGGCCGTTCTATGTAAGGTTTTATAGATGAATATTTCTTTCACCAGGGTCTGCCCCTGTGTGTCTGCCTGCTGAAGAGATTGTCGGTAAAGCAGGTGACAAGGGCACAGACGAAGGGTAAGTTCCTTTTTGTTAGACCACGACTATGGATATGCCAGCGGTCCGTTTCCTTTAATAACCGACAGGGGGCGCTGTAGAATACTGACTATACTGAGTATTCGGTACAATAGATTTCACGTTCAGCACCAAGGACAGGATCTACAGTGCTTGTTTTTCAATGGGTGCAGCGTAACCGTTCAATTTTTAGTGCGTTGCACTGATTGAAGCCAAAGAAATCACGTGGTCTATCTTCCTAGGCTGTCATTGGCTGACAGAAAAATCACGTGATCTTCCTCGGTTTTCATTGGCTGAAAGACTAGTCACGTGTTCTATCTTCCTAGGTTGTCATTGGCTGACAGACAAATCGAAATGATCGTCAGCGACATCCGGGACAGTCCTCAGCCTGAGTCTGCCGTAATGCGCAAGCGCCGTGACAGCAACTGGACCTTCCGTCGAAAGAGCAGTTCAGAGGTCGAGGCCCCAGATGACCTGGTCACCGCGCTGGTCAACCTGAGTTTAGAGGACCATGTCAGCGAGGGGAACAGTCCGGCTCTGTCGGTCAGAAGTAACCATGGCGATAAGGAACCAGAAACTCCGCAAACTATGAGAGTAACAAGGTGAACTCTAGATCTACCAACAATTCCAACATTTCTTTGTTTGTTTTGAAGATCTAACCCTTTTGAGAATAAGCTACACATTTATTGCTAACATTTTGTATGTAGAATGACACTTGAATCAATCTGGAAAGATACAGAATAAAATGGAGAACGGTTTGTGAATTTGACTTTTTATTCACCTTCCTCTGTAGGGCCGTTGTGCATTCTTCGGATGAGGACGCATGCGCTGTTGTCCCGACAGACGAGACGCCAAACACTCTCCACGACATTGACCTTCCCAATCAGCTGATCCAGGTCAAGGACACAGAGGGCGTGACGGTGCTCTCACCTGGCACCGAAAGCGCGCGCGTTAAGAAGCCCCTGGCAAGCCGGTCTTACAGCGACCCCACTGGTACTAAACGTCCCGCCAGTATAGCCGGGCTGTGCGGGGCAAAAACCGGAGCATCTGCTGACAACGACGACTTCATCACAAAGACAGACAGAACGTGGGATTTCCACTTCGGAAAACCTTCCACAGACCCAACAACGACAACAACAGCCACTACCGACAGTTTGGACAGCGCAGACCTAGTACAAGATGTTCCCTCTGACAGAGAAGTTACAAACGGTACAGTTTCTTCAACTCTAAATCTAAAAGAGTCAGAACCTGAAAAGGTGTCAGCTTTGCCAGCGGCTAACGGAACTGATGCTGAAGTTCCTCCTTCGTCACCCAAGGAAGAAAATACAGACTCAAATAGTGAGCAGGAACGGCTTATATTCAAACCTGACACTGAAGAAAACACAAAAGCAGACCCATCCGAAGCACCAGCCAGAACACACAGTGTACACCGACCAAGGCCCGCTCCTACTGTGACTACTACTACTACTACTACTACTACTACTACTCCTACTACTACTGCAAGGGTGGAAACGCCTTTTAAGAATGTGATACAGCAAGGACTGGAGCGGCTGAGGAAGCCCAGAGAGATCACTATAGTTGAACTGGACGGGAGAGTAGTGACATGTTTTACGTCACTAGAACTGGAGACAGCCGGGCGTAGTACAGAGTGGAAAGGACGGGAGGCTAAGGTGGGATTATGTACATGTAATGGCACCTGTCTTAGGTTGACTCCTCTCTTGGTTCACTTTTCTCTCCGTCCGTCCGTCTGTTGGTCTACCTGCTGCCCCTCTTCTCTCTCTCTCTCTCTCCTTCTCTCTCTCCCTATCTGTCTCTCTCCTTCTCTCTTTCTTTTCCATTTCAATCTTGGACGTCGTCCGTACGTCTCCATCTGTCTTCCTGTTGCCCCTCGCCCCTCTTTCTCTCTCTCTCTCTCTCTCTCTCTCTCTCTCTCTCTCTCTCTCTCTCTCTCTCTCTCTCTCTCTCTCTCTCTCTCTCTCTCTCTCTCTCTCTCTCTCTCTCTACTTCTCTTTTTCTGTTCCATTTTACTCCTGGACGCCATCCATATCTTTACGCAGTAAGTACCATGTATACAGTAGATACACTGTGGTGTGGTGACACGTAAAATCAAGGCGGTTGTTGTGTATTGTACGACCTTTGACTGTAGATGACACAATGTAAATGTCGCACATACTTACAGGGAACAGACAAGGCAGTCGCAAACAAAACAGGGCGAGCGGGTTCCAACCAATCAAATGACGACTACACAGAAGGTACTAGTAGTTTTTTTTTAAATATTTGCATATATCACATTTTCCTTTTACATGCATTTCTTATTGTTTTTATCCAGTGATCATTTCTCCAAGTAACATAGGTGACATAATCAACCCTACCATTGAATCTTTTTATGCCCTTATTTAGAAGATTACGTCTCCCTAAGAAGGGCGTTAACCAGACGGCTCAGCCAATCCCTGTCTCCGTACCATCTGGAAGAAATAGAGAGTCATGAATGCAGCAACAAACCCTCCAACAAATGATGAAATTCAATCTAGTACTACTGACTAAAATACAATATATTAGCCTATACTGTTTTACAATTTTGTATAGGGATATTCAAGCTTCCATTTTTGTACATGCTTTATTTGAAATATTATGTCTATGGTTGTGTTGTCGTGTTTTTTTTTCGTGGATATATGAGCAAAAATTAACGTGGCTGCCTTATCTATGTAGCTAAATTGAGATCTCACTCAACACAGCCCTATAACTCCGTTCTAGCTTTATTTTATATAGAATAATGAGATATATATAGTATACTTTAATTTGTGTTGTTAATGTCATATGTATATACATGTATATGTTATCATTCTGAGACTATATAATAAAAACAACGTTAACTGTTTTGAAAGAAGCATGTAGATTGCAAAACGTTTATGTCGTCCTTAGTAACCCACCCTAGACGAGATGCTTACTGATCTGTCCCTCATCATTTTACAATCTCAGGGAGCGATCATTAATAATTGTAGCTGGGTTATGCCAATATAGGAGATTGTACGAAAGCATTGCCATCCACGGAGAGAGTTTATGATTATACATGTAGTAGTGTCTGAATCGAGTTTGCCCATTTTCGGCATTTTGACCACCGTCAGAGGGCAAAACAATTTCTTCCAAATTTTTTTCCCAAATCAGGCTAAGATGCATGCGCGCGCTGATGTCATCCATGAATATTACTTGCTGTGGTCCATGGATGACGGCGGGCCACAGCTTGCGGAGAATTGATTAGTCTACCGACGTCACAACAGGTGTTTGTTTCCCTCAGAACAAAACAAAAGACGTGAAACCGCTGGGTATCTGAAACTGTTGTTGTTTTGTCATGACTATGGTCGAAAGTACGAGCAGAATGTCACCGGGTTCTGAAGACAGCGTGACCCAGGGTACAGACGTGCGCGCACAGAGATGCTCCTGCTCTTTCCCCGGGATCGGTCTCGTCTGTGCTCTGGTATCCACCATATTCTTCTCTCTCAGTTCTCTCTTCGTCAAGCTGCTGTCTGATCTACACCCGCTAGAGGTGACGTTTTTCCGCTGCGCTGCCCAGTTGGTTTGTGCTCTCCCTCCCATTATATACAAGAAACTCCCGGTCGTTCCCAGTGACACGTCTGCTCGGTTGTACCTGCTCGGGAGGGGGATATTTGGAGCGGTGGCGCTGTGCATGCAGTTCTATGCGTTTCACCACATCCCGCTAGGGGACGCTACGACCGTGATCTTCAGCTCTCCGATCTTCATCGCGTTCTTCGCATGGCTCATCTTGAAGGAGGCTTACGGATGGTTCAACTTCGCGGTCACCTTGACTACTCTCACGGGCGTCGTTCTGATCTCCAAGCCTTCGTTCATTTTCGGAAGCGCCGTCGCCGTGCCGAATACTTCCGAACACCTCCTCGGGACGCTGTCGGCATTCGGCGGTGCTGTCTTCAGCGCACTGGCCTTGGTCATGATCCGAAAGTTGGGTAAGGCAGTGCACTTCTTTGTCCACATAACCTACCTGTCGGTTTTCGGCATGATCCTTACGTTTGTGCTTTTAATGGCTCTCGGCGAGTTCAAGACGCCGCCTTGCGGAAGTGATCGGTTCTACCTGATAGCGCTCGGATTGTGCGGCGTTGGCGGGCAGACATTTCTGACCAAAGCTTTCCAGTTGGAGAAGGCGGCTCCTGTAGCGATAGTCCGCACCATGGACATCGTGTTTGCCTTTACCTGGCAGTTTGTGTTCCTGGGAGAGCTGCCAGCCTGGCTGAGTGTCGGCGGCGCCTTGCTTGTCATGTCGTCTGCAATAGCCATAGCCGTCAAGAAATGGCTTCTAGAGAGACAGAAACAATAGAAGTGCTAAAAACCGAGGTTCCAATTATTGCAACAGAAATAGATGCCGACATTCCTACTTCAAAACAAACCTTGATTTATTCAACGCGTAAGAAGAGAAAAATATTTACACCTTTGACAATTTTTTACATACTTATTCAAATATTTGTACAGTTCAATACATCCCTTACAAATTGAGGTTGACAACAAACAACAGTATCAATAACCAAACAAATAGCAGACGCGAGTCAAGTATTTATACATCTAACTCACACTGATAACCCTCCTGTCGCTAAGGTTGATAATAGGTCACTCTAACATGTGGCATATTTGTTAATAGGTTAGTGTTTAACCAGAGCTTTGTGAGTTGAAGAAACGGTTGCAGAACGCTGGTGTTGGACTTTTGGACTTTACCTAAGGTCTTTCTTGTGTGACCTAACGAAAATATCCAGAGCAGCAATAGTGGATAACAGGAGACCACACCCCTGAAGCCACACCTGGTCCATACCCAGACCATAGATAAAACGCTACGCGGTGTTAGAATTCTAGGACCTCTGTATAGCCGTGCAATCTCCGTAGTCATGGGCGGGAAAAATGACGGCGCTGACCGACCTGATCAGACAACAGATCGTCTGACGTTTCTGCTGGCGGTTTCGGCGTTTGTGGCTGCTTTCGGCACATCTTTCCAATATGGCTACAGCTCCAGTGTAGTGGACCAGCCTGCAAACGTGAGTAAACACTGTTTGTATTTTCCGCTCGTGCAGCGTGTAGTGATTATTCAGGATACTGCAATTAGAAATAACACAAGAGGTGTGTTGAACTTTACCGTTACACATGCACTACTCTGTCACACCTTCTTGTTGATTGCTGCGAGCTTATGTGTTTATCATAATATATACCATATGCTCCATAAACTGTTGAGAAGAGAACTACTAAAACTTGAAGAACGGTTGTTGTATGAACTGTTAGTCCATCAACTTCTGCAATTATATTACATGGGCCTGGGTGGAAAGTATTATAACGTAGTTTTGCAATTGCGTAATGCATTATTATTGACACTTCTACAAAGTATCCGAGTTTGCGAGCCCGTACCGTTTGTTGACCATGTGTTGCCAAAAGCGTCCCCGTTAGTTAGCAAGTTTCCATAACAACCATTGCCATGACCACGTGTACTTTATGACGCCAGTGTTTCTGTAGGCATGGGGTGCTGCAGCCTAAATATAGTGCAAGCTTTATAATTTTCTTTTTTTGCCAGATGAGTAAATGTTGGCATGACATGCCAATGGTGTGCGTTGTGTTCAAAATGTTCTATTCTATTCTTTTTGGTTTAGATCATAAAGGAGTTCTACAACCAGTCGTACGTGAGTTTCTACACCGCGCCTCTGACAGAGAGCGGGATTACCGTCCTGTGGGCTACCACCGTGTCGGTCATGTGTCTGGGCGGACTGGTCGGCTCCTTCCTCATCAAACCACTCACGGAACGGTTCGGCAGGTACGCAAGGATCTCCAAATAGATCATCGTTACTTCTTTTCTATATGCCCGTTTGTAACTGTATAGAGGAGGTAGGAACACGCGACGATTTTGCCTCACGACATCTACTTGAAGATTCACCAAGGCCGTGTAAATTTGAGATCTCATGTTTTCCTTGAAAATGCTGTAAGATGTTTTTATATTGAATATTATAGATGCCATTGGGTAGAAAAATACACAAAAGGTCGTACCTGTTTAAAGCAATTTCACTATTTTAAACTTATTCTCGCGCTGCACTGAGTCGTCGGAAAAGCGAAATAGCGACGCTAATGTGTTGAAAGTTATTGAAAATGACAATCTAGATGAGTTATCTATATTTGCATCTTACATAATATCACTTTAATACTACAGAACGAATGTCATATCTGTGTCCCTCTTATTCCGTTGAGGGTGATACAATCCCCCCCCCCCCAAAAAAAACATGGTTCTTCTCGTTGTTTGTTCAGGAAAGGTGCACTTCTGATCAGTAATGTTTTCTCCGTGACGGGCGCCATTTTGTTCGGGTTCTCCAAGATGGCCAACTCCTACCACATGGTCATTATAGGGAGGATCTTTGTGGGAATCCAGCATGGTAAGTACCTTTACTATACAAGTACCTTTACTGTACAGCTCTCTTATATGTTTTCTCTTGTCATTCTTTTCAGAGAGTTTAACGTCTACCTGAAACGCCTGACCGTTTCCAAAATCATATCCAGTTGCTTGAGTAACTGTTTTTGGCGTATCTTATTACCTGGATGTCTAACCTTCACCGACGTAACAGTGAGTTGAATGTTGGACCGTTCTTTGTTTTTCTTTCCCCCGACTCCAGCGCTGTCCATCAGCGTGGTGCCGATGTACCTGGCGGAGGTGTCGCCCACCAGCCTGCGCGGAGGGATATCCGTGATGCACCAGGGCATGCTGACGGTGGGCATCCTGCTGGCACAGATCCTGGGGCTGGAGCAGATCCTAGGTAACACCGCAAGCTTCATATGCACTTATGACTGTGGGGAAGCTGGTACAACATGTACACATATGCGTACTAGGTTACCATGTTCACTTACACATGCATTCATTCATTCATTCATTCATTCATTCATTCATTCACAGTAGTACCAACATATCTGGCTAGATAGTGAGAGAGAAAATGACGGTTGTGGGTGTTGTTGTCTACTACTAAAAAAAGTATTTTGCTGTATTGTAATTAGCCTACTAACTTCATCATCATAACAACTTCATCATAAGAACTTTATTATCATTCGGCAGACATATGATCGCTATTTTATGATGCTTGCTTAAAGGATTAAAAGCTTAAGAGAAGTTTTCAGTTCAAACGATTCACTGAATCGAATTACATACAACATATTAGGTACGTACATTTAAAAGGTACAGTTTGAGATATTACAGCGACATGTTATTTCTATCTAGGGAGCGATACGCTGTGGCCGGTCCTGCTGGCGTTTTACGCGGTTCCGTCCGGTATACAGCTGGTCATCATGCCCTTCCTGCCGGAGAGTCCTCGGTACCTGCTGATCAATAAACAGGATGAAGAGGCTTCCCGAGCCGGTAGGTGGCGCTCTTGTGTGGTCCCATCTTTCGTTGTCGGATTTTCTTGTCTTCTTGAAAGAATGTAAATGGGACGCTTTCAATGTAAATGTTTCAATGTACTTATTTCACAGCCTTGAGACGTCTACGTGGTACCAGCGAGGTGGATGACGCCATCCAGGAGATGAGACTGGAACATGAGCACGAGATGAAGGAGCCGAAGATAACCGTCATCGCACTGCTCCAATCTCGTTCCCTGCGTCCGCAGCTCATCATGGCAGTCGGCGTCATGATGGCCAATCAGCTCAGCGGTATCAATGCGGTGAGACTAATTTAATTGCGGGGTTATAACTAGCTTAAGGAGGTTAAAAGTCAAAACTTTAGATCCAACACAAAGAAGTTCTCTCAACTAGAACTTTCGACCAGTCACTCTGGTCTTCCTCAGTAGACTGACCCAGTGAGGCTTGTCATGTGGCTTCTTTGAAGTGTTTCGTCAACACTGGGTCAAAGAAGCCACGTGACAAGCCTCACTGGGTCAGTCTACTGAGGAGGCCCAGAGTGGCTGGTCGAAAGGTGTCACTTTGTTAGATCTTAAGCTTTAACTTTAAACATGTAACTACCAACACACAACAGGTAACTACCAACACACAACAGATGAACTTTCATGATAGCTTAAGGAGGGTTACTGGTTAAGTATAATGAAAATGTATATAACATTCTTTGACAAACCTCGGAATCGTTTGTGTATGATCTTCTTTCAATAACCGACTAATCCTTTGTCTCACCGTGTGTAGATTTTCGCCTACGTTACGTCTATTTTCGAGAATGCCGGGGTGCCGGAAGACACCAGCGCGTACGCGACCATAGGCACGGGGGCAGTCAACTGTGTGGTGTGTCTGGGCTCGGTGAGAACATTCGACATAGAATACCTTCAACTTTATATGTACATCCAAACTTCATGCAAAACGGCTATAGAAGACTTGTGTAACCATGGTCTGATCTCAATATCTCTTCGAAGATTAAGTTTGTGCCTTCCAAACTCTCGATAGTCAACAACTAGAAATGCTAGATTGTCGTCATATATATCGTATCAGGTGATCTTGATGAATCAATTCAAATCCTGCAGTTTCATTTTACCTCGTGTTTCTATCTGTGCTGTTCACTGCGATGTGAAACACCGGAGCCCCTTAATCATGTTTTATTCTCTTGTGTTGGTCGTTGTGTCTTATGCAGCATTCTTTTGAATGAACTAACTTGCATTCTGAGATTCTTAAAGTTAGTTAGATTTTGTTCTTACTGTTTATAAAGCATGGTGGGCATTGTAGCATCTTCAGAAGAATCATGGGTATAGTCTCAAATATACGGTCTTACCTATGTACGAAACATTGAATGCACTGCCCTCTGTCATGTAGGTGTTGATCATTGACCGAGTTGGCCGGAGACCGCTGCTCATCTGGCCACTGCTGGTGATGACCATCACGTTTGCCCTGCTGACCATCACCCAGGCCCTCACAGAGGTCAGCGTCTGGTCATTTACTAGTGTCGTTAGACCTCGGCTTGTTAATGTTCGTCATGTTTTTTTACATAAAATTCTCATAGACTTATAATGTCAAATAATACTGTGTCACTGACGAAAGGTAGTGGATGCTACCTGAAACGTCTGGCCGTTTCCAAAATCATGCCCAGTTCCTTGAGCAACCGTTTTTGGTGTATCTTGTAACCTGGATGTCTAACCTTCACCGACGTAAATAACAAACAAACAAACAAACAAACATTATCTACACTTTTCCCCTTAGAACCTGTTCTGTGACTGCTGTCCTAACGGTCGGTTCGGGTCGGTAGGAGACGGCGTGTGCCCCCCGGTAGACCTGGTGCAGATAGAACCCTACAACAACCCGTACCAGTGGATCTCCTACCTCAGCATAGCCTTCATCATCATCTTCATCTTCGCCTTTGCTATCGGACTGGGTGAGCTAGTTCTTTTAGACACAATCCGGCCTGAGCTCCTATTGGACTGATGGTCGTAGTGAAAAGGAGTGCTGATCTCCTATTGGTGACAGAATCCTGCGCTCCTATTGGACTGATTTTCATAGTGACAAAGAGTGCTCTCCTATTGGGGCTTCTCCTTTAAAAAAATCAACCCCCTGGCTGGCTTAGGTACAGAGACTGCGGAGAAGCGCCAGAAGACATATAGAGTACTTAGATTGTTCTTTCGTTGTAGCTTTTTAAGGCATTATGACGATATTTCGCAGTTTTAAAGTTTCTGTTAAGTGACAGTCTACGTTTTACACGAAAAACTGCATAACCATAGTGTTTGATTAAAACAAGTGTTTGCTGTGTTTGCAGGGTCGATGCCGGGTCTACTCGGCGGGGAACTGTTCCGCCAGGGGGCGCGCCCTGCCGCCATGACCATACAGAGCGTTACCCACTGGGTCTGTAACTTCATCATCGGGCTGGTCTTTCCCATCCTGCAGGTAATGATGGACGAACATAAGAACATTACTGTAGTATAAGAGCAAAAGGTCCGCTGCAGTGACATATGAACCCGCCATGAAGCCCATTGTTGAACTTCACCTTCATTTTGTTTGACCCTAACCACCCACTGAATTTTATCACAAGTCATCCAAAGTGTCTCTGCTGACAGACAAACCGAAAATACGAAAGGACCGCTGCAGTTACGCAGGAAAGCCAGGAAACCCCCTCCACAAAGCCTATTTTCGAACTTAACCTTCGTCTCCTCAACGAGAACCTGCCTACCAAAAACCAGAAACTTCGAAGTCAAGACGTTGTCTAAATTCACCTAGTGAGGTTCGAGGATGCCCTTACCTTATCATATTACTGAACTATGTATTTTTTTTTCTCTCCTAGGAAGCCATGGGCGCCTATGTGTTCCTCATCTTCATGGTGTTCTGTGGCGTGAGCGGGATCTACTTCTTCTTCCGGCTGCCGGAGACGAAAAACAAAACGTTTGACGAGATTCAGACCCTGTTCGGAGTAGAACAACAGGACACCGAGGAGGAGGAGGGCGTGGGCAACACTGCATTCACCAAGGAAGAGCTGGGGGAGGGGGGCGATGGTGTCAACCCCACACAGCTCGAGTCTGCACTGTAGTGTAGACTCTGCGTTCACTACAAACTTCTTACTCCGTTTTGTGGAGTGTTTTCTTTATTTTAATGCGTGCTGTGTGGCTAGACCTTTATTTAAGAGATTAACTCTTCTAAGAGCACACTGAGTGCACATCAGTCAAGAAATGTCATTTATATAGCTTCAACAGTTTGAAAAACAAAGTACGTTCTTTATTTATAACCACTTGTTTAACATGAGTATCTTCCCCAGGGGCAATTATGACTGGTTCACTGGGCACTAATCAGGCATAGCAGTTTGATCTCGTAACACACTAGCTTAAGGCTTAAGCTCAGTAAGCAACATGAAGAACCTGCCTAACAGGATTGTTCGAGTGTCACAAGGATTCTTGATTGTAATCAGTTCAGCACCAACAGGTACATGCCAGTACGCGTTTCTGTGTAATAACCCCTCAGAACATATAAGGAGCAACACAACAATCTGTACCCGACAGGACAAAACGTAAGTTTTCTATCAATACTGCGATTTGTGTGTGATGTGTATAACGACGTTGGTTAAAGTAGAATGGGTATACTTCTGGACATAGACCCAAGGTAAGAAGCCGACGTACAAACTTGTTGTCGTGCATTGGACGCGCAAACGTTAACGTGTATCGTTTTATTTTCTACTCCAGCCAGATTTCAAAGTCGTAATTACGCATGCGACGCACAAATGCAGTTAACAAGAACGTCGTAGTACACATCTACGAGAAAAGCTGCACTTTACCCAATTACTACGATATACGAAGAAAGTAGATACAACATAGTATTCTCAAGCATGTACCAGTAGTGCGTTTTTTTGTGAAGAACATAGAATTTTTGTCGAGTGATTCACCCGTAAAATATGAACCCTTCTTCGTGCTTCCACGGTACAGAGGATCGTGTGGGCCTTGTTGTAGTTATCCCTGTGTACTTACCACTTACTCAGTATCTTCTCAATCAATTCACAACGACACAAAGTCTCAAAAGATCGAATAAAACAACGCCAGTATTACAATGTATATTCTCTTAAAACGTAAGATTAACTCATTGTGAAACTGGCGTTTGAAAAGGGTTTATATTGTAGACTTCGTTTGATTTGATTTCTTTGGGCCTTTATTTACACATGAAGACACATGTACGTGTCTACTGGCCGCTTTTCGTTGAAATTACGAGGGAAGAGGTAAGGGTAAGGGTCAGATATAAGTGCCCAAATATGATCTTATGGTGGTTGAATCATCTCACAAATAGTCCGTGTGAGCTTTTTTTTTAAATCAGGAAAACGCTTACTAAGTCGACAACAAAGATCCCATTGTGATCACAGGTTAGTTCTAGTGGCTTCTCTACTACCCTGGGCCCGGGGGTGCATCACAGTATAAAGAACGTGGGTGTGGTGTACCAAGGACGTCCTTGGGTGTACACACCGTGATGGAATTTTTCACGGGGCACAGTCTGTCTGAATTCTAGTCTGGTCTTGTTGTTGGCTGTGTTAGGATTTTGGTGCACTGTCATTTCATTAGGTCAATGTAGATGCCTGAAATTTCTAATTTTTGTCTGAACAGGGCTCGAGTGACAAGCCAGGGTTTTCTGTGCCAAAGGGGTTTATCTCATTATCGCATCATTAGGCCACACCAATTTAATCTTATGGATGACATCCACGCGCGATTACGTCCTCGGAGAGGCCATGGCCGGCCAGTCCGACATGGTGGCAACAATGGAGGATGGCACCCAGGCTATACCGAAGTTCCGCGACTCAAGAACTCAGTACATACGTACAGTGCCGATTCATAAGTTCCGCAAAAATTCAGTATGTGCCTGCTTGCCGTATACCTCGCTATGTACTGCCGCAAATTCAGGATACCACCTTTGTATTCCTGTGGTTTAGTAGCATTTTTATTTTTGGCCCGCGCGCACTAGTTTGGGGGTCTTCAGAGGATGTCATTCATGAAATTAAGTCGGTGTGGCCTTACGACTGGAGCTATGTGGCATGAAGGTCACTCCACAGCTTCCATGGTGCAAAATTAGCCTCTACCAGGCCTCAGCCGATGTGCCATCAGACACAGGAGCAACTAAGGTCTAAGGCCTCGGGAAGAGTAGAAAGTTGCAAATGTGTTGTGATGTAATGTAATGTACACTGTCTTTATTTGCTTGTATCATTGTTGAATGAAAGAAAAAAAATGTATGAAAGTACTATTATGTAAAACACTGTAATAACAGAATTTCCTTCCTAATTATGCAAATGAACTCTCCATTTTCATTTCATTTCATTTTATTACGTACATCTCTCCTATGTACAACTCCCCTGGCTCTTCTACCAAGAAAATAAGAAAGTCGACACCATGAGTATGGACGCAGAAATCCACAAGGACGCCGCCAGGGAAATGTGGAAAACTACGGTGAGTTGTCACAAGAAAATACAGAAACATTTAGGCTAAACCACAGCTGATTTCATGAATAGACATGGTGACGGCACACTCAAGTTATATAAACTTATTTTATGCCGCCACCAACGCAGAGGACGAATACAGACAAGACAATACTCATTTGCACTTGAGTTAAGTGAGAAAAGTCGTCTTAAGTGCCTCTCCCAATGGTACAAGATCGGTGGCATGTCAGGACTCGAACCCTGGACCTCTTGGTTCCGAGTCAAGCGCGCTGCCGCTACGCCACACGACTCAACGGCTGATGTCAATTGTGGTCATACGAATTACCTCCGAGAAAAATTATAAAACGTCTGTAGAATCATTCTAGAGGAGATATCTCTCCAAATGTAATTTGTTCAAAGACATCCGATGCACTTTCAGGGAAGCAAAGAAAGAAATATTCTGAAAAAAACAATCTGTAAAACATTCAACTCATAATGCACCACATTAACACATTTACATTCAGTATTTCATACTTCGAGCATTTAGAATAGCATACAGCAAGCCCCAAGATGATTCCTTTGGTACCCTAAAAATCAGTCCGGGATTCATCCAGCAGTTTCTAAAATATTGAGTTTGAAGAATCTGGTTTTCAAACTCCAAAACTGCGTTGGGTGCCTTTCAAATCCTTCTAGCTATCTCTGCTATAGGATGGCATAGAAGTAAAGCGTTTATCTGAAAAACATCAATTTTTGTCCTTGTAGAACGGCACTTACGAGAAAGTTCGGCCGACACATGACCGCGCGGCGGTGCAGTACCTCCTCCGGCAGCTAGGGGTCCTGGACAACGATCTGTGCGACCAGGGTCCTCCCTTCACTTACACCGTGCTAGACGTCGGAGCCGGAACAGGAAAGTGTACCAGTGTTATCAAGGATATACTGGGGGAGGTATATCTTCATGCACTTTTAATACTATTCTGGATGGACCAGATGGATGGATGGATGGGTGGATGGATGGATGGATGGATGGATGGATGGATGGATCGATGGATGGATGGATGGATGGATGGATGGATGGATGGATGGATGGATGGATGGATGGATGGATGGATGGATGGATGGCTGGATGGATGGCTGGATGGGTGGATGGGTGGATGGATGGATGGGCGGAAGGATGGATAGATGGATGGAAAGACGGATGGATGGATGCTGGATGGATGGGTGGGTGGGTGGATGGATGGATGGATGGATGAATGGATTGAAGGAATGAAGATAAAGAATTAAAGTTCCTGATCTCTGTCAGGATGCCCGCCTGGCCGCCCTGGACCCCGTTGCCGGCATGCTGGATCAGTTGAAGGTGGCAGTGCCGGGGGTAGACACCTTCGTCAGCCCGTGTGAGGACATGCCACTTCCCGATAACTCGGTCAAGGTAAGGGCACCACTTCGCAATATGTAGTCTTCTTTCTTACTAAAGCATATGAAAAAAAATACAAGACAGCGATCGGACATAAAGATAATGAACAAAGATTTAATACTACGTAAAAATAACAAATCAACAGCAAAAGTCGTCTTTAATGTTTACATGTTTCTTACATTAAGAAGACATCTTTGTTGATTTTCAGCATCATTTCATGATGAATATGTTTATATATTTTCTATAAATTTGAAAGTTCGCTTGGATGCTCTTTGCCGAGTTTACGACGTCATTGTTTGCTGTGTACATCCCTTAACGTTTATGTGACGTTTTATTTTCATTTGCACATATATACATTTGGATTTAAGACTTTGTAGTTTTCTGTAATTGAGATGTAACGTTATACAGTGTCTAGTATTTTTGGCCACTTGCTCATTTACCAATGCAGGCTTTCTAATCAAAATATATCACTTCTATCGGTAAACATGTTTAATCAATGAGGCCTTCATTGCCAATGCCAACATACATCTGTCTTTTGGGTGCTCTTCTCTAAAGATATTATAGATGCATCATAAGGTTATACATGTACAATATATCATAAATACATACATACATATCATAAATGCATCTTAAGGTTGGTTATACAAATAAAACTCCTTTGCCTTTTTTTGCAAAATCTGCTCTTTGAAATTGCTGCATGTCAGGTTTGTCATACAGAGATCTAACGTTACATGTACTCACGTACTAACGAACGAACGTTCTTTCTCTCTTATGTCTGTTCCTGTAGGCTGTGATCTCGTCCCAGAGTTTCCACTTCATCGCAAACGTCACGGCCCTCCGTGAGGTTCACCGCGTCCTCGTGCCGGGCGGGAAGTTTGGTACTGCCGCACATTCCCATCCCATTTTCTCTCCTCCTTTCGAATTCACAGACTGGACAAGAGATTAGGTCCGTCTGTAGTGTTGGTGAGGGACGCCAGATGGCGTGAGGAGAGGGCATCCGTGCGCTGCACGTTGGAAGGATATGGGTAACGCCAAAAGACAGGGCGTTTTCTTACTGTACTTACGCCACACTGACTTGATTTTATAGATGACATATATACATTGTTCGGACACCCAGAAACTGGTGTGATGGAGCAAAAAAGGGGGCGATAAACATATACACAATTTCCTTTTTTTATTACATTGAATTTCATAAAACCATGTCAGTGTGGTCTTACGGCGACAGAACCTATACGCATGCTGTTGCAACAGCTGCAGGCTTATGTTTTAATGGCATGTGGGACATTGGCAGGACATGAATGCAAATGATAATATGCTATGTGAACGTACTATACGTCCTCAATAGTCCATCTTGATGACCTTACATAATTATTTTGTACATCATATCTATTCATCAACTGACGGAGAGGCTTTTTACAGGATACTTGGTGACTGGGCCGCGAGATCAATTTTGATGATGTTTTTGTACATATCAGGACTAGAGCCTGGGAGTCTCTGGTTCTTTCATTGCCGTTGAACAACTTTTTTTGTCTCGGAGCTATATAATCCTAAGCCATCTAACTCTATGTACATGTATCTATTCTAAACCAAAAGGAATCCTGTTTTCCGTGGACGATGAAGCCTCTCCCCTTGTCCACACGGTGTTTGAGGTGATCCGGAAGTACAAGTACCCCGGCTGTCCGGAGTACTTCATCAACACGCTGCAGGACGTCAGCTGGCAGGAGTGTTTCACCGAGGCGGGACCGATCTTCACCCCGCTACAGGAGCACGTCATGCCGTGGGAGAAACAGGGCATGTTGGTGAGTACTAGGCCCCACCAGACTCCTTTGTAGGCTGAATAAATAGTAGAAATGCGGTCGTGTGGCCGATTACGACAGAGCGTTCGACTCGGTACCAACATGTCCCGAGTTCGAATCCTGCCATGCCACCGATCTTGTGCTCTTGGAAAATGCACATTACACCACTTAATTAAAGTCAAAATGAGTATGTCTGTTGTCTGTCCATGCGTTTGTCCACTGCGTTGGTGGCAGCATAAAAATAAGTTGGAAAAACTTGAGTGTATCGTCGCCATTTGTTGTAATAAAATGTTGGAATAAAAAGTAGTATAATTCTTCGACTAAAGGATCACCTCCCCTCATGACCTTGTACATGTTTCCCAGCCTGACGTCGAGTCTGTGGTGCAACTCTTCATGACCTTCAGCGCCACGGCCAGGGAGCCAGAGGTCAGGGAGGAGTGTGCAGAGAGCATGCGCCAACTGCTGACCGCCAACCCGGCGGTGGAACAAGATGGCGGCGAGTTGGAGGTGCCCCGCCTGAGTGCCCTGTACTGGTGCACCAAGAACAAGTAGATACTGCCTATCGTACTCACAGGGAATGTGGTAACACAGACACAGCGAGGTGTTTTAGGGACATTACTAGTGCTAGTGCTATTATTTATAGCTTTCTGTTATCCAGTAAGCCAGGTTTCTTACGCTTAGAGTCTTCAGTTAGGACCAGAATATAGGCCATTTTCCCACTAGGATAGAATGAAAAGGGCCATAGTCGTGGTGCCATTATAGTAACAAATGGTGTTTGATTCTGGTGTTAATCGTGGTGGCTATAGTATGTCATTAATATGTTGTTCATTCCTTTAAATTTAGTTTTCTTTCGTTTTTAATTTCAATGAAAATATGAAGTCAAAATTACTGACTTCAAATGTCTTACTTTGATTTGAAGAGGTTGATTTGATTTGATCTTATTATATAAGACTTTTGTTTTAATTCTTTGAATATGTTGTGAAACATAATCCCGATGAAACGTACAAGCTAAAAGCAGATTAACGCAACTGTTATAATCCGTTACATCAGAAACATCTGGACCCCAGGCGACGGGTGATATAACAGTGACATAACTGGTTACATAGAAGTGATGTAGAAATATGGTTCTGATTCGACACTAACGGTTACTTTTTACATAATATCCAATATACATTTAGTTTAGACGATGTAGATGCAGTTTGTATTACAATGCAGGTGACATTAAATTTATATATCAATATCTCAAGTGAGTTTCATTTCGTATTTCTGTAGTTGTATCATACTTTGCAATTTCCTCATATAAATAAGCATGCGTGCAAACGCTTCATTCTTCTTTAAAATTCACATACATTTAACATATGTTCCACCCTTGTCCTTTCTGACGTATGTTCATCTTTAATTTGGAGAGCGGTAGCTTCTTAACTCAAACGAAGAAGCGACAAACTCCTCCTACACACCCAATTAAAGACGCCGCATGTCTCACCAGTGAGTAGTTATCGACACATACAGTAGATCATATACAACAGCCGTTAATGTTCAGAGTGATTTAGCTTTGATCCTGCCCCTCTGCTATACACGTAATACTCATCAGTAGTCTCCAAGCAGAACTTTTCGTGGCTGCAAGACAGTATCAAGTCAGCTAGGCAGTTTCCATTTGCCAGGCAGTTACCGATATTTACCATCCGAAGCTTGGCTGGCGTAAAAAATGTACCAGTAAAAGATGAAAGCCCCATAAAACCACCTAAAGCACGTCAAAAAGGCGTAATAATTCGGAGCCTAAAGCTCTCACCGGGGTGTATGTCGGGTTCAGTTTTCATATCACCGACACGGGCCCACGGCGGCTTCTTTTTCATAATCACCTTCACCCTCTCCCACCCTCGTCCTGGTGAAATTACAGAAGAAAATCTGAATTCATCATCCTGGATAACACCGGTCAGAATGACGCAGCTCCGCCAGTTCTAAGTCTCCCAAGCCCGGAAATCGGGCTGCTTCATATCATTATGTCGAACGCAGTAGTAGTATTACAGGTGAATAATCGCCTACTCTCAGGCATTACGTGATATTGTGACGTCAAAGGACCTTATGATATTTATGATAATGAAGTCAGATTTTCTTCTGTAATTTCACCAGGACGAGGGTGGGAGAGGGTGAAGGTGATTATGAAAAAGAAGCCGCCGTGGCCCGTGTCAGTGTCGGTGATATGAAAACTGAACCCGACATACACCCCGGTGAGAGCTTTAGGCTCCGAATTACTACGTCTTTTTGACGTGCTTTAGGCGATTTTATGGGGCTTTCATCTTTTACTGGTACATTTTTTTACGCCAGCCAAGCTTCGGATGGTAAATATCGGTAACTGCCTGGCAAATGGAAACTGCCTAGCTGACTTGATACTGTCTTGCAGCCACGAAAGGTTCTGCTTGGAGACTAATTAAAAGCGGTCGCGACATACACTCGCGTGCCATTTTGTCATAATATAAGCGTACACAAAACACATAAGGCAAGCTCAAGTTAGTTGTGCATTCCGTACTCTTTATTTGTCATTTTCAGCCTCTAGGTAGAGATTCGCTGTCAGTTAACAACCTTTTTTTAGCTTTTCGATGATTCAAAATAGTGCGAAACAGTTAAAAACGTCATCATCATAGCGCACTTTAGCAGACACATTATACTTTTACTGTTGGCTTAACGTACTAAGAAATGGCGCATATATTATGCTCCTTATAACATAGATACAAGTAAAAAAATCATTTCCTTTCTGTTTCAATTCGTACTTTATCAGATATCTTACGATTCGTCATTATGTATTCTTTTTTTCTTCAAATACTACTACAATCTACGACACAAAAACTGAATTTTCCACACGAGACGATCTCATTCATAATCATAATTTCATAATCATCTATTGCAGAGAAGAACGATCAGAAAATCAGATCAAAAAAGATGCTTCATTCCTTTCTTTCCTCTTCCTGTTTTTCCTCTCTAATACAGTACATATAGTGAACAGTGAATTTCTTGTACCTAGACATCTATCAGGCTAACAAAATTTAGTCAACAGTGCAGTGTCTAGTCCTCATCGTTTGGTAAATAACAAACATGCCCAGAGTCCTTTTCTTTAGTAAGCAACAAATATACCATGTCTGGAGTCTTCATTCTTTAGTAAACAACAAGTATAACATGTCTAAAATCTTATTTCTTTAGTAAACAACACAGGCTGTCATATGGCTCAAACAAAACTCACAATCCTTTCCAAAAGTCTCACAAACGATGCGAGCATCTTACCTCATGTTGAAAAGATGGCTTCTTGAATAGATAAATACATTATATACAGTGTATATACAAATTGGATCAAAGTTTGAAAGTCCGTTTATTGTCCATTTTCCTGAGCCTGTTCGTCTTCGGATCTGGCTGCCTTTTTCCCCGCCCTGTAGGACCTGATGCTTTCCAGAGTTTTTTCTCTGCTCTCGTGAGCGCGCGTCAGAGCTAGCCCTTTCCCGTAGGCTTCTATGTCGCTGACGGGGAAGAGTCCGTGGCCATCTTGGATGGGCAGCGATCTCAGCTTGCTTACTCTGTTTGCCCTTGATTCGGAGAGAAGTCTTTGTCTGGGGCTGGAGCTGTTGGGGCGCTCGTGTGCTGAATCGTCGGGTGAGAACTGGTGAGCCCAGCTCCGTCTGCCCTCTGTGAGTCTGTCGTCTGACGGGTCTGACTGCGCGCTCATGGCGCTGTTGACGCTGAACGTGGAGCGGACACACAGCGTCGGGCTGCCGTCCACCACCATCAGCAGGCCCTTTAGCTGCTGCACCTCCCTGGACAACTCTTCGTTACTCCTCCTCAGACTCGCGTTCTCGTCGTTCAGCTTGTTGTTGGTCAGTTCCTCCTCCAATTTCAGGATCTTCTTCCGGAGCCGCACGTTCTCCTCCAGGATCTGGTCGGGTTTGCGGATCCTGCGGGCCTGCCGGTGGTTGTTGTCGCAGTTGTTGCCGGCACTCTTCGTGGTGCGTGCGGGCTTGACGCTGATCTTGGTGGCGGCCGAAGCGGCGGACGATGCGGTGCTCCCCATGACGATACCCCGCCGCTCCGGTACGCAGACGTGCGATGTGAAGGGCGACCGCGCGTTGACTGTTCTATCTCCTGTGCTACACTCTATTAAATCTCTGCTTTGGTCAGCTGAGAAAATTCAATCCAGCACCCACTGCGCGCTCCTTGTTGTTTTCTGCTTGTAAAACGTTGCGGTGTTCTTTATCCTATTATACCCGCGCGGCACGCAGCTGGGACGATGTTATGTGCGGCCGGTTGCTAAGCTGGCCCCTCGTGACGACCACAAACATAAGCCCACCGTTCAAATTACCAGGAAAGAGAGACGACTGCAAATCTGACGGTCGGTGATACGCCGGCGGCTGGACGTCAGTGCGCCGGACCAACTCACCCAGTTTTGCGCTCTTGACGTCACATCTACTCCATGTAATTTCCTGGCCGTGGGATTTAATGGGCTGTCTGCGTCACAGCCTGCCAGCCGGCCAGGCCTCTGACGCGCCTGCGTTTCCCATAGAATAGACCAATCCCTAATGTCCATCACAATTTAAATTTAGAAGTCCAACCAATGAGAGGATGGCAATAAACGGTTTGACCAATGAGAAAGTGGCTGCATGTCTGTCAAATATTTGTATTTTTATGTTTTGACGGAGGTGGGCGGGGCTTCAGGATCGGTCTAGGAGGCTTGCAACGGCCACTTGGCAAACCTGAACAAAAAATTGACGCAAAAAACATATAAAGATTACCAGATTGACTTCATGGCTACACGAACAAACCTTTGAAATACGCAAAAATGATATCAATCTAGAACAGAAATATTGTTGACAGCCCTTCGCACATAATCACGGTAGCTTAGAAACCAAACATGCATAAATATTATGAACACAGCATAGTATGTAATCTGGCAGTGCTGATGTGAAAATGACGGGCACATGTTTACGTGAAAAAACGTGCTCTAGATCCACGCACGAGTGCAGAAGCTAAAGTGAGTAATTGCTGGGATGAAACACGTACGCATACTCAGTCTCACTCAAGTGTGAAAATAAGTGCATGCGCTAGTTCCAAAACCCTTCACAACACCGAGAGATCGCATCTTGACATGGAATAAAACCATGTGATGAGCAGATACGTGCACGAGAAATAGATGAGAACATTTATTACAAAGGCCATGATGTGTATACGTATTCTCCAAGCAAGTTACGCGTGCTTATTTTAACCTTTTTAATCCCTTTGTAGTGGTCCATGTTTTCATCTCTTCGCTTCTGTTCTTTAATCACTTAAAAGATGAGAAAATACGCGGAAAAAACACACTTCAAAACATTGAGCGGAGACCAACGTCTACCTAGAAATTAAGTAGGAAGCATGATTATATATATAACGCTAGAGAGTATATCCATACTGTAAAACCGCGTTGTCACGCACACAGTAAAGCTTGTTCTGAATAATCATTCAAAACACGCCGGCAATGTTTAACTTAATTACGGCGCGCACGCACAAAAAGGATTCCAAGAACACTCCAAACCCCAACAGTTTTTAAACCACATGGAAGGTTAAGGTTACCTAACTTGGAATTCCAACTATATACAAATAATCTATAAGATCATCTTAATTGCCTTCCTGTGCATCATACGTTCATATTTTTGTCTCATGTTGTAATTATTATTCTATGTCCAGTACTACCAGTAGTGACATTAAAATAAGCTATTTTGCTTGTTAAGTGCATCCCCTCAATTATATAGTATTGTTCTATTTAATGTTGAAATGGAAAAAAAATTGACGGCGTAGATCATTCGCTCGGAAAATTAATATAAGATTAAATAAAATATTTGGAAAAATGGAAAAATCATTAAAATGAAATTTAAAAAACATGTACGGCGTAGATGCATGAGTCGCTCAGAAAATTAATAGAACGGATTCGGTGAATTGCTTTTGAATCAAATGTACAGCTTTGCTTCTGCAGCATATAGAAAAATAGTGATGATTGTCGGAATGGGCTGAATTATTTTCCAGAGGAGTGACATTTAGCTAGCGGCAGGGTACACTTATGTAAGGCAAGCTTCGGGACTGAGGACTGATCATTTAGGACAAGGACAACAGAGTATGTGGTACTGATATTACATTCAGCACCAAGGACAGAACCCATGCAAGGTATACGCACACAAAGCCGTTATGGCGTTTTCTTAAGCTAAACATTGCGGGTCATTTGCAAAATGAACCATTTTATTAAGGTTTAAGACAGTAAAAGGATACTGTTTACGTTGGTCAATTGCTAACTGATACTATCGCCACTTTCAGTCAAATATTTAGTCCAAAATGACACTACGCCGTACCTAAACCGACTTATGTTTACACCAGATCTAGGCAGGTTATTGCCCTTTAAATTTACACGGTATTAGGCCACAGCAAGTAATTTTTATGGATGACATCAGCGCGCGCATTAATTTTCCCCTGATTTTGGAAAAAAGAAAAAAAATTTGTTGCCCTTTTACATTGGCCAACATGCCGAAAATGGGCAAAAATGTCTGTTGCCAAGCCAGAACAATAAATAAGAGCCATGTCTTGTCTCCTCTCTTCATATATACATGTATCGATCTGCCATACACGTTCAGGCATGGCAAAAGACATCTTTGTCCATTTTCGGCATGTTGACCACTGTTAGAGGGCGAGAACATTTTCTCCAAAATCAGGCGAAAATCAATGCGCGCGCTGATGCCATCCATAAAATTGACATGCTGTGGCCTTATGTTGAAACCCAACCGTCTTGTGTTTACCCCAGATCTGGGCAGGCCATTGCCCTTTACGTGCACGTACCGTATTATGTTGAAACCCACGCCGTAATGGGGGTGGATGGATGGAGCTGTGGCAACCTGTTGATGACATTCCGCGCATAATTTGATCTGCCTGCACAGTGTTGAGATGAATCTATAGCTCCATAGCAACCGTCTGTGCTTCTTCTTCTTCTAACGTATTTATCTAAACAACATTGGCTCCGCACCGAGGCAACGGTATCTATCGGATAATATCAAAACACGGGCCACGCACGACACAGACCAGTGGTACTGATTTAAAGTCAAGCAAGCAAGATACGGACATTGTTTGCCATGACTTGGGTTACAACGGTTAGGAATTGTGATCATGATTTGGCCATCCATATTTCTCCTAGTTTCTATCATAACTTGAATATGATGACGAGTAGACAGTTTGTTTTTCATCATTTTATGAAATTTTACCGGCTATTCCAAGTTCAGGGTGGATAAAAAATGTCCAGCGGGGTTTGTCACGGAGGCTACTTCGGACGTCTTCTTTAGTAAGAGGAAGGGGGGGGGGCCTCATGAATTGATACCAGAGAGACATATTATTTATGTATTAAATGCTATCGTTCACTATGATGTGTTCCTGTCTTATTTATTGTCATATCAATCAAATTTATTTTCATATCAATCAATCAATCAATCAATCAATCAATCAATCAATAATTCGTGCTTATGAACCTGATTTTTTATTTTATTTCTGACAACTCTCCAGTGTCATTGACGTCTGACGTTTCCAAAATCATATCCAGTTGCTTGAGTAATGTTTTTTGGCTTGTCTTATTACCTGGATGTCTAACCTTCATCGACGTGTCGAGACGTGTATGTTTTTTGAAGAGTAAAACAATCATCACGTTAATTTTGGCCCTTCTGGGGCCACTGCGTCACTGCGTCACGATTAGGCTAAAAAAACAACCTGCTGTCCTTGCCACAAGCGAAGAAATAGGAGAGATTTATATCAAAACACACGTTGGCGTCACTGACCGAACTGATGTGCTACCCGCCGCCTCTGCTCGATCTCCTCATGTTTTTATCGTCAAAAGCTACAGAGGAAATTTGACTCCGCACAAACTGACATCCTTGCCGGCGGCTCTTCCCTTCCTTCTGGATGTTTCATTCTCAAATTTACAAAGGAATTAGATGATGTCGTCTCAAAACGACCGGACGTCCGTGACAGGAACTGTGCTTTTTTCCTGTCTTTAATTCTGAACGGAAAGAAAAGAAAAGAATGAAAAGGCTACAATCAAGGGCCATTCGCGGTGCTTTTGTGTGGTATGATGACAACTGCCGAGCAATCAGACGCCATGAGGGGGATTCAATAGACCTGCCGACTAACTTCCTGTCAGTGGTGCACACATTTTGCCAAAATGAAATCTCCATGGACATTGCACGAATCGCCTAGCAGCGCGTTTTGAATTGAAAAAAAAAACAATGACTAAAACATTTAATCATTTTACTCGTGTTTTATAATAATAAATTCGAGGAAGCTAGATCTTTCGCTTGTACATATTCAGCCAAGTAAGGCTAACGCCAGTATAGGTCACAACGGAGCAAACGAGAAATATGAGATTCTAAACCTCGAGGAAATATAGTACACGAGATTCACAACGACTGCTGACAATTTCAGACATTACATTAACAGCGATGTCAGAAGCAGTAATATCACAATTAGCAATCAGAAATTTTTGTGCATTTCTTATTTCATTTATTAGGCCACAGCAAGTAAATTTTATGGTAGGAGGGATTTATACTCTTGCCTGACCATATATATGAACGTATTTGAATAAGAATTAACAGAGCAGACCATATGCGAAGGTAAACATTATGCATTTGCATTGCAAATGTTACTTCTCTAGTTCTCCAATTCTTTTTAATTTAAAAACTGCCCAACAAACAAAATATGACAACTGAATAAAAAAAAATGATAATAAATGTATATAGAAGCATCTAGAAGATTAATATTGGCGACCTGAATACATGGAGTGTGCCACGCGTAGTTCTGCCACGTGCTGGGCAGCTTTTTTCTGTGGGCGAACTGTACAAACACTTTACGTAAAACGTGTAGCGGCGGTTCAAACGATCCCAAAAGGCTAGAGCTAACAAGGACAGGACTGTATCAACTCAGCTGCATCTAATCAAATACGTTATATAAAAAATATATTGATCAAAGCGAATCTAATACATTAGACGGTAAGACTTCAAACGGCTTCAAACTCTCGCCTTTTCAGCCTCGTTATTTTCTGTTGGATTGGTCCAGACGCAAATTATCTATATAATTGCTTTTGGCTTCAAGGACTCCTTTGGGCCTTTTTCATGCGCTCCATCGAGTACTTACGAAACGAAAGATGTGAAGAGACGTGTACGTACACGTGCTTGGAAAAGAGAAAACACTTACGTCGGTCCACAGTCCGTGAAAAAATTGACCTTAGTTTTTGTCCGAACGTCTCAGCACACCTGATTTGGTCTGATTATAATTATTTCAGGTACCTCATTTTGCCGACACTACTGCGTACGTGGTGTGATCTTTACATAAAATCGCAATGGATGATGGGATTACGAAGAGTATTATTGGATACATTTGTTGAAACCAACTCAAGTTTCGTGACACTTGTAGACATTTACGAAAGGAGTGGACATATGCGTTATCTTAGAGAACATTGTCCCTTGTCATGGTTGGTTTCGTAACAAAACTTTTGAATAAAATAATGTAAAGATTTGTTTGACTGGACTGTAAGGTTTGAGCCACTCACACCTGGAAGGACCCCTACTATTTTCGATAAGTGTAGTGGGTTCTTTAACGTGCGTGGGGTGTGGCTCTCCCAAAACACAGGACCTCCACTTAACGAGGAACGTCCCTGACCGAAGCTAGGACCTCTTGGTCCTGAGCCGAACACGCTACCGTTTACGCAATGCACACGACCCCACAAAGACGTTATTGGTTTAGATAGTTAGTTCAGCACCAAGGACAGGGTTGGGGTGAGGTTTATAAGAACAGGGCTCGCAATGTGTATATAAAATCATAAGGACCTGTATTGTCAGCTTCACGCAAGTTTACAATCAATAATATCAACACGGTGAATTTTCAAACTCAATGTCTACGAAAAAGACCTTAAGCTGCCAACATTACTTTTATTAGTAGATGACACTGTGATAAAATAAATTCACTCCCCAATCAGGGTGAGAAACAAATTAGATAAGAACTAAGATATGATAATATTAGGTTTAAAATATTACATCGATGGCCGGAGATGGAAGATAAATAAATGCACAGATATCTCTTCATCTTGTATTATTACTGATATTAACGTTGATGAAGTTTAAACGCTTCCACCCAAGCCGGATACGCGCCCACACCTTCCGCACAGTAGACGTAAATGATAGCCTTGGTGCAAGCCTAGTTCCAGGGCCAACATGTACCCGAGGAAATACATGTATGTGTGACCACAGCTAACCTGAGTTAGACCTTGAGCTGTTGTTGACTCAGCGGGGATAGCTGAGGCAAATTGTCCTCAGATCATGTTGGCCTCGGCCGGTAAAGTCATGGAAAAGGTCATTTGGCATCAAGATTAGATCGATTCTGACATAAAACCGACACTGCTATGACAAGTACAGGCACCCACATGAGGTCGCGTCAATGGCACGATTACGAGGACAGGGCTATACATGAGCATGTGTTCTACTCTCTGCGTTTATATATATGTATCCCATTATTAATATTAAGTGAAGTACTTTGATGAGTCCTTGTTTCAGTGTACATTAGAACTGTAGCCTGCAGTATGGTACTTGTATCTACCCTCTAATGCTGCGACATATGGTGCTTCGCTACATCAACCAAAAAGGGAGCACCACTCCTCGAAATATTGCTGTTCAGATCCGTGATCATTTTTCTTTTATTACAAAACATAGGTTTATTGCAGATTCCTGCCCGAAGGTTAACTGCAAATAACAAACATAAAAGAACATTGAAACAGAGTTCAAAATACTACAAAATGAAAGGTAATTGTCTAAAATTATCGCTATGTCTAAAAGAATATCTATCTGAAAGGTTTGACTTCTCTTTTGCAAACCATTACAAATTATTCAGTAGGTATTAGGCATGTATTAAATTTCATGTTTGCCTTTTTGAGACTACATGTTTATAAGTTGATGTGCCTGTGTCTTTTGTGGCCCACTCACTGGGGCCCCCTATCCATTTATGTACAAATTGCACAAGTTTCACCACTAGTACTGGTGAAACTCGTAGATGCCACCAAAAGCCAAGATCATCTTGTCTTTTATGTACGAAATGTGCTGTGTTGTGCTTGCAGCTTGTAATAAAATAGCACAAAAGTTTCTCCACACATTTGCAAGAAACAAAACCATTTCATTTCTCAAATCCTCACCCAATCAACCAGACAAGACAAGTAAACACTCCAGTTTAGTTATTGTAGAATTTAATAACTCAGGTAAGTATCAAGTATGAGGCATATTCCAACAATATGTACAGATGTATTTCTTTACAACAGCATACTACCAAGTGGTAACTGCAAACAAAAGTGAGTTACCTAATGTTCCCAAATAGTAATAAACAATAGTTTTAACAACAAAGAAATGGAAAACTAAGGGACTAATTCAAAGAAAACTCTACTCAGGTTAATAAACTGAAATGCAAGTCAGAGAGCATAGTTACATGTCATAGTGCATGGACTGCCATTGATACATGTTAAGTATTTATAAACAGGCATTCCACTATTCAGGGGATAAATCTTATCTCATGCATTACATTTACAACCGTGGGAATTTACAATTCGGTAATGCAATTAAGAAAAGACTTAGTTCATACGTGTAAGTGTATTTTGTTCCTTGTCATTCTGGCAGTATTTTTCTTCCATGACAATGTTACATGCATTCTATGCTACATAGGGGCTACCTTACACTTTTATATATGTACAGTATATCAAGAATAATGGTGAATTTGCAATGATTAAGTAGATGACAAATGAATTTGTACAGATAACAAATTGTAAATACTATTTTACCAGGTCAAATTTCTGTAGAAAAGTTTGAATTTATTTTACATACTAGTAGGCTACCCATGCCGGATACTAGAACATTCAAATTCATGGCAAACTTAACTTAATGCTTAGCTTAACTCTGATGTAACTATGAGAACTTTGTGCTAAGGTGATATCATTTTGAAAGTTCATCCCATTTATGGGTAATATATTCATATTTGAATTTCAATAATATTCTGCTGCCAGGCAACATACTACCTATTGCCACCGCGTTTTTTCTTCTCATCTGTATCATGTCCGTGGCTTTTCTTGTCGATGCCTGGGCCTCTCTCCGTTGCCTTGTCCCCGCGGCACTTGGGACAGTACCACTTGCCCTTGGGCTTGTTGTGGAGTCCGACACAGTCAAAGTGGAACCACTCGATCTCACACTCCTCATTGTCACAGCCGATCATTTCACCATAGGACACCTGGTTACACAGACAGTATCTGGGCTCGTTTGGATCAATGGCCAGTTCGGAGGGCGAGCTTTCCCGCTCTTCACGCTGCTTCTCTGCTTTCGCCTTTGACCTCTTCTTCTTCTTGACCGGTTTGGGATTGTCACTGGGGATGTCCTTGTCCTGCGCTTCCCGTTTCTCGTGGCTGCGCTGCCGTCGTGAGCGCTTGTTGTTCCTCTCCGGCGGCTGCTCGGGTTTGATGATCTCCGGTGGGTGGTCGGTGTCCTTGCCGGCGTCCAGGTTCCGCTGGTCTTCGTCCAGCTGGCGCGCCCGGTTCTCCACCATGTCCACCATGGCGGACACCAGCTGTAGCTTCTCGTCTCCCAGCTCCTGGCTCTTGACCAACCCTCGCTGGATCTGGATGAGCTTGCGCCGCCGGACGATGGGGTCACTCTCGTTCAGGTAACGCTCCTGGCTTTCTTCTATCTCCTTCATCACCTCTACAGAAGGAAAATACACAGAAATGATCAGTATAACACAAAACCTAACTTAGTACTCTTTTGTTGAGGTTAGGTTTATCCTGTGAGATCTTTTAATTGTGTACAAGTGAACTACAACTCAAGATTCTTCTGAAGAATCTTGAGTTGTTTTGTGTGGATATATCTGTGCTTCTGAATATTCATAAAGGTTTGCTTTGATAAATTTTTAATGGATCATATCCTGTTTGCCTCCATTTTACTTGACAACGTGTGTCTTTGCCACGAGTACTTACCACTAAAAATCAACGTATATTGACATTTCTCTGATGGCTTACATAGTGGCTCAGCTAACTCACTTGCTCGGTGTTGCTCATTCCTATCCTCAGAAGTTGTGTGGGTTCTGGCGCATTTGCTTACAAAAACATTTTCACTCTAGAAGAAAAGGCGGTGAACTATTTTGATACGAGCAAATTTGCATACGAAGACTTTCCTAAAACATTTACTGGGTAGTGGTTACATTTCTGGGACAGAAGCAGGGATGGAGACGCTAGAGGCCTTTGGGCTAAAATATTTTACTACATATGGAGAACGGTCGTAGTAACTTACCCTGGAACTGGGCGTCGATCTCTCGGAGTTGGGACACGTTCCGTTGCAAGTCGTCTGGTAGCGACTCGATACAGTCGAGGTAGTCTTCCACGTACGTCACCGCGCACAGCTCGTCCACGACCCGAGGAGTGAGGCCCTTGCTGCCGCCGTCCTCGTTCCCCGGCATGGCTTAAAAGAACAGCCGCTTGTCTCGGGCGAGAGAAAAAGGACGACACTAGAAAAATCCGCTCACCTTCCCTCACACAACACCAAAATGGCCGCCTTCGGAAACAAAGCTCGCGCGCGTAATGCATGATGGGAAATTTAGACTAAACCATACAACTTGAAGGGATTTCATTTCAGGATTCGAAAAGGATTCAAACAATTTTATGTTAAAATAGCCAAACTACATATCATATAGTGACATTTGGGAATGTTATATATTCTTATTGTGGTTAGTAATCATAATGATCATTAATATACCTCTTTAACCGAAGAAAATTTGATATGTAAATTTCTAACACCCCTATATCTATGAAACAGTCCTTTATTTAAATTGGCAGAAGGTCATACCGGAGCGCGGGGAGGTCCATGTGAAGTCATGGCGAACCTGATAGTAGGAGCGACCGGTCGTACGGTCACTAGTGGGTTTCTCAAGTCTGTACTACAGAACGGCACCGGCCGCTATGTCTGTCAGCTGCAGAGAATAACGCTGAAATTCTGCAAGGCGAGCGGGCAAAGTAGGGGAGTCAGGTATGTTGTGTATGGCACCCAAAAATTTGTGTCCTGGGGAGGGGGGCATAATTATTTGATATGATTATTTTTTCAGACCGTAACTAGTATTTATTTTATGCAAGTGTGCAGCGTAGATCAGTTCTTTGCCGTAACAGATATATACAAAATTTCTCTCTTTCTCAAACAGTTTTAATCTTTTATTTAAGAAAAAAAAAATTGACCTCTGACCCGTCAATCATTAATTTTATAGCTACATGTACATGTAATATGCCAGATGGAAAAGTCATAATTTTATGAAATTTTAGCAATGACTGATTCTTATAATTGTTAAATGCCAGAGTAGCAAGAACTACCCAAAGCTATAAAGGTTTACAACCTACAAATTCAAGAACAGTAAATCACTAAATGAAATAAGTAGTTAAAGTACTGCAGCAGCTCAGTCTGTACATAGTACATACATGTCTGTACACACCTTTCCACAGAGATTATGTAGAGAACCACCTGCTAGACTTTGCTGCAGCAAACCCAGGAGTTGTGGTCTACGTCACCCCCAAACCTGAGATACACGCTCGACTGGTGGCAGAGTATTGTAAGTATGCTAGTACAAAACTTTGGATTATGCAAGGCTCATACACTTCAAAAATAGATAAGTACACCGATAAGCTGATTATTGAAAACTTACCTTACTTTGCTCGGGCCTCTAGCTTGGACGATAATATCAGGATGTATGATGCAGTGAGCTGCAAGTTTCATCCTGCATGTTTTAATTTTCTCAATTTATTTGTATGTAAATCTTTACTGAGTTTTTGGCCTTTGTTTGTTACAGTGAATGGCGAGGTCCACACCGTTTTTGTTGATAAGAAATCTGCGGAGGAGATAAAGCAGCACGTCCAGTCACTGGTGTGGCGGTCAGGACTGCCGTTAGTCCGTCTACGTAAGACACAGCACACAGAGACCCCCAGCATACAGGGACAGTGGACACCCTTCACTAACAGACCAGCCAGCAGTACAGTAGCTTTGGAAGAGAGACTTAAAAGGCTAAAAACCTGATAACTATCTGTATAATAACTACCTAAGATACTTTCTGTTCTATGTACATGAATAAAGCATATTTGTGAGTTTGGGAAGAGAACATTTCTGTGCATGATTTAGCCTATCATTTTGGTATTAAACTTGTGCAATTATTTAAGTCAGCTGTCTTATTATTTTGTGCAAGTTTTGACTTAAAATCACAGATTGTAGAGAAGTATTTGTGTCAAGATGATTATAGAAACAATCCTTTCAAACAATAAAGTTGCAAAATAAACTGAAAAGGCTATTTGCATAGTCTATTGATATTCTAGTAGAGCATAAAATAGTTGAATTCGATCAGTCAAATATTTGTCACAAAAGATTTAGGGGGATTAGGAGTTGTTTAAAAAAAAATTAGAATAAGCCTCACAAAATGTGCAAAGACTTAACAATTAATCCATGCACGTTTTAAAATGCATTTTGGATAGTCCATTATTGCATTTGCTTTTATGCATCTAGTTGTTGCAAAGAAAATCTTGTTTTAATTTTGAGTCTGGCTGTGTATGGAGATTTTTTTAGTTATGGTGCAAAATGTTTAAACCTTTTAACCATTATAGCATCTGGACACATCTGTAGTTGCACTTGATTTAGCAGTCAGTTACATATCTATGTACCATGTAATAGCCTATTGTAAGTACTTGTGCTTTTTTTCTATGGTTTCGTAGCGACGACATTGTGAATGGGACGAGTTGACGGAGCCTTTCCCTTGTTTACATGTAAACATCCTTAATGTTATTTGCCCCACCGCGTTCTACCCAAACTAGATACAAATCTACCCTAGGTTCACAGTGAAAGGCAAGTTTTACCAACAGGCACTCTTTGTGTATGTTTCGGCTAGGTCGTTTCTAAATACGTGCCGGTCACCTAGAAAAATACTGGCCTTTCTTTCTCCCGATTGAGGAATCTAAACTAAACACAAGTCTCCGTGGAGGGTAAGTTTGCTACATTGAGACGGGTAACTTTAGTAGTGCTGACCTATACAAAGGGTGGCCGGGGTCCGATCGTATACAGTTCTCGCGCACGGGATAATACAAAGAGCGCGGATGGGATGACTGTATAGGCCGGCTTCAGGTAGCCTACGGCAGGACGGGTAGGATATCACCGTACATAGTAACGGGGGTGACCCAGAAGGGGGTGTTGTAAGCAGCACAGTCGGTAAGCCCGCTGCGCACACACGCACTCACCATGGCGGTGAACCTAGGAAGACTGAAACTACGAGAACCATGAACACAGGTAAGCATTGTGAGGCAGACACGCTGTGAATGAATGCACCGGTCACAAATACTTCGTGCACTCATGAGGACATTCTTGTGTAGTCGTGCATGTGGCCTGAAAAATGCAGTTGTCTTGTCAGTACGGAGCAGACTGCCTTGGTTTGTTGTCGGTGGTTGGTTCGTTTATTCTGTCACAGCCTGAAAATACTGCACTATCAAAAACATACGACGACCTACGATGAATGTGATCGTGGCAAAAACGTCAGTACATTTGTACCAGCACGAGTATCTTAACGGTTAGCTTATAGAGTGGTCTAGCAGAGCTTACAATTATATTATGGTCGAGCTTTTGTTGGGGGAGGGGTATTCATTCCTAAATTCCATTCGTAAATAGTAACCCATTGTGTGCAAAGATTTCGTTAAGGGCTTTACCAAAGCAAGTTTTCTTTCCCACATAACTCCACGTAGTGTTATTTGTGGGCTGTTAGATGATATCGTTCATGACATTCTAACATGTTGGTAAAAGAAATTACGCTACGATAGTTTTTACAACCCACATGTCATAACGGCTTATGTTTGAACATGCTTCGCTTTGAGGCTTGATCAAACATGTTTTTTGTTCAACATAATTTAGCTATATTTTGCTTTTATCTATCGCATACCAGAACGGATCGTCAATCTAATGGCTTATTTTGCAATTGGTTGAGATGACATCATGCAAAGGACATGTAAAAAAACCTTGAAAGATATGGTCGCAAAATTACCCACAATCTACGCAATGATATCTGATATCTGCATTCTTAGTTTGAGATTTGGTTTTAAACGTATCTGTTGCAAATATATAAAATTGTGTAAAAATATGGTCGACGCAAAATGGACGATGAAAAAAGCAGTATAGTGAATTATGTTCGCCACGTGTATGACACGTTACGACTAAAAATGACCTTTTGGCAGGACAGGGTAACAAGTATCAAGTTTCAGACATTTAAAAGTGTGTACACCGTAAGGTCTACAACTCAAAAAGAAATGACAAGGGCTCACATAGAAACTATAATCTTTGCTTCCGTTCTTCAGCGTTCTGTTTTCTTTGTGTTTTGTTGCAATATCCGTTTTCCAGCACTACACCTATTAGAGTTTACTGGTGTGTAAGATATTGCTAATTGTACACATGTAGAATGTATGTCACAATGGTTTACATGGCCAAGAGATCGTCACTTACCCATGCCCATTATACAAAGTTACAGACGAATCCAAACAACTATGTAGCACAAAGACGCTAGCTCATACTGGCGACAAAGAATATACTTAATATGCTTTACTCTTTTCATCTTTAACAAAGGTCTTCTGTCGTAAGGGTTTAGTTCAACATAGTAACGACTAACTGATGTTTACCAACCGGGTAAGAGTACAGTTATATGTAAGATAAAGTGTTGGAAAGTTTGTACTTACCAATCGTACTTTACAATTGTTAAGGTATGGACAACATTTATGATATAGGAAACATTCTACGGCAATGTTAAAAGGAAAAGGAAAGGTCTCCCGTGCCCTTATGCAGAGCGTAGGGTGGTGCCCATATCCATTTCTGTAGCCCTTGGGCGACACACAGTTGTGCAATGCACTACAGCAGCGGGAAATGTTAAAGTCTGTGATAAAGTTTTATCCTTGTTTGGGGGAGGTTGACGCGGTGTAGGTGAGGTTTTCATCTCAAGGCTGATACCAGTCTAGAGGATGGATAGAGCTAAGACCTTGTCGTTTCTTTGACAAATCTTCCTTAATTGAAAGTTTATTGCAAATAAAATAAAATGAACAATTAGAGATGTAATGATTTCTTCCTTAATTATCTTTCTTAATTATCTTACTTCTGTTTGCACAGTGCTATCACATGACGCTGTGCGCGGAGGAATCCCGAGGCGGACTAGCGTGACGTAGTGGCTGCCCGTGACGTCATGGCCTACTCATCATGGCGGCTGGCAGACAAGCGGTACCTCGTCACGCCCAAGGTCATTCGCGCCGACCTCCGCAGCAGGGGCTTCAAGGCCGTGCCGGAGGAAGTCGTCCAACTCCGAGACGTCGAAGTCCTGGACCTCTCCAACAACGACTTGGCGCTGCTGCCGCAACAACTTCGCTTTCTCACCCGTCTGAAGGAACTGAGGCTCGCGAGCAACAAGCTGCACGTGTTACCGTCCGTGGTACTGACGTTCGAGCGGTTAGTCGGGCTGCATCTGTACCAAAACGAACTCTCGTCCCTTCCGGAAAGGTTCGGCCTCCTCACCACCATCCGGGTACTTGATCTGAGGGGAAACAGATTTACCGCCTTCCCGTCCGCCATCTTGTCCCTCACACAGCTGAAGGAGTTGAACATCTCCCAAAACAAGATCGCGGTGGTTCCAGACAACATCGAGAAGTTATGGCAGCTCACGGACTTGCTGATGGACCACAATCAGCTGTCGTTTCTTCCGGAGACGCTAGGGAACTTGTCGCAACTCAGGGAACTGCGGGTACAGGGAAACCCGCTCGCGTGCGTGCCGGAGTGTATCAAGAAGTTGAAAAGGCTACAGACTCTTTTCCTTGGCAACTTTCTAGGTTTGGGCCAAGAGGACGGTTACACCATCTCCGAGCTACCGGAAGACGTCGCCAAACTGAATCTTTTGACCGTCATGACAGTTCGCGGGGGGTTACTAACGTCACTTCCGGACACTTTTGGCACCCTTAGACTCAAAGAGTTGGACTTTAGTTTTAACTTATTTGCGGTGGTTCCTAAACAAGTCATTGAAGTCAGCACACTGGAAAAGCTGAATCTCTGTTACAACCGACTTACAAGCCTGCCTGACGATGTCTACAAGATGCAGAAGCTGAAGACTATGATCTTGTATGGCAACGAGATCAAAGAGCTACCGCCGCCTGTTTTAAGACTGTCACGCCTGGTCATGCTAAACTTGGACCACAACCAACTCACCACTCTGCCAGATGACATTGGCAAACTGGAGAGCTTGGAGTACTTGCTCGTGTCGGGAAACAATATGGACTTCTTACCCGAGGGGTTGTGTAATCTAAAGAGCCTGTTTCATCTAAACATCAGCGACAACAACGTGGAAGTACTACCGGCCGACTTCGGCAAGCTCCCACGTCTAAAAAGTGCCAGGCATCTCCACACTCGTGGTAACCCCCTAGTGCAGCCTCCCAGACGGGTCTGTGACTCGGGTATGGCGGCTATCAAGAGCTACCAGGAGCAACTTCAGCGGGCAGAAGTCGTGCGGACGCCCCGCATCAAGCTGTGCGTATTCGGAGACAGTCTTGCCGGTAAGACCAGCCTTGTTTACGGTCTAATGCACGGGAAACCCCCAAGAGCAGCCTCTCAGACTAGCCGCACGAGGGTGACCAAGATCAACACATGGGACACGAAAATGGGCGTGGAGTTCGAGGTCTACGACTTCGGAGGCAACCAACTCTACAACCTGCTGTACCAACACTTCCTGACAGATGGCGCTGTGAACGTCGTCACCGTCAACATGCAGAGCTACAACCCCTCGCGTTTCTACAGCGCCGTCGGGTACTGGCTGGACCTCCTGAACGCGCGCTCTCCCGGGAGCACGGTTCTCTTGGTCGGCACCCACGCAGACAAGTGCAAGCCCGAGAAGCTACGCGACAGATGCGGAGACGTCCAGGCACAAGTGGAAGTCTTACAGCGACGGCAACTTCAGGAAGCGCAGGCTCAAGACGAGAGAGTAGACATTCTCGTGGACAAGACCGGGAAGCAATCCAAACCTGGCATCAAAATGAAGGACATTCTCCCAGACTGGGTGCGAGAAAGGAGAGACAGAGCTAAAGCGCTACTAGAGAACAGGTTAGAAATCCACCCTACACTCATGACGGTAAGTCTGGGTAAGAATATCCAGGGCATCACGGAACTGAGGAATGAACTGGTGACCAAAGTGTCCGACATAGCCAAGTTCCCAGTCATGAGGCGGCTGGTGCCACAGACGTGGAGCGACCTACATAAAGTGTTACAAGACGAGCGTCGGAAGCCGCGCGTGTGGCTGACGTGGCGCGAGTGTCTGAGGCTAGGACAGCGGGTGGGGCTGAACATAGAGAAGCTGCGGCTCGCTCTGGACCACCTACAACTGACCGGCACGCTCCTACGGTTCCCACATGTCCCCAGCCTCGCAGACTATGTGTTCCACGACCCGGGCAGGCTTGCAAACGTTCTGAGAGAAGCCCTAACCCCCAGCATGGAGAGCGTTCTCAAAGAAGGCAAGGTCCGCTTTCCCGACGTTCGGTGGAACGACTTAACAGATGCAATAAGTGTGTTCAGGGACATGAACTTCCTGTCGACTAAATTGTTAGAGGGGCTGCTACAACCGTGTTCTTCAGAAGTACACGACGGGAAAGCGCTAGTCTCTCTACTAGAGGCGTGCGAACTGTGTTTTGGTGTAAAAGACGACAGCGTACAAGAGGCCCTGTTTGCGAGCTGCCACTACTTCCCGGGCTACCAGCAAGCCTCTCAGCCGGCAGACCTGATCGACATTTGGGCAGAGGAACTCCCAAATCACCAGGAACAGTTGCAGCTCGGGTGTCAGATACGCGGGTTCTGTCCACCGGGCTTGTTTGAGCGTTGGTCTACAAGGGTTAACCGGCTGGTACAGGAGAGGAGAGACTGGAAAGACGGGATGGTGGCGTATCGAGGCGGGGTGCCAGTACTGGTGGAGCGCGCTCAGGACGGGGTTGCGAACGTCGAAATCGTTCTATCGGCGCGAGGACAGATCAAAGAGGCGTTTCGGATGTGGAACGCGACTTTGCCGCTGCTGACGCACCTCTTAGAACTGTTGGACGAGTGGCCAGGAGCGCTGTACTCTACGTACGTGACGTGTGCCCACTGCCTGAAGCAAAGACTAGAGAACCCGTACAGGTACCCGGAGGAGAACCTACACCAGCCGTACGTGGTCGGCATGACCAGCGTCAGGTGCCCCCGGTCCATGTACAAGGAGTCGGTCTCCGCCATGCTGGTTCATCCACAGTTATAAATAGTATCAGAAAACTAGAAATAAGGTAACCTTTGCAACGCAAATGTTTACCTTCTCATATGGTCCGCTCTGTTAATTCTTACGCAAACACATTCATATATATAGTGAGACAGGAGTCTAAATCCCTCCTGCTACAAATGCACAGATGCAACAAAACACTTGTTACCATGGTGACAGACGTCTGGTTTAGATCATTCACCTTATTTGAAATGGATGAAGAGGCGGAAACTGAGCAAAAACAATGTTTTCCTTCAGTAAACAAAATTATACAAAACAAAGTAGGACTCGATTGAACAGCATTGTAAGAGTGGAATAAATTGCCAGTCAACTTCGAGTTGTGCCCTCCATACCTGAGTGTTTCAGTTTAGTAACAACACTGACCCACACAAGGAAACATAATATTATTCAATCTTTTAATACAGTCGACTACCTGCTTGACAGGCCATTTTAAACACATTTTATATAATAAGAATGGGTTAGTTAATATACTATTTGAGGATCCAATTCTCAGGTATTCATCATGTGTAATTCTAATTCTAATTGTAACTTGCCGCTAACACCACCCATTCCCATAGGGAGTATCTAGACTTAACAAGTTTTTTTTTCACATAGAAGGGAATAATGCAATTACATTGTGCCCCCCTCCCCCCTGAAGTCTTCTGAACTACTGTGGTTTGTAACACTCGAAGGTAGCAAGACATTGTAACAAATGCATGGTTTAGCCACATCAGTCAATACACTGGTTCTCAAGCTGTAAGTCAATTGTCTGTTAAATGTCACACTGACTTAATTTTATGGATGACATCCTCTGAACACCCCCAAACTAGTGCACGCGGGCAAACAATAAAAAAAAAAATGCTGCTAAACCACAGGAATACAAAGCTGGTATTGTTAATTTGTGGTAGTACAAAGCAACTTTTACAAGCTGGCACATGCTGGCCTGTGGTGGCATTTATGAATTGGCACTGTACTTCTCAAGTTCTGTGGAGCTATGGAAGTCTGGGTGACATCCTCCGTGCGGCTCCTATTGTCACTAACTACCATGGACTACGTACAATGTAGGATGGTACCCAGGCCAGAGCCTCCTCGGAGGTAACTCTTCTTTCTTTTTCTTGAGACTTTGAAATCAATGCATGCGTGGATGTCATCCAGAAAGTTAAATCAGTGCCTAGACAAAGAACACACAGCACAGTACACCACAGATTGTAAATTTACTTTTGCAGGGACCTAATCCTAAGGTTGGAACAATGCTGTAGTACAGTTGTAATACACTGTAAACACATACTCGCAGTGTAATGAACTCATCATAAAAAGGTCACTGAAAATAAAAATACCGAAAACATTCAAAGCTTTACAGTAGCAGGGATGCATCATCATCAATGCGCATGTAGCTCATTTAATGTTAATAATAATATCAATAAAGAGCATGCAAAAGGTCACTTTTACCAAATTGGGATGGCAAATATTTTCTTACAAGACTTGGCCTGATGACATCTACATTGCAATCATAAAAAACATGCTTTGTTGTTTTTGAGAGAGATATGAAGAATAAACCACTGATCATTCAACTGTATGCCTTTATACACACTTAAGGTTTACATTACTATTTTTCCTAGCTTTTCAGTTGGGTTTCAAATCTGTGCCATTTTCACTTCCGATAAACAATCCTCACAAACAACATCCACGGGGGAATAACATCAACAACAACAAAAATATATACAAAATTTTATAAACAGTGTGTCTACAACAATCCTTTGTATTTGATTATTACAAACATACAAACGAAACACACATAAACCACAAAAATACACAAAAGTCTGTCATTCATTGTTTAGTAACATTTTGAGAAATACTCTCAAAATAGTAAGTTTACTATGTCTATTCCATTTCATACTGCAATGCTTTCTTTAATTTTCTGAAGGGTACCACTACTTCAAACTATCATGAAACTTACCTCTGAGTGATTAGTAACACTTTTTCTTATTCAGTATTTGTTGAACTTGATATGAGGAAGAAGTTAATGGAATGTAAGGAGTTAAATTGTAGAAAGTAAATGTAAGAAATCTTTCCAACGAGGTATGATTGTCCAATAGGACTTTTGAGCATATACACTGGGATCCATCTCTCCAAATTTGTTGCTGTTGCTGCTCTAGTCAAAATTCGTGGTTAGTAAAATTAAACAGCCCCATTCCTTTCCATGGTACTGATACATATTATCATTTCAACTGTTATGGTACAAAACAAACAAGAAAAGAACATAAAACAGCCAAGAGAAATAAATAGCAAAGCTTTAGGTCCCCTTCGTGTGAGAAACAAAAAGTTTTGAATGACAGAGTTATGAATTAATATAAAACAACAAAAATATACCACCTATCTATGTATGGTGAAGGACTTGCTGTTGAAGTGGCTACTACGTTCAATAAATTTTTAGGTATTTTCTACCATGCTATATGTATTTAATCTTAGTGCTTGGGCTACATATGCCAAGAACTTTTCGTATATACACGGCACCTTCGGAAAGTAAAATCAGTCTTCTCTTCATCTGGCAGCTTATATACAATGTTGTAGTTTGTAGATGATCTTCTGTGAAGTTCGATTCTCTGTTGTGCTTCATTGATTGTTAGGAGCTGTGAAAAAAAAAAATTGCTTTGTTGAATTGACAAATCTTATCACAATTAATAACATGGCAGTCATCTTGTCAAAGGGAGGCACTTACAGGCAATTAAAAAACATGTCAAATACAATTTAAGTAAATACAATCAATATGAATTACTATGGATTACACCTGGTACATTATGTAAGGATTCAAATGTCATAAGGCCAAGGAAAAAATCATATTGCGGACTTAAGCCTTTTTTCTGGTTTGATGCAAGCAAGTGCAAGGGACATAAATTTTCCGAGCTGATCAAACATTTCTTGTTCCATGATCTGACACCTGAGTAATAATACCATTGTACAATCGGTTTTTCAATGTTGACATTGAAAACGAAAGTGTCCTCTTGCAAATTTTACTTTGTTAAACTGCATTGTATAGGTTGGATCACTGAGAGATCGTCAAAGTCTAATAAAAAAAGAAAGCAAAAAAAAAGGTAATCCCTACCTACCAACCCTAATTTTTTCAGGACTGAAACAGGAAACAACATTTTTTCCCTATGCCTTACTAACCTGATGAAAGTCTTCAGGACCATACTGACCTCTAGTTTTGCCGGCAGAGTGGATGATCTGCAGCAGACATCTGCCGAACTCCTCCAGGACCATCCGTTCCATCATGGCGGGCGAGCAGTTTGCCTTCTCCGCTTCCTCCGCTTGTGCCAACAGGCAGGAACACGTGGCCTCTGCAACGTCTCGGGTCACAAACGAGAACGGGAGCCTACAGCAAACAAAACAGATCAGTTAGGATTATCATGGTGCTGTGTACCAGTTCGCTGGACCGAAGTAAAAAAAAAATTGGAACTAGTTCTGGACTTACAAAAAAATCATGTCACATTCCCCCTTTTGTTCTAAACTATCTGAAATCTTTAATAGTCAAAAATCTGCACTGCAAAATGAAGAAAACAATGCCATCTGCCATCGTCAAGTGCTGGCCTCCGTAAATTATGTGGCCACAGTTTTGTCCAGACGTGCCCCACAAACAACATATTGCTTCAAACCCTGGTAGTGTAATGTTCGCTACAAAATTTTGCGGTAAAGATCCCCTTAATAGGAAATTTTAACTGAGAAATCCATTTTGTATATACCCTGGGTTTAAGTCAGGAATTACATGTCCGGACACAGCACTACACACACACACACACACACACACACACAGAACACTAAAGGATAAGATCCTACCTCTCCCCAGCAGTGTTTACTGCGGGTGGTCTGGCCGGGATGTCCTGTATCTGGGAGGACAGTTTGGTCTTGGCCGCCGTCTGTTGCTGAACTCTGACCTCCGCAGCATCTGCCAGGTGCATCAGCGTCTTGCGCTCAGGACTCTCCTCAAAGTTCTTACAGCCCACACACTTGCAAATGCTGCTGCACATGATTTTAGCCTACAAATGGAAAACATAGGATGATAAAACTCGAAGTAGGTTGTACACCACCACTTGGAAATAGTGTTTGCTGAGTGAGTGTTAAAGCACAATGCCTATTTAGAGCAGTTTTACCCAGCACCTCAGCAGAATGTCCCCCTTTTGTGCGAAACCCGAAATGTAACGTGAAAAGCACTTTGACAGAAGGTATCGTTTAAGGTCATGTGCACATATTCAGGAGTGACATCCTGCCAGTAGTTTTCATATGGTGTGTACGGAAAGAGATCTTATGCAACATACAAAATTTCAAAGCAACATTGACCAAACATCCAACAGAATTCCTGGTTTTGCACAGGTGCAGTTACTGCAGTACCTTCTACCAACGTTACCCCAAGCCCCTGGACATCATGAATACCGAGGGCCGGGAGGAAGATTTTAGTGAAATGATTTTAGTGAAATGAGTTGTCAAAGAAAAATGGATTATGTCATACAACAATGATTTGTACTCACTTCGTAACATTCGCAGTAGTTCTTGAGACAGCCGGATCTCTTGCAGTTGCAGCCCTTGTTGTGCCTCCTGTCCCCCTCCCCCTCCTTCCCCTTACCAATCTTGGGGTGGAATGCATACGGGTTCCTCTCCAGACAGGCCTGGTGTAGGACAGTATCGTTACCACAGATATACATAAATAATCAATGTATTGTTTGTACACAATTTAATGACGAGTCACTCTTACAAATAAGCACAGAACTTTCTACAGACTTTTGTGTATTTCAGGAGGTATGCCAGCTACACTGTAATATTATTCATGTTAAAAATACTAACAACACAAAAAACAACCAAAAAAAGATTAAGAAAGAGGATAAAATTTGCATGGTACTTCTGATGACAGTTTATCATGGATATCCTTCATGGAAAAAAACAAAAGTTCTTGTTATTACTTGTACTACTAAATCATGTAAACCATTTTCTTTCTTAATGTCAAAGAAACAGGTGAGTACAAACCCCAGAATACATGTAGTTAAGTAAAGGGAACTGTGTCTACTTGGAATTGTTGTTAGAAATTTCCCATACCTTGATGGACTTTGCCCTCTCAGCCTCGTGTTCCAGATTGTTGAAACAGTTATTACAGTTGCAGTTGTTGCAGAACTCCCCGTTAGCAAAACAGTCACAGTACCTGAGAGGAAAAAAGCACTTCTGTAAATCTATATAATTTTGAGAAGTGAGCAAAACTTTGCATTCTACAGACTGTACTAAATGAATCCTTCACCTTTGACTTTACAGCAAACATATGCAATACAAATTTACATCCACATAATCAAAGCAAAAAAAAAAACTGTTCTTCAAACCATTAGCCATTGTACAAGTTCAAAGTAATGCTAGACTATGCTTCAATAGACTTTAAAAATGTCAACTGCTTTGAATAAGAATGCAGTAGTACTTGTGTTACTCACAGTTTCAGACATTGTGACTTTGTGCAGTTACAAGGCTTACGTGGCCTGGTCCCAACCTGCTCTGTGTTCAGTGTGCTGGAGAAACACAAGGGTTAAGTACTGTTACGACAATGTTTCTAATCATGGATTCTGAACTGCCATACATGTATATAGTCTGACTTGTACCTGCACTATTTTACTCATAATATCATACAAAGGTTTAAAGCTAGTGATGTACAAAACATACAACCAATCATGAAATTACAGTCAACTAAGAATACTTCTTTGCAACACCAGCAAATATTTGGATAAGGAAGAAACAAACAATTTGTTTAAAGTTAAAACTTTAGATCCAATCCAAGTACTCTGACCTAGAACTTTTGACTCTTTCACTCTGGTCTTCCTCAGTAGACTGACCCAGTGAGGCTTGTCACATGGCTTCTTTAAAGTGTGATGTCAACACTGGATGTAAAGTTTTAACTTTAAACATTTAACTACCAAAACGCAGATGAACTTTCATAATAGAAACAAACAGTTATTTACCCGTTGACTTGTTGACGAGGCTGGGTGGCTGTGGTGGCTTGGAAGTTGTTTGTTGTGATGGGAACATAACTAGTGGTGGTGCTGGGCTGTTGCGATACCTGGAGAACCAATGAAAGTCCTTATATCTTATACACATTCATGGTCTTGCACACATGATTTTCACTGTTGACAAGTTTCAAGTTGAAAGAAATCAACAACTTCAGTAACCGTAAATTGTGATATAGGCATGGTGGTTCTATGATTCTAGATCTACCTGGAGAACCAGGTAGGTCTAGAGTCATTATAAGGTACGAACAGGGCTCGAAATGAACATTGTCTTAGTGTGAAATGACACTAAATTTTCAGCTCGGGACAATTCAAATTACGTTTCGGGACAATTTTGGGGCAATAGGAAAATTCTGAGACCGTCCACGTCATTTAGGAACGCGATTCATCCAAGAGAGAATCCAATAGTAAGAATAGGTAAGAATCCAAGCAAGCTCGGCGGAGTGAGTGAGAGAGAGTTCTGGCAAATGAAGTTCCTGTAAACTAAAACAAGGCATCTACAGTACCTGTTGGACGTACTGTGCAGGAACCACAGCGTACGCGGTCTGCATGCCTCCTCCCTGCTGATTGGCTCCTTGGTTCGATACGAGAAAGGTGCCAGGTGGCAGCTGGGATATGTTGGGCACGGAGGTCAGCTGAAGGGGAAGAAATGATTTCACGTTTTCAGATGCCTTCAAACTCTCAATTCTATAATCAGGCCAGATTTCCTTATGCAAAGCAACAGGAAGGACTTAAACCGATACGCAATTGACTTACAAATATCAAAGCATAGAAACTTAGAGTCACATGGATCAGTGCATCTTAGGTGCAAATAGACATCACAAATACCTGCACAGCCCCAATTTTACCTGCACTAAGGTGCATATGCACCCAGGATTTCGAGCCGTTTAACATATAGGTACCTGTATTATGCATGACAAGGCTGTTTTCTAGAATAGTACCGACCTGGTTGGGGCGAATCTGTTGGAAGCTGGTTGCAGGCATGATGATTCTCTGTTGTGGCATGGCTACAGACACTGGGACCTGTCCTGTCAGGGGCTTGGACTGGATCTGAGAAACAACAGACCACACTCTTACTAACTTTGCAAAAAAATGTATGTGGAAATTTCCCCTGCATTCACATTTCATGCCCTCTTGTATACAAGATTTAAAAAAACAAAGCATGCTCAGAACAGTAGACTTTTGTTCCTATTACATTTATTTTAATTCGACCATCATGGATTTAGCTTTCCAGCATTATGCATACTCGAAATAAGTATAATAAGAAGCAATATTGCAGCTTTTTCTCTAGTTTAAAAAAGACAACATCAACTCAAGTACAGTTAAACTAGGTGAGCCTACATGGCATGTAAAGTCTTTTCAGTAAATTAAAAGCACAACTCTGTCCAGCCATGAGTAAACCTACCGGAGCAGGAGCTATGGGAACGTTGGCAGGCTTCATCTGGATGGTCTGGATCACCTGTTTCGGCTGGACAGCTGCTGTAGAGGTGGTGGCAGGTGCGATGGCCACTGTCCTGTTTATTTGTCCAGCTGTCACCACATTCGGCTTGCTCATAACTGGAGAAAGAAAACACATGATGCACATGTTAGCAGTTCACAATTGCAATGTCTGTATTGCAAAACTGTTTTGCCAAACATTGCTGAAGTTAAGGCCTGGGCAAAAAAAGTTGTGCTTCCTGTTTCCCGGCCGACCCTAGCCTTTTTTTTGTGTGGACCCCAGCAAGGAAAGATATATTTTCAAGCTGATCTACCTTTTCTAGCTCCATGATCTGACACCTGAGTGATGAAGTGTTCACGTTGTACAATAGGGTTTCCAACATTGACATTGAAAATGAAAGTGTCCTCATGCAATTTTTACTTTGTTAAACTGTGTTGTATCACTAGAGATTGCCAACGTCTAAAAAAAAAGATAATGCCCACCTACCGCCCAAGGACTGAAACAGGAAACACAACATTTTTTTTCCAAGGCCTTAGAGAAAAGTAGCTCCTACCTGATGGATTGGAGGTCAGGCTGGGTGCTGCTGTGGTAGTGGTGACCAGTCGGACGTACTGGAACTTGGAGCCCGGCACGTGGATCTGCTGCACGTTGGGCGGGGTCGCCAGCCGGATACTCTGTACCGGCTGCTGCACCTGCACAGGTGTGCCACCTGGTTTGGCCGTGCTTACCTGTACAACAAAGCACAGGTGTATTACTTGTGTGTTTGTAGGAAACCTAACATGGGTTTTATTTATACATATGTGTGGAGTCAAAGCAACATGTCTGGCTACCAGGCAAATGGACAAAAAATCAAGAAGTCACTCATTCAATTCCTTGCATTCCTGGGTTGGGTGTTGTGTCTTTTGGGAAGGCACTTTGAATAGTTTTCCCAGCCCACCCAGGTGTAAAATAGGTACCTGACTTCAGTTGGCATAAAACCGATGCAAATGTTTCAACAAAAAATCTTCAATACCTACCATAGTGGCTGGCCTGATGGCCAGTTTGGTTGGGGACATGATGTGTGTGGTAGTCCCAGGGAGGACCTTGGACAGAGTGACCACCACTGGACCACTGCCGGACACTGCTCCAGTAGTAGCCACCACCGGGGCAGGAGCTATCCGCTTCGGAGGGGAGGTTATACTCACTGGGACCACTGTCACCTAGGGTGGGATATGGAACAAATGTAGGAATTAATACTGTGCACTTTATCAGCAAAGAAGATGGCCAAGGGCATCAACAGACGCAGAAGGAAGGAATAAGTTATGGCCTTATATATTGCTAGGGATAAAGAGCATAAGTTAGTACCACAGCAAATATATTCCTAATCCTTAAACACTGGGATACAGCGAAATTAACATTGTCCCAGTGTCAAATGACACTAAATTTTCAGCTTGGGACAATTCAAATTACGTTTCGGGACAATTTTGGGGCAATTGGAAAATTCTAAGACCATCCACGTCATTTGGGAACGCGATCCATCCATCCTGCTGCAGACTGCTGGCAGCCTATAAATATATAATACTCTGACAAACATTAATTTTTTAAATTTGACCAATCAGGGATTCCAAATATCAGGGACGGTGCCATGCCCATGATATTATCATGTATTTACCTACATTTACTAATAAAGTGGACTTCAAGTTGTACAAATTCAGTTGTTGTTTTCTTATTTTTGTCATCAACTTATTTCCTGAAAAGCAGGCTGGGACAGTCCATCTTCAGTTCGGGACAATTGAAATCTATGTTCGGGACAATTCTGGGACAATAGTGAAAAAAGTTAATTTCGAGGCCTGACAGCAGCAAACATATGGTGCTCTGCCTATAATTAGTATAAAATACTTTTCAGTGCCAAGAAAATAGCAAGGTTTATGTGAATTGAATTCTATTCCACTGTGAATTGGGGTCTTTAGATTACATTTTGGAACAAAATACAATGGAAACTAGGAAGAATTTTATGACTTTCAAAATCCCATTGTCTTCCTAAATAGAGCTACGTGTTACTGACCTTTGTTGGTGTCTTGAGTGGAGAAATGGGAACTTTATTGGGTGGAGGCTGTGCCTTAACCGGGGTGCCTGGTGCCATGCTGATGGGTGACGCTGGCAGGACTTTTGTGGGGGACTGGAGCGTGGCCTGAGTCACTACCTGCTGCGGAGTTGTCGCTGTTGTCACCACAGTTGTCGTGGCGATGGCATGGCCTGACGCTGTCTTAGTTATGATCACCTGCGCATGACAAAATACAAATCATATCTACTCAATACCAACTAGTAATGGCCGCTAGGTAACATGAGAAAGAAAGCTGCAGGTGCAACAAAAAGTTTGAAGAAGTGTGAGAAATCCAACAACACAGGAGTGATGTATAAAGGCAGAACACAGCATAATATTGAAGGGAAATGTTCTCACCAATGCTTTTGGTCAGTCACTCTGGTCTTCCTCAGTAGACTGACCCAGTGACAACATTGCCCTTTTGTTTTGGACCAAAAGTCTAACCATGTAAATACCGACACAGATGAACTTTCGTGATAACACAGGTGTGAATACCTTGGTAATGACAGGAGGTCCTGTACTTGAAGCTGGCCTCTTCAGGACTGCCTGTACTGTGCGTACGGGCTGCTGTGAGGACTGTGCTGTCATGGTCATACTGGACGCAGGAGCAAGCATCACGGTGTTCCCCCCCATCCCCACGGCCGATACAGTCTGTAAGGCTTGGGACACCGTCAGCTGACCTATACTCTGAGCCACCACAGGCTGTGCACTAGCTGACTGGACCAGGAGTGGTTGAGGCACCGTCCCTTGCTGGGTAACCACCTGTAGGTCGGCCTGCTGGTTAACCACCGCTGCATCTAAGGTCGACGTATCGGGCAGGTCTGCCACAGTTTGCGTCTGTTCCCCGAGGATGCTGGACACCTGTTCAGCTGACAGCTGTGTCATGGGGTCCGTCTGCAGCTGTCCAGAGTCCACAGACACGGAACTGATCAGGGCCTCCGTGGACAGGGCAAGTAGGTCCTGTTCTGTTGTCAGTGATCCCAACACATCCTGTCCCAGGTCTATACCGCCACTGGTGCTAACGCCCTGGAACACAATAAGAACCAAGGGCTTGAAATTCATTTTGGGGAGTAGGTGCGCTAGTGCACCTAACCTACTGGGTAATAAAATTGGGTGCACAAATTTTTTTGGGGGTGCACAATATGAAATAAAATAAGTACTAGTACTACGTAGAATGTCAGCAATAAACTACTAGTTATGTTTCTAGAGAAAAGTAGTAGAAGAAGAATGATTTTATTATTTTTCTGACACTTGGATACGTTGAGAATATGCTGTAGTGTATACTACTACTCATTAATTAAACATAATGACATACTGTAAAGTACTAATGCACCCCAAAAACAACAATTGGTGCACAGCTGCAAATTTGGGTGCAATAAGATGCACATGCACCCAGTATTTTGAGCCCTGCAACCTATCACCATAAAATGGCAGTAAAAGTCATCATATCTTACATGATGTAGTTGACTAGTTCAGTGTGCAATGCTCAATCAAAATTCTATCCCTTGCCAAGATCATAATACATCTACTTTCAATGGACTAACCAGGAATCAATAATATAGCAATGCTGCATCATAATTTTCAAAGACGGTAACTTGCAAAGGAAAAAAAACAACAGTAATGTAACTGAATCAAGGCTAAAAGGTATTACCATCCTCAATGTGGAAACCAGTATGATTACAAAATTACACAAATCAATATTCAAGCCAAGGTGGAATGACACTGTTAGAATGTAATTCTTCTAATGCATGCATATATTTCTCATAAATTATACATGTGTAACTGAAGAAGGGCAATGAATGTCAGTCTAAAACTTCCAAATCATTAATATGATCCCTGTGTGTATTAACATTCTTAGTAGCATGTTAGGCCTAGCAAAAAAAATGTTGTTTTTTTCCTATTTTCCCAATAGAGGTGGAAAAAAACAGGAAACACAACATTTCTCTCCTAGTCCTTAACATGTGACCATATACTCGTTTGTATCTATAATACATAGACATGCGTAGTATGTATACCTCCATGTTGGGTTTGGTCACAGAAGGTTGTGTTGAATCCTGTGATGTTCCTCCATCCATGGGCAGCAGTCAGAGTAGAGAGTCGTCTTCCCACAAATAGTTGAAAAATACTGCATAAAGAATGTGTAATATAAGGGTGTTTGTTTTGTTTGTATGACATAATTACCAATAAACGCCTGAAGACTGTTGAATATTTTAGTATGCTGCTGTGACTAGTGTGAGGACGTTGTAATTAACAAGCTTTTTTTAGCCAAGGCTGACTTGACTAGAGAGACTAGAGGACACAAAATTCAATTGGATTTTACAGTCTAGGCCCTTCCCTCTGATATACATGTAAATTATAACATGGTGACACAGAAATTGATGGCACAAGACAAAAATGTGACACTGAGATGCAATTTTACATGTATGTACTAAGCTATTCTGTTCAAATTTCATTTGATGCACTTGCAATTGTATGCCACAGATGTATTCTTAAAATATAAATCTTAAAACCAGTCACCATTTCGTAACGACGTCTTTTTCTGCTTTGGGAAAGCTTACATGTATGATGATCATATATATTTTATCTTTACAAGAAAAATCATAGTACAACTTCATAATCATAATGATATTCATAAACTTGCCAATGATGATTAACATAACTGTATATATGTATCATCTCGGAGATGTTGTGCCCTTTTTAACAAACACTTTAAAATACAACAAAAACTTCAAGCCAGTACCAGGTTCGATGCTGCGTATTCAGCATATTTTTGTGCAGCCCAAAAATAATGACCCCCAAAACATCGGGCCAGTCCGGTGCCCTTGTGAACTCCTCCTACATTTTGTTTGTATTTTTGATTGCGCTATTACGCGTATACAAGTGCGTTATGACCAACCCTGTTGACTAAAGAAGAGAAATTTGGTGCGTTTTCGCGGAAAACACTGCCATCTGTGCAGTCATTCCGTCCCGATTCCCATTTTCAGACGATCTGAGAGTGATCACCACCATTTGCCATTTTGCTGCTTCGTGTTCTCGCGCGGTTTGGTGACCCGGCATACGTCGCGGCCGTTTCCTCAGCCCTCAGGAAATAACCCCTCCCGGAACGAGCCACAGGATCTACACGAAGTTTTACCTGTCGTGCGTGGCAGGTACCTACCTGGGAACGGAAAATAAGGCTGCTGAACTCCAGCTCTTCTGATCGACGCTGTTTGTTCAAAATCACGCGCCCACCATTACTAACCCATAATATGCTGCAACGTCTACGCGGAGCCGGGGCTCCCATTGCATTGTGGGAAGGGTGTGGGCACGACGATTACAAGACCCCATACCCGTCTTTCCCTCAGAGTGAAAAACGAATTTCATGCGAAAATGCTTTGCAACATCGATAATAAAACCACTGGAATATGTTACATTTCAGAATTAAATGAAATATTATATTGTGTGAGATGGTTCCAGATATAACCCTTTTGATACTTAAAAGTAATATCACATTTCTCTTGCTGAATCATAATTTCTTGATAAGCAATTAATAATTATGGTCATTCTTGCAATATTTGTCGTCAGTAATTTTCTTCCTCCGGAATAGATTATCTGTGCTGAAAAAGAGTGATTTTCAGAATTGTATGCCGTACTTTTACTGCCATTTTGTTAATCGATGACTTCTCATAATGTGTATTTTAGAGGGTGTGTGCGGTCTTGCACGTGACGTGGCTGGCTGGGAGAGGAGACAGAAAAGGTGGGAGGGCGGCTCTACTACAGGTGTCCCACGCACGTCCACTTCTACACGACACTGATGAAAACTGAGGCAAATTTACCACTATGACGACCAACAAATCATTATTTTCCCTCAGTTTGCTCTTCCTGAAGCTGTTGAGCCACGCCAGAGCGGACGAACACAGTCACACGGTAAGAGAAAGTGGGAGAGCAACAGCCTCTGTTGTCCTGCCTGAACGATATTTTGTGGTCCTCATAATTTTTGTTCTCAAAAAATATTATGAAGACATCCTAGCCGTCGTTACTTAGTAAAGGGGTTGGATGAATTTTGTTGTATCCTATCTGCTATGGGTCTTTTTGTTCTGACGATTCCCACCATTGAAAAAATCCTTATTCTTTTATGTATAATTTTCCCGTGGCCTATGCTATTCTTTAACACATGTAGCCAAACCACCGAATTTGACGAAGGCACAGAAAAATAGAAAATGAAAATATTTGATCCATACCTTCGGTTATCATGGTAATCGTCTATACTTGAGGTTTATACCTTTGTATATTGATCACATTTACCTCAGTTTGGATTACTAGTATTATAATTATTCAGACATGCAAGTTGTCTGGACTATGGAGGATATGATGTCATAGCTGCATAGGTCACCATATAAACATCAATGCATATAACTAGCAAGAACATTATATTGATCATAACATCCGTACATATATATATATATATATATAGAGAGAGAGAGAGAGAGAGAAAGTAGCTTTGGAACAAATGATTTATAGCTTTACAGATGGAAAAAAACATTCTTTTTATGTTATGAAATTGGGAGTTGTGACTTATTTTGGATTGGTTTAATTTTGTTTATCTAAACACAAATCATATGGGACAGTCAGAAAGATGCATACATTATGTGCCTTGTTCATTCCATCTACATGTACTGTGGATTTTGTGTTGGAATAACGCAATTTGTAATGTAGCACATGTTAGTGGAGTGAAATTCATGAGCTTGCAAATTGGCAAGTGACTTCAAAAATGGTGAACATAACATAAAACAACAGTGTGTACATTTATTACACAAATATAGATTTTGATTATGAAGTCAAGTCACAGAACATCATTGTGAATTTGGAGTCTTTGGCCAGTGCACATTGGGACTGACCTTTCTAAAAATTGGAAAATGTTTTACCAGGCAGTAGGTATTTTAGATTCTTTAAAGACTTGTATTAATCAATAATTATTGTAGTTCCCAACATTCTACCTGGAGTTAAATTTGTATATAGTTTGCATCATGATACATGTTACGCTTACAGAATGACAGGGTAGATCCAAAATGGTGACTGGACAATGATAATTATTTATGGTCAGGTGCACTCTGAATAGGTAGGGACAAAAACAGGTTATACTTACAGGTCGTTATCAATGCACCAGCACCGTTGGTGGTTTAAGACCTGCCTATATTAAGTAATGATTTACATATGCTGAATTACACCATTGTTCTAGCCATGACTGCAAATAGAAATACCCTACATACAAATTGTAGGACATGCACTTCATAAAAATTGTTTGTCCACAGTCAGCTAGTGACACACATCTATACATTTACATGTAACTAGGTTTTAAAAAGTGATATAGATAGAGGTCAGACTGTCAGAGATTGGATCTATGTTATTTATGGTGATGGGAACTTCCCTCACCAAATTTGTGTTCCAAATGTTCTCTTTTGTGACGTGGCATACTGGTAGCAGATAATTAGATTGACATTTTTTTATTCAAGACACATTTAGGTATAGATAGGAGGTTTCCAGCGGCATAGGAACAAATAGAAATGTTACAAAACACAATCATAGTACTAACTGATGCTCAACATTTACAATTCAGGACAGATTTTGAAGAAGATTTTATTGGTACCACTACTTTAATTGTTGTATCATTAAAACTGTATAAGTGCTTAGTAGTTTCCAATACAGATTTAGAGAAAGATTTTGGCCACACAAATTGAAGAGTTGTACACTTTTTTCATGGTACCAGGTACAGATATCAAGGAAAATCATTTTTTATTGATTTTGTTTGAAATTTTTCTCATGTTTCTGCTATGAGTCCAAGAGTACAAAGATATAAAACTGTAATGTTACATGTGTACAGAGTTGCTGAGTAGAAAGTTTGCTGTCCCCATGTCCGGTTCAGGTCGTCCTTACCTGTACATGTTGACACTACAGAAGGACAGGTGGGCGGGGCCTGGTGTGTTCAGCTGTTCATTGTACAGGATACGTGGAAGAAACAGTGATACACTGATAACTGACATCAAAAGCCCTCTTTAAGACTTTGATACAAATATTACATTTTGCACCATATAAGAAAGGAGATGTGAAGATATCAAATCAAAGATATAATTTTTGTTCAGCTTAAAAACATCACATTGCAACTGGTCTGTGTTAATTTTCAGTATGTGGACAAGGAAGAGGTTGTACTGTGGATGAACACTGTTGGACCATACCATAACAGACAGGTAAGTCTTATCTATATAGAAAACAGTGATCTTGTGCTGATTGGTCAGTTCATAATTTGTATTGACCTAGATAGCAATATGTTATGGTACTAATTACATGTAAGAGATTAAAAAAACATTGCTGATAAGATGAATGCAAAGATAAAAGATAACATGCAAAGATAAAAAAAATAAATGCAAAGATAAATCTCTTACTAGAAATCCTTCAAGAATTTTATGAAGGATTTTATGGACATGTAACTAGCATAATTTTGATTGATACATGTATTACTATATCAAGTATGCCCAGGAGAATGAGTTGCTATAAATGTGCTAGTAGTAGTGTGAGATTATGTGCCTGTGAGTCAGTGTGACTGATGTGCTGTTCTGTCCCATCCCCATTACAGGAAACATATGAGTACTTCTCCCTTCCCTTCTGTGCTGGGCCTAAAGAGGCCATTGGTCACTACCACGAGACATTAGGAGAGGCCTTACAGGGAGTGGAGCTTCAGTTCAGTGGACTGGATATTGACTATAAAGGTGAAGCTTAATTACATTTTCAGCGTTAGAAATATATGCAGTCTGCATCTCACAGAGAAATTTTCAATGTTGCAGAAGAAAATTAAGCAACCTGCAATTTTGCAGACTGAGAAAAAAATAGGATAAGGGTTCAATTGTGTCTGTGTATAATATTGTATAGGAGCTTTTGTGCTTACTACTTAATGATATACTGTACTAATTATGCATGTATTTTTCAAATTGCATGCACTGGTACTAAAATGTGTGGCAACATGCAATTTTGTATGGGTTTGAGTCAGGGCTTAAAAGTCTATGTTTGCAGAAGTGCTGGTATTTCCAAATCGCAGAACAATATTGTGACATCCTGCAATATTGCAGAACATTGACAAAAGTATTTCGACCACTGATTTTGAATGGCACATGGTGTCACCACTGAACATTTTGAAATCCGGAAAAACATTGACATTTCAATTTCAAATAGATGCCCAGTATAGCATATATAGTTTCAGTAATGAATAAAAGATGCAAACATAAGCTGTGACAATTTCTGTCAGGATGTAATATTGAATTTTTGGTTGTTCCCCAAAGTGAATGTGCCACAGACAAAGTACTGTGAGGTAGACCTGACCAAGCAGAAGTATGATGCCTTTGTGTATGCAGTCAAGAACCATTACTGGTACCAGATGTACATTGATGACCTTCCTATTTGGGGTAAGCCATTTGTTCTTGTTCTCTTGTACTCATTACTTTAGGTTAGAAATACCACCTGCATATGCAGGTTAGTGCAGGTAAAATTGGAGCTGCGCAGGTTTTTGTAATGTCTACTGGTACCTAACCTGTACTGTAGGCATATGTGATTTTATTTGCTTGCTGTATTGACTGTTAAGTGCAGTAGAAAAAAAAATTATTGTTAATGGTTTCTGAACAGTTTTTAGTATGTTCCATACTGTGATACTTTGACGTTATTTGTTTTGAGAAGAAGAAAAAGAGGAAGAAGGAACAGCAAAAACAATGTTTTCCTTCTGTAAATGCTGTGTTTTACATTTAACGAAAAGATACTTGCATGTGAATAAACTGTGTCTAGGCCACACCAATTTAATTTGTTGGTTCTCGGATTTTTTCAGAAAAAATATGAAGCGACAGGGCGAAAAAAAATAAAAATAAAAACAGGTCTAGGCATCCTATTATAGCCCCAAATGCTACAATATGAGCCATGAAGTCAACAAAAAAGGCTGGGTTAAAATTTGAAGTATAAATTTTGAACTTCTAATCAAACCACTGCATTGATAGATGGAAAAAACTGTAACAACTAGGAAGAAAAAGAATTTCCTCAACTGTTGGGGGTAAAATATGAGCATTTTTTAGTTGATTCAGAACCAGAATCTTTTTTTTTTTTTTTGCAAATCAGAAAAAAATGAAGAGGCGAATCGGAGAACCAACAAATTAAATTGGTGTGGCCCTACCACCTTTTGTAATGGCCTGTTGTATTGCAGGTATTGCGGGAGAGATTGATGAAAATGGAGATGGCTACTACCTCTGGACACACAAAAAGCTGGACATTGGCTACAATGTGGACCAGATTGTGGACGTGAACCTGACCAGTGAGGCTAAGGTCAAACTCATCCCCAACACCAAGATCCCCTTCACATACTCTGTAAGTCACTCTTTATAACATCAGTCACAAGTAGTGCTGTGTACCAGTTGGCTGGACAGATTCCGGACCTGTAAAAATGTTTAGGTTCATGTCCAAAAAAACTTGAACACCTGGAACTCATGTCACATTCCCCTTTTTGTCCAAAAATCTTCAATAGATCAAAAATTTGTACTACCAAATGAAGAAAACATTGCCTTTGGGCATTGCCAAGTGTCGGCCTCTGTAAATTATGTGGCCAAAATTTTGTGGAATTTCCGAAAAGATTCCCCATTTCCCATTGGGAAATGTTAATTGAGAAGTCCCTTCCATATTTATCTATATGCCCTATATTTAGGTCTGGAATTACAAGTCCGGACCTGTACCTAAACCTCTGGACTTGAATCTGGACCTGAATCTGAACATGAGTTTAGGTACACAGCACTAGTCAGAAGTGTTCTTGGCATGAATAGATGTTGATATTAACTTTTGTATTACATCACTGAACTTTCAACAAACATTGAATACATTAAATATTTATGACTACTTTTATACTTTATGCCTATACTTAGATAGGGCAATAGGGCATAAATATACAATAAAGGTTATCTGTGATATAGATTGTATGTACAGTACATATGGTTTAGTGTATTTGTTGTGGTTTTGAACCCACTTTTCTGTTGGACAGGTGAATTGGAAGAAATCCAACATTCCCTACAAGGACAGGTTTGATAAGTACCTGGATCCCAACTTTTTCCAACACAGGGTAAGCAACCATCCTTGGAGCTCCACTTTTTCATACAGATTTCCAATGTCTATATCTGCTGTTCACTATATCAAGATATTTTGGAAGGGTACCGCCCATAAAAAGCAAGAGCCAGCCTACAATACACAAACAAGCAACCATTTAATTACCGTCAGTGACATTGCATTTTTTCCTCACAGATATCATTGTGTTATGGGATAGGATTGACTTAACTTACTACATTAAAAGAATGACCAGAAAATTCATCAAGTTTTTTTTCACCCTGAAATTGCATTTGGATGCCTTTAAGTTAATTTTTCCCTTTGCTGCCCTTCCCCAGATCCACTGGTTCTCCATCTTTAACTCGTTCATGATGGTGATTTTCCTGGTGGGGCTGGTCTCCATGATCCTGATGCGCACGCTCAGGAAGGACTACGCACGCTACAGCAAGGACGATGAACTTGATGATATGGTAATCAGGAACTTACAGGCTATTAGAGTTTATGTGGCGTTGAATGGCTGATTGAACATATATCTGGCTTTTTAACGTATATTATATGCATTTTTATTACAGTATTTGCTAGTATTGTGTACCAAAACTCATGTTTAGGTTTGGTTTAGAACAAATGTGCAATGATTTTTTTTTTGCTGGTTCCAGACGTTCAGGGTTTTTTTGGACTTGAACATTGAACATAATTTTTACAAGCCTGGAACCGGTCCAGCAAACCGGTACACAGCAGTAGCATTTGCTGTAGGATTGGTTGTTGGTTTAAAAAGGTTTTGGTACCACTGGAAAGGCTACAGTTCATCACAGATATCTCCTTTGCCTAATGTGTAACAGGAGAGGGACCTGGGAGATGAGTATGGCTGGAAACAAGTCCACGGGGACGTCTTCAGGCCAGCCTACAACTGCATGCTGTTCTCTGCCCTGATAGGCACAGGCTACCACATCTCTGTGGTCGCTTTTAGTGTCATCTTCATCGCCATATTTGGAGAGCTGTACACAGAGTAAGTCATCATCATCACATTTGGAGATTTGCAAAAAAAAAATTCCAGGCTCTGAATCAACTCCAAAATGCTCATATTTTGGCCCCAACAGTTGAAGGAAGTCCCTTTTCTTCAGAGTTGTTTCAGTTTTTCCACATATCAATGCAGTGGTTTAGATAAAAGTTTGAAATTCATTCAATTTTTGTTAGAATTACAAACCAGCCTGGTATGTTGACTTCATGAATCCTACGATAGCATTTTGGGCTATCATAGTATGCCCAGGCGTTTTTTTCACCCTGTCGCTTCATATTTTTTCTGGAAAAATCCAGGAACCAAGTAATCAAATTGGTGTAGAGTAACATACCAATAACAGTTTTCAAAGTTTTTTTTTGTCATTTTGTCTAAAACTTGAACTTATAGTAGTGGTAGCCAACATTGTGTGATCTTTAACCTCTTTTTAAATTAATGATTGTTGTTCCCTGTCCAGACGAGGGTCCCTCCTGAGCACAGCTATCTTTGTGTACGCTGCCACAGCACCAGTCAATGGGTACAGTGGTGGGGGCCTGTATGCCAGGATGGGAGGTATGTATGCTTTCTCCTTGTGATACCACAATTATGCATTTCCACTGCTGTATCACAGATCTGTTTCAACCGCAAACTTACAGCACAGGAAATTACTGTGGCCATGTGTGGAAAGTTGCTCGGCTGCCTTGCCTATCATACAATTTTTCACGTTATAAGTTTATTTGCAAATTCATGCCCTTTAATTTAAGGATTGCAACACGAGACTATGTTTAGGGTATACAGTCGAAACTTTTTGGGCTTGACTTCTTTTGTGGAAGCTGTGGAAGACAAAATGTCATACTTTTTCTGAGTGGGTTTTGGGACGTTAACAGCGTTTTCTTTTCCTCATAGGTATTGTCTCTGCAAAAACGCATGAGTTTACACTAACCTTGACTGTTTTTTGCCCCCCAGGGCGTGTGTGGATCAAACAGATGGTCCTGAGTGCTTTCCTGCTGCCCTGTCTGGTGTGTGGCACTGCCTTCTTCATCAACTTCATCGCCATCTACTACCACGCCTCGCGTGCAATCCCGTTTGGCACCATGGTAAGGCCAGACGTGCTTCTTTTACAGTTCTACAAGAAGTACACTTAGTAATAGTAGTCCTTTCCTCTACAGATAAGTACTAGTACTAAGAATAATAATCAAAGCTCAGTGTTTGCATCTATGCCTAATTACAGCACCGTGCTAAGAATCTATATGTTTCTGTATTACAGTCACCTGTACATACATGTCTATACATCTATTTTAGAAAAAAAAAATGCACTTCAAATACCAACCAACTAGATTGTTTATCTGTTGAGCCTCGGACACCTGTGTATTTTTGTTCATGTTTACAAAAGGAAATGTTTCGTTCCTTTCAATATAGTGAAAGAAGTATATATGTGAATGCTGTAGACCTACATGTAACACATTGGCCCCCTCCCCAGGTTGCTGTAACGTGTATCTGCCTGTTTGTGATCCTGCCCCTGACCCTGGTGGGGACAGTCCTGGGGCGGAACCTGTCCGGACAGCCCAACTACCCCTGCAGGGTCAACGCTGTCCCCCGACCCATCCCAGAGAAGAAATGGTACAAACAGTTCCTTTACTTTTCAACATTTTTTTTGACAAAGTACAAGAATAAATAAATAACTGGAAGAGGATTTGATAGCACCTGAAAATCTTAGATATGCGGGGCTTGTCTGGGCAAAACTGTAGCCACATAATTTACGGAGGCCAACACTTGATGATGCCCACTGGCAGTGTTTTCGTCATTTTAGAGCTCACATTTTTTTACTATTGAAGATTTCAGGTGGTTTAGAACAAAATGGGGAATGTGACATTTTTTTGAGTCCAGAACTACTTCCAGACATTCAGCATTTTTTTTTTACTTGAGCCTAAACATTTCCGAAAGTACAATGTAGTTCCAGTGAACCGGTACACAGCACAAGTCTTGACTGTAATGTCGTGTCATTCCCTGGGAGGAGTGCTGCCTTTGGATAAGCTTTCAGATGGAGGTGCTTTCATTTGGCAAAGAAGAGCAGTCCTTATCGACCAATATACTGTAATTCAGGAACAGTACTATCATGTCCGTGGTCACTTCTGTACCTTGAACTTATCATTACCGTTAACAAAGAATTCGCCAAACTGCACCTGACACATAGTTCCACAAACATGTCCATTTTTCTCAGGCCGCAAGCGTTTGCTACTGCGAACGTAAATTACAGAAGGTTTTACCATCCTAATCCTGTTAGTAATCTTTGCTGTGTGATCCATGTAGGTATTTCATCTTACATCTGAGAATTTAGGAAGTATGGATCACACTGAAAACTGTTTGGAAACTGTTGCCAGATATTATTACTTGTCTAATAGCTGGTTCACCAGTTTCCTGGCTGCATCCTCCACTGCTGCATATGTGTACATGTACTCCTTCTACTACTTCTTCTTCAAAACCAAGTAAGTCTCCAGTATAGATGCAGATATGCCTCATGTTGAACAGTTCTTTTATATCTGTATGTGTAATAGATAAGCATGGACTGTAAAAATGTCGTAGACTTTTAAAGAAAATTCATACGTTCAAACATGTATATGAACTGTGAAATATTTATCAATGGTATGTTCCATCCCTCCCCACAGGATGTATGGGCTCTTCCAGACTGCATTCTACTTTGGTTACATGGCCCTGTTCAGTATAGCTCTGGGATTTATGTGTGGTAAGTTACTGTGTTGTCTCTATAAAAGTGCATCTTGGATTCTATTCTATGCCATGCTCTTATACTTCTTCAACACATTCATTCATTCTTCAAGATATTTTATATTCCAGTACTAATTAATGATTATGTTACATGTACATTTGGAAATTTGTATAACAGTATCTCCCAAATGTAGAAGAACATTGCTTACCATCACCTACAACATGTATGTTATACATTTACACGTAATTACAGCACATCATTCCACTTTTTTCTACAGGTACGCTAGGATATGCAGGTACAAGTGCATTTGTTCGAAAGATCTATACCAATGTAAAGATAGACTAAGAGTAAGGCTGCAATCAACAACCTCTGAAAGAGGACATGCAGAACAAGTCCACACCATCAAGATACTATCCTAGTAAAGTGTTGAGCTTTATTCCAACACAAGGATTACACTGAGATCAAATTTTGCAACAGCCACTGTTGCCTTCATCAGGATAATTAATGACCAATCACTTCAAAACGTAATCTCACATGAATAAGGTCACGTGTCTGTAACCGTAACTCTCGCGATATTACGTTTATTCTGATGAAGGCGACAGTGGTCACTGAAAATTTGATCTCTGTGTAATTCTTGTGTTGGAATTTAGTTCAACATTTTACTATGATTACTTACCAACACAGATGAACTTTCATAATAAGATACTATCCTGTCTTTAAGATATTATTTTAGACCATATTTTGTGAGTGTACAGAGATGTTATCCTTTTGATGACCCAACGTTAATGTTTTGAAAGTAGTGGTGACTTACGATTCCAGTTGTTTCATTTGCTGCTTGTGTCATGTATATGGCCTCATATATTCAACCATGTTCACTATTAATAAACAGACACACAATAAATACTATTATCTTTGTGGTAAGGGTTGTTTAACATAATGTAAATGATATTTCTTTACATTCAATAGTGTTTAAAAGTTTGGTAGGAACTTGATTTTCATCAGAGTTAAAGATTATAGATTTTTTGACCATTTGCTTTATGTATACCTGAATGTAGGCTTTAAAGTTGTGGCAATGTTGGAAAGATTTAACAGATAGTGGTTCAGACTACAAGAAAACTTGTTGAGCAGATAGACAGAGGGAAAAGTTTGTAAAGTGGGAATCTTGGTGTTATAAGAAAGGACGAGAAAGTGCACACAGAGCACAAGGAACAGATAGAATTTAAGAGCAATTTTATATAAGGTGCATTGGGTGGGAATATCCTGAAGGAAGCTGCAACAACACCTTTGCTGCAGTTGAAAAGATGCTCAGTACTTACCTGTAGCAGTGGTAGTTCTTGTACATAACGCCTTCTAGCAGTATTGGTCTGAACTTCAGTAAAAGATCAGTGTAGCATGTGGAAACATAGTTTCAAACAACACTGATCCAAGTGATTCACTTTTGTTGCACTTTTATAGCACCAGTACAATGCATCACTGTCCAATAAAACAGAAAATGAGAACCATACATGTATGATATATATGTGGATTTTGTAGGACAGTTGTACCATCGTGTATCTAACATCCATTGCCCAGAAGTGTACAAATAGAATAAAGTTTATCATGGAATGTTTGGCACATGACTCAAAGCATTGGTTTCTAGAAATCCTGTAGCTTCAGGTGACATTTCTAATTCTGTTTTTTCCCATATACTCTTGCCCATGCAGCAAGAAACCCCTTTTTCAGAGAAAGGCTCAAATGATTTTCATATTACTTTAACAAAAAGTATCCCAAATCTATTACTATCCCACCATACAAAGTGTATTATACTTATAGCATTTTGTTCATGTTTTGAGGAATCTATGCTTTGATACATGTGTCATGGATGAATGTTTGTAAATATTTGAATCTTTTTGTGTCAGACTTTAGATGTGGGCTAACGGCTAAGCAATTGACACGGAAGAAGAAATGTTTCTGAAAAGTCAGTGTCATTTTTCCAACAGTCAAAAGGTTTTTCCTGTTGGTGATCGGAGGTGTATAGTTGGTCAGTACATATAGTACAGTTGTAGAAATGTTATTTGCGTACATATGTTAGAGTTAAGCAATTTTTGCAGTCCTGTTTAGGTAAGAACAGTACAAAAAATCCTTGTATGATGCCTTGATTTTGCTGAAACTGATAGTTTAATTGCTCCGTCATTGCATATATTTGTGGGACCACACATTAAATCTGCATAATTGTTTAGCATCGCTTTGTACATCAACCTAAGTATTGAAGACTGAAATTTTTAAGGGTATCTTGCATGCTATCGTATTGTGAAGTCAAGAAACAGTTCATGAGCTTGTATATAAACTCTGTATACAACTTTGTAAACATTGTCAAGAATAATTTGTTCTCAATATATACTTAAGACACAAGGGATTGTAATACAAGAAACAACTGTCCATAGTAACATCAATAGTTATAATAAGTCAAAACGACAATATTCTTGGGTGTTTTTGGAAGGCATTATATATGAATATATCTAAATATATATATATATGATGCGCACAGGTGATAGTACGGTACCATAGTTGGCTTTTACCCCATTTCTGAAGACAGGATGTACTGAAAGCTTCCTATGGATGCATTGAGCACAGGGCAGCAGGTAAGGCTAAGTGTAGAAGTAATAAAATTTGTAGAAAACCACTTGCCGACTGGTTCTTGTGTACCACTAGTCAATATATAATGATAGTAACAATATATTTGATGTTATTTTGCAGAAATAATATTGGGTACTATAACAGTATACAATACTATGACAATTATATTCAACAAACAGATGTTTTACCAAACAAAGTAATGGTAGTGACAGAACTTTCGAAAAAATCTTTACTTTTATATGGTCATATGTACATGTATGATCTTTTCTGGACTACGTTTTCTTAGTTTTCCTGTAAAATAGTATTTTAACAGCACTGTCCTATGAGTATATACAATGAAACAATTTGATTTTTTGGCGACGCCACAGAGGCGATGTCATTTTACTATACACTTGAATGGACACATTTTTATCAAAACCTCCCCGAAACTAAGTAATGAATCTCCCCCAAAAGAATTCCTCTCTGGTACAACCCCCTCCCACTAATGCTTGCTCCCCTGTCTTGACTTGCTGTTGCGGCCGGTGGGTGTGGTGGCGCGAAGTCTGGACTTGGAAGCTTCCGACCGTTTCCGCCCACCCGACTTCCGGTGGGCTCGACCCGTTTCCGGTCTGGACGAGTCTCCTCTGCTGGACAGCCGAGCTGATGATGAAGAGAGTAAATAATGTTGATTTGAAACGTTCCCGGTATTATGAAGAAAAACATCGTTTTTGCAGTTTCTTCTTCTCCAAACCAATAAGGTTAATGACCTGAACCAGACGTCTGTAACCATGGTAACTGGTGTTGGGTTACACATGTTGCAATTTTGTAGCAGGAGGAATTCAGACTACTGTCACAATATGATATGAATATGCTTGAGTAAGAATTAACAGAGTATACCATACGCGAAGGTAAACATTGTGCATTTGAAGGTAAACATTATTACCTTTCTAGTTCCTATCAGCTCAGCTATATATAGCCAAAAAGCCAAGACGTCTACCCTCACCGAAAATACGAAAAAAGGCCATAAAAAGGCAAAATCAGATAAAGACGTCTTACCTAAGAATCTCGAGTCTATTGCCTCCCTGTCGTTGAGAAGAGGAGTGTAGTTTGGCTGTTCCGCTCCTTCTATTTCTGAAGGAAGAAAAAAACGACGTCTTTACAGTATATATCCTGACAACGGCATTGTGGATAGGAGAAAAATACTCTTCTCAATGTGAAAGTTATTTCTGAATCTCGTCTTTGGGTGTCAATTAAAAAGTAAAGAAACAAAACGAGAAATACGATATAGTCCTCTCTTGACTTCGCTATTACAACATCCATAGAATTGAAACAAATTTTGAAAAAGGAATAAATTGAATATTTTAGTCATTGTAAAATGGTTTCATTCAGGGGTAACGTAACGTATAACACTATATCAAAGGAAAAATGAAATATTGATAAATCAGAGCCATCGTAAGTATTGTTGTGCATTCAGTTTGGAAGCCCAATATTATCAAAGTAGATCTCTTTCCAGTTATTTCTGGAAACTCCTTCTCGTTTTCATGACTATCACTATTCCTCTCGTGTGTTCTAATGCATAAGATTCGTAAAATCGTATCCCATAAAATACACAACATTCTTACTTACTGTCAACCTTCAGCAAAACTAGCTTCTCTCTCTCCTCCAGAAGCTCATTTGCATATTTGTGCAGTCCCTGTTGTAGGTTTTTGACGTTGCCCAGTTCGTCGGACAAGTCCACATCAACTGAAGAAAAGTCATAAGAAAACATCAACAACAATATGTCTGGAAACGCAGTATACAAGTTTTAATGCACATAATAGCACTTCTTATCTATTATATATAAAGCTGTCATTTTTGTTTGCCATGTTTCCCTGTGTTGACATTATTGAGTAACACATTATACTTTGGGTCGTCTTCAGTATACTCTCTCCCCTCATACCAATTGCAAGAGCGAACGTTGATACTTACTGTCCTGATGACAATTACATCTTCTCTTGATGCTGTCTAGCAAGAGCCTCGTCTTGCAGTTGGGGTTGAAAATCGCCTCCTGTCGGTCTGGATAGAAAATGCAACACAAAAACTCATGCATATGTGAAAAACGTCAAAGTGCATACAGTACCCATTCTCTAATACTTATTACAAAGGAAGGAAGTTTTGTTTTCCGTTTCTTTGAAATACAAAATTCACCGTCTGGAAAAACATGCCTGTGTTTTTTATGAGGCTTCAGCAGTGCTACCGAACATTTATAGAATAAACGGGAAATGTGTTTTAAAAAATTGGTGTGAAGCATAGTGATATATTAAGTATATAAAGTATTGAATATGAATATCATTTTCTTAGATATGTCCAACCTACTTAGTATAATGTAGATAGACGAAAATTAATGAATATGATCACATGTAAATCTCGTAAACCTTTGCCAAAGACAAGCATAGACATTTTCAATCTAGCTAGCTATAGTTATGTCATGCCCCGACTCCATATCTATGTACCTAGGCCAATATGTATGTAGTACTTTAGAAAAGACAGAAAGAATTGTGACAGACAGAAATGTTTAATGTACATCATGTCAATACGCCATTTACGTTCATATTTATGTAGACATAGTTTCTAGGAATAGACTAGTATTATTGTAATGACCACATTGTCATTGTAGCCATTCATTGTACCCTGTACAACTGTCGAGCAATAAAAAACCCTAATACATTTCATAATACATTTATAAACGGGAGGAAAGATACGACGATATTTCAGCGCCCACCCACAATGAACCCTTACCCAGTACACACCACAGTCACGGTCATGCCTGAATGAAACACCAAGGGGGGCAACGTGACGGCGCAACAGGTCTTACTATAATACTAACTCTCGGTGGCTCTTATATGTCCAGTCACCGTGTAAAAACATCCCGTGGATTGTAAGGTATAACTTTCACCACCAAACAAAGGAGCCATATCCAGAATGTCAACACTACCTGCTGCGTGGATCGCACGTTTTATTAACTCCACTGCGGTTACAGATTACTAAATAATGTGCCCCTTCCCTGACCTGACGTCACAATACCCAGTCACTCACAATGTGACAGAATCACAGGTAGATTTATATAGTCTTCTCTCTGTCGGTTTTCTGTAACGTTAAACGTTCACCAACCCGCCATTTTATTTGTTATCACGTAGCGACGGGCACAGTTTTCGACAGGTGCACACATTGCGAGCCGCACGCATGTTGTCTTAGTGATTAAACCGTTCCCGAGTGTGGCCTTTATACCCGCCTAATACAGGTGTAGAGGACAAATATATACCAACCACTCACCTCCAAATCTTACAGTAATAAACATAGCCGCTCTCCTAGTGGATAAAGATGCCACAGGAACGCCGTATCAGCCCGGATATACCCTCTTTCCTCGGCGCGTATATGAAAAGCGCGAACCTTGTATTCAGATAAGCCACCACAGATCAATGCTTCAGTAAAGGTCCATGTTTGCAGAACGAGTTTTTCCGGCAGTCACGTGGGTTGATTCGACCAATGAGGACGCCGTGTGCGCTGAGACAGTTCTGGGTTGAAGAGCGCGTATTTGTTGAACAGGTAAACACAGGTGGGACGGCCCTTAGCGACGGGTTAGTTGATATACGGTTACCAGGGTATTTAAGCCCGGGGGTTCTTTTGGGAGTGCAACTCCTTTAACCCCATCAGATACATTTTCACAACAATCTAAAGCAACCATTCAAATTAGAACAAGTACATAGATATGGGCCTCATAAATAATTCTGTCTCAACAAAGTTTGAACAAGGAGCTTTAAATTTTGGAAAAAGACATGCCGTTCATTGATAAATTTGGAAAATAGTGGTTTTCCAATCAAGTACAATTTGTTGAATAATCTCTAAACTGTTTAACGAATAAGCATGCATACACCACAGATAATTCTGCTGTAGTGCTGTCTAATGATTGTCCATACCGTATAATGTCCACCATGTTTCCATTCAGAGTCAAGTGGCCATAACGACGAAATGATTGAGTGGCCGAAGTTTCTCCTGGATTCGGGACGACACTTGTCCCCAACGACAGGTCAATAAAGTCAATGGTTGAATTTCGACGAATGAGGACATAACACTCACAGACGTAAAGTTGTGTCAAATGTTTTAATATTGACTTATTCTCCAAGCAGAGGTGAAGTTTGGGGTTATTTTTGGCGTATTTTTAGACTTTTTATCGTTTTGTTTTTCACTGGAATTTTTCCCCCAACCCAACAAAAAAATTCCAGTGCAAAAAAAACAAGACTTTTGAAAAAAGTTTATCTCGGCCGCTGGCCATGTAGTTTTGTGTTCTTGGAGGATGTCCACATAGATTTGTGTAACTGCTAGAGAGGAAAGAATGTATTACCTAGTATGTTCATACCTGTAACACCAATGGAATTAGTGAAAAATGATCATTGCTAAATACAATATAACGTTAAGTATATGTAACCACTACAATAATTTTCATTTTATTTCATTTTTATTTTTATTTATTTTTTATTTATTTTCATTTTATTTTTTATTCTGTTTTATTTTATTTCATTTAATTTTATTCTATTTTATCCGTTCTATGCATTATCAAACTTCTCCTCTACTGCTAGAGCTACTAAAACTTCACACCGAATATATTAAACATTTTAATTCGCCCCCTCTAGCGGTTTGGGCCAAATTGCAGCTTTCCAAAAAAATCCAAGATGGCGGCGGCAGATCGGGGCGCGGCTCGGCGATTGCCGATTTCATTGTATTTTCCTTGGTCTTTTACGCGATTCAAGCAAAGAAAACAAGTTGACCACAAGAACAAAAGAGTAATACAGCACTGGGAATCTAATTAATTTCTCATTTCAAGTGAATATTTACTTGCGTCACAGTGATTTATTCACCAATCAAAAGCGACATCTTGCGACTGAAGCAAATATGGAAGGTTAATGTACATAATTTATGTCATTGATTTATTGGTCCAATTACAGCAGCTATTAGCGAAATTCTAGAACATTAAATGCATACTATGATATAAAACAATGGTTTTGTGGTAAACAGCATTTCCTCTTTTTTAGCAACTTCGTTGTATCAGAATAACGACACTATCATCCGGTAGGTCGACACCACAAAGTAAAGTATACATGCAGAGTAATTGGTTTCATTGGGTTTTTTTTCACGGTCGAAAACACGATCGAACGTACATATTTTGGAGCACAATACCTCGGCCGCTTCAGGCGGCCGAGATAAAAAGAAACCACGATAAAAAAAGTCTAAAAACACACCAAAATAACCCAAAACCCAAACCTTTGAAACCTCTGCTTGGAGAGTACTAGTAAGTAACGTTACATTGTAGTATCAGTAGTTTTACACATACAGCTCCATTTGTTCCAACACTGCACAAACAAGAAATGGGGCACACCATGCACGAATGTTGACAACACTTTTGTCCCTAATGGGGGAACTCTGTACAACAAAACATGAAATTCTATACCTGCCTGTGTGTCAAACTAGGTCGTCAGCTAGGTTAGTATTTCTGTACACGTGTTTATAGTTGTCTTATAATCTCATTGATGTCCTCTTCTTCTGTTTTCATTCTCTTTTCTACCTACACAATAGCAAAATCGCATGCCTTTTAGAAATGGTTACTCTTTCGCAACGGGGTAGTGTTGCAGTCGCAGTGCCAGTAGTTTTTGGCGACGCCTCTGGGGCGCTGGGCTTGGCGCGTTCGAAGTAAGGTCACAGCAAGTAATTTGTATGGATGGCACCAGCGCGCGCATGAATTTTCGCCTGATTTTGGAGAAGAAAAACGAGAAATTTTGTTGCCCTCTCAACATGCCTAAAATGGGCAAAGATGTCTACTGCCATGCCGGAACGTGGATGGCAGATAAATATGAAGACAGGAGGCAAGGCAAGGCTCTGATTTATCATAATAATTATTGTTTTGCTTGATACAGTGATGTATTTCATTCCTTTTATATATGTGATGTTCCCACTGCATCAAAACCATCTGTACAATGATTGCAAGCTTTTATTTTTCATTGACATTTGGATGTTGTAATAGTTGGCTGCAAGCTCAGCAGCACAATATAGGTATCACTTCTTGTTTTACGAGGTTCATGATGTCATAATTTGAAAATGTAGGAATCTTGTTTCTTTTGGCCTGCCTTGTTTCTTTTTCGCCCTATCGCATTGCTTTTAGATTTGGCGTCTGTGGAGGATGTCATCCATAAAATTGACTTGCTGTGGTCTACCTAGCAGTATAGTAGACTGATAGCTATAGACTAACCATATAACATGAATGTAGACTTACATAGACTATGGCGGCCCGTCATCTATGAGTTGCTCTATGAAGGTGCATGTAGAACGCATATCTATCCGGACATAGTAACCCACACATATTACAACAGAAAGGGTCCGCCGGTTGCCCGTGGTAGCTGGCATGGATGTCATGCATTGTCTTATCTGTGAAGATAATACCGCAGTAGTGACAAGCATGGGACCCTTGTAGTACACTGGGAACTTCTTGTAACATTTGTCCATGATGATTGTGGTGAAACAAACCTTCCCTCGGGTTTGCTCCCACCGTCACATTGTCATATGACGGAGAGATGCCTAATGCTGTGTGTCCAGGGAATGCTACTTTCTCTAGTCGTAGAGCGTCCGCGATTTGCGTTTCAGGCAAACTCGGGCTAATTTGCATACCGAGAGTGATATCCTCATGACTTTCCAACGGATAAACATTGTGTTTGCTTGCTGAAGGGTCAGAGTTTTCACGTTGTTGACTTGGGTTGGACGATGGCCTCAGGGTCACGGTTCTAGCTCTAAAGGCGCCTCCTGTCGAGCTGGTCTTGTCCTGCACGTCAGCGCTTGAGGACTGCAGGGACCCGAAAGTTTCTTCTTTCTTCTCCATACAACTTATCCCGGGGCATTTTTGAGAGGAACTGTTCTCGACACGGTCTTGATTTTGTCTAGAGACATGTCGATGATCAGTTGCTTTTGTCTGAGAAGAGGAACCGTTGTTAGAAATATTAATCCTTGGCCGAACGGATGGAATGGTGAGGAAAACATTCTCCTGAATCTGACCGAGTGTTGTTACGTCCACATCCACTTCACTACTGTCTTCAACCTTCCGAATCACTGATGGACGTCGTGGCACTTGTCCCTCTTTCTGAGAGAAATTGATCAAGTCATTCAACGTACGGTTGTCAGTATCTTGCTGAACAGTGCTCCCGATTGTCTTGCTGCCCGCCTCAGTAGCCGCCGTGTTACCACCTTGCCTATGGTTGACTCCGGGTGGTTCTAAGGACAGGCACGCCGCCTTGCGGCCAGCCGTGGTATGTCCTACAGCCTTGCGGTCCGCGCTTGTCGTGGGATGTGTTGTGAGTTGATCGGCACGGCCAGCTGTAGTCATAAAGGGGTGCCAGTGTGCAGGGTGGTGCTTCAACATGTGCTGGTTCAGGGAAGTCTTCTGTAAAGCCGAGTACGTACAGGCAGGGCATCTTAGGAAAAAAAGTTAAAGCGATAGCAAGTACATTTTTGCATTAAAACTGTAAATATAAATGATTGACATTTCCTCAATTTCAATAACTTTTAACATATTAGCGTAGCTATTTCGCTTGTTGACAGTTGACAGTCTTGTTGACAGTTTAGTTGCCCCGACAGCAGGACAGACTGCTATGGGACCGGTGAGGTGAGGAGGATTTCGCTTTTGGGCGACTCGGCGCATGCATTTTAAGGAGGCTCCTAAAAAGAATGTAAACAAAGAGCCGAGGAGTTGGTTGTTTTCCAACACGTTTTTGCGGCGACGTTGATCCCCAAATGTCATTATGAACCCAGGTACTAGTAGGCAAGAAAATGGGCGATCCAATATCAATTGCTTCCTGTATAACTGCTTAAATTGCAAACGAGCACACGGGTTCTTTTTAAGCAAGGACATCATTAAAGTATTTTACCTGTAGGGTCTTTCACCGGTGTGCCTCCGTTCGTGCACTACCACCGAGCTCCGGTAGGCGGCAGCATAGTGACAGAAGCGGCACTTGTACGGCCGTTCCCCGCTGTGCGTCCGGAGGTGCGTGTCCCTGTTACCTTTCCTGTTGGTCACGTAATCACAGAACCTGCAAGTTCAATGTCCAGGAGACGGGGGTTACCAGAAAAAAAAACAGCCTTTGCGTGCGACCACTTGATAGAGATAAATTATCGACAATATAAAATTTGTAGCAGACATCAACATTAGGGATTCAAAAACCAGTATTTAAACTCACCTGCAACTGAATATTTTTCTCTTGGTACACTGCTTCTTGCAATTGGTTTGACGTTCAACGTCCAGCTTTTTCTCCAATGAGGGTTCCGCACCTGACGTCACTTCCGGGGCGTGGTTTACTTGTGATGGACAGGTGACGTCACCGGAGACGATCGTTTTAGAGGATTTTGCTACTTGTGGGGGTTTGGGTACAGTTTGTGGGGCTCCATTGGGACAACTGAACGGTCATGGAGAGAAGAAGCCCTGAAAGTGATTGTTAATTTGGATGTATACATTAATATCTACCACTTTTAAGAATATATCATTACTTCTATCAAGTACAATATTTCATCACAAAATCTCGCGATATGAATGTATACAAAACGCCAATTTTAAAGCAAATGATACACAGTTTTAACTTGGTACTATGTAGCTATAGATTTTGAATAAAGGGTACGACGGGTGTTGGCGGGAAAACTAGTAATTTCATTCAGTACTGAAACCTGGTAAAATCAATTGATTAGAAACACAATCCACTAACGGCAATTTTCAACAAGACCCCCGACTCTCCTATTTCTAGTACAAAGGAACAAGACCGTGATGTTTTAAAATCGAACCCCTAAACGTAATTAGAATGGAGATTTGCCCTTTCGAAAAATTTCAGATTCCTCATTGTTTTATTTGTTAAAGTACATTTTTGACGTCAACTGTTATACCCGTAAGCCCGCAGCCAAGAAAGCTCACAAAGGCACTTTACACGACTTTCCTTACATCACTCAGGTGGAAATCAGTACCTAGCTTCGGTTAGGGCCGTCCCCCAGATAGGACGTTAAATGGAGGTCCAGTGTTTGGGGAGAGCCACACCCCACGCACGTTAAAGAACCTACAGCACTTATCGAAAAGAGTAGGGGTCCTTGGAATTCCCGGTGTGAGTGGTTCAAACCTCACAGTGCAGTCTTACGCAGCTTGAAGTTATGTATACAAACTGTGTTACGCCTTAAAAAAGACAGTTTACCGTTTATGCAAAACAAACAAAGAAACAAACTTACCCTGTAAGGACTTTCGGCTTTACAGTACTTCAAATCAAGTCCTGACGCTCAGAGAAGCGCTGCTCTCTTATAACACCGCGATCATCTACCAAATACCAGACCCTCCACACACCGTGCATTCCGTGACGTTTGATTATTCCTCAGTCGATTCCGTGACTTTTAAGCTGCTTTTTCTGACGTGACACAAACCGACATGCGGCGCGGAGGTACCTTAAGAGAGGGTCGCAGGTGCGGCCAGGGGACAGGCGCAGGTGTTTAGAGAAAGGTACTGAGGATAAAACCTCAATTTTCCTCCCATGTGCTCTAAAACATCACGCAAAATAAACCACGGGCTGACTCCGAGGTTTTCTACCAAACTATGCGTGCAAGTCTTAAAAGATTAAAGTCACATCAAATGCGAATGAAAATTAGCCTGTAACTGAGGGGGAAATGGTAGCCTATTACGTGAGATGTTCTGATATGTGTATAATGAATTTGTGACAGGTATATCATTAGTCAATCGTTTCATGTCTGCATAGATTATAGTGTTTGTGCACTTTGTTTTAGTCAGCAAAAATGTGAAAATCTGACAAACATAGTTGTCTTCGTCAGAAAGGGAAGGTGAATATTACTAATACTGATTTAATATGTTTTGACTGGATGCTGAGTTTCAGTCGATTGTAATCTAATAAGTAATGGTCTGCTAGTTATTTTCTGTCACCCAGAATAGAACTATGCCCTGACTTGTCAGGGTGAGGTATAGGTTTGATCTCCAGTTGTACCAAATCTACGGTAGGAGACACCCTCTGGAGGTATGTATTCGGTTTTGCCCTGGTGGGGGGTGGGGCAGCTGTGGTGGTGTGGGTCCGTATGAAGGTCAACGTTTGAAGTCGATTATTTGTGCGTGACATTTGTTTCTTTGGTATGTGGGTAGCTGTTGTGAAAATGTAGTTCAAGTTTAAAAATGGACTGCCTGGCTTTTACCAATCTAATTGCAGCGGGCCGGGTTTTTCATGCATTTGTCGATTGTATGTATGCAGCCTAAGTAAAAATTTATAAAAAACACTGTCAGTTAAATGCAGTTGTGCAGCGGTTACAGAAACAGAGTTCAAGGTCAAAAACGGTTATCCTACAATGTTCTTACGTTGAGAGTTGTGTATTTTTGGGGTTTCGCTTGTGGACAACATAATCTTACGAAACAAGAAGTACGGAGCGGCAGGGTCAGGGTCCATGCGAGCAGCGGGAGCCGCAGTCCTTGTGTGTACAACAAAAAGTGTCCGAGGCGATTTGAAAAAAAAATGATCACGTCCACCGAGGCTCTGGCCTGGCTCTAGGTCTGGGTAGTCCATGGCAGTTAGCAACAATACGGAGCCGGGTACCCAGGCTACCGAAGCTCCACGACTCAAGAACTCAGTACATACATGTACGTACAGTGTCGATTCATAAATTCCGCAAAAAGTCCAATGTACGTCACTATGTACTGCCGCAAATCCACAATACCAGGTTTGTATTCATGTGGTTTAGTAGCATTTTTATTTTTGGTGTTTTTTTTTTAAATTCGCCCGCGCGCACTAGTTTGGGGGTCTTTTGAGGATGTCATACATAAAATTAAGTCGGTCTGGCCTAAGAAGAAAAAGAGACTGTATGCCCATCCGAAAGCGCTCCATATCTTGTAGGCTCTCCCAACGTTCATGTGAGCTCCGATATCATCAGGCTGGACACTGAGTAGGGAACATGAAAAACAGTCAAGTCAACTTCATAGGGACCCTGTTTGTAAAGAGAAGTTTACTTTGTCGTGGAAGTCCATTGAGCCTTCACCTACAACAGTTTCCTGAAGGATGATATAAATAGAGAAGGACCAAATCCCTCTGTTGTGTGGTGACGTACGGGGCATTCCAAGCTGGTAGGCCAGAGATACAATGTACATGTATTCCTGTTGTTTGGAATGTGTTCATTAACTTTATGAAAAGGTGGTATGTGTTGGGTAAGCCATTCATTAACATATTATATGATATGATACATACATTTACCAGTCTATAATATATGATCGAAACGCCCAGAAAATTACTCAGTGCGCTGGACGCACTTCTGCCGACAGCTCTTTCCAATGTTCTATCAACGTTTTTGACCCGACAGATTTCAACACGGTGACAGGTGAGTAACTCTGTGATTTCTTCTCCTCTTTTGCCTCTGCTCTTTCCATTACAAGCAATTGTTACTGTCTGTTTAACTTTCCATGTTACGAGTATTTGTATTCTTTATGGAACTAGACAAACCAGGAAATATGTATTATAAAGCACCATTATGTTCTGAATACATACTAAGCTACATATGTCCATACATTGTGAGCTCCCCAGTATCTCTACAGCGATGGGAGTGTTACACACAAGGTCCTTTCTCTGCCAATGAAACAATTTTCCTGATTTTCAGGTTCCAGTGCAGAAACTCTTGTGTGAAGTCATACCGAACCGTTTTGAGACAGTCAGAGCTGACAGACGGCGAAGGTTGAATCTTCGTCATGACAACTGTTGGGGAGTACATTCTCGTTGTGGTCAACGGAAGTAAGTTCATGTTTTTTCTTTCTGTCTTCTTGTAACATCATTCAGTTGTTGCTCTTTTTCATTAATTTCGTTTCTCTTTAATATCTCGGTGGAAACTCTGAGAAAAGTACAGAGAATGAGATTTACTGAACGTACGAGTGTCAAAAATTATACAGCCTGACAGAAACAGCTACCGATTACTTTTATCATAAACATAACATATAACGCATCTCTGTTTAGCGAAAAAAGAAGCTACAAATGGCCAGTTTTTCTCAGTAAACTGAAGAGGAAAACTATTCATTGTGAGTTACAGTAACCATCGTGGTGACTATTGTGGGTGGCCTCCTCACCATACTAGCCATCTGCACACGCCCGGACCTACGAAAACTGGTCAACGTGCCCCTGGTCAGCCTCAGTTGCACAGACATCCTCTTCAGCGCCATTTATTCCCCATTTTGGATCCAGCAGATTCTAAACCCCCTTTGGGAGCCTCCGCCAGCCCTATGCTGGTTGATAGGCTATATCTCTCCCGTGCTATGGGGGGCGTCCTTATGGCACATGTTGTGTATCGCTCTTCAAAGGTATTTCACAATCTGTACCAACAGCACGCGTCTGAAGTCCAAGCAAGCCCTCACCATCATGCTCTTGCTCACATGGTCGGTCCCTGCCCTTTCTTTCTTGCCTCTTTACATCGTTGAGGAAGTTAAGGTGGATCCAAAGCTGAAACGGTGTGGGACGGCAAATTCTGACAAACTCTGGGCGAAGGTTCCCCCGACCATTCTAAACATAATATTCCCCTACATCGCTGCCCTTGCCTCTTACATCCTTATCCAAAACCACGTGAGGAAGAGTAAGAATCGTGTCCAAGCTCATGCACGTGGCCCCACAAACCGTTTGGCAGTGCAGTACTCGAAGTCAGGGGGCGGCGGTGTAGCCGTTCCTTCCACGAGCACGGAAACCGACAAGGTGACAAAGCCGATTAGAAACCTGGAAGGTGTAGTGTGGGTGGGGGACGAGAATTCCTCATCAAGTGAAGATGAGCCAGTTGTCAAGCCAGGTAAACCCAAAGTTACTATCGTGCATGTTGCTCCAGCATCTGGCACAGGTAAACAACAGGGTAAAAAATCCTTACCAAATAACGAGGAACGAAAAGGCAATGAGCCAGATAAAAACAAAGGCATCGTCCCAACTGCTACCATAGTGTCAGACCAGGCTGGTACAAATAAAGGACCACGGCGAGCTCACGTTGTCCCGAGCAACAGTTCTCAAAACCACAATAGCGCCGCTGAAAGGCAGATCACCAAAATGATGATGTCCCTGTTTGCTGTGTTCACGCTGTGTAATATGCCTGGTATTATGATGGTGATGTTCTCCAACAAAGTACCAGCTGAAGCCTTCGCTGTTGGCCAACTGCTAGTCTCGTTAAACGGTGCCCTGAACCCGATCATATACGGCGTTATGAACAAGAACATTCGCCGGGGGTACACGCACATTCGCGACTGCATGCTCAACTTCATAACATAAGTTTCTGTCAGCCTCCTCAAGAACGAATATTTGGCATTCAATTTAAAAAAAAACACTGCGGCAACAGACTGACATTAACATTATGTATAGGTCAAACATTAAACGAATTTCAAGAAAATGGCTTTCATAAATATATCAGTAACATTGAGTTAATCTTATCAAGATGCAATGGTCACTTTTACATTATGTTTGACCAAGACAAGCCTAGATTTGATTTTTAATTTAGGTTTGATTTAAAGTTTACAAAAAAATACTATTTTTGTTTAAATGTTTTCTTTGGCAGTTATTCAAAGTAAAATCAAACTATCATAAATGTTTGAGTCCATAGCTATCAGAGAATTCAAAATAATTTCCATTTTGCAATTGTTTATTCTGACACCTGACCATGATTCATCCTTTGGTTTCACATCATTGCGAACGTGAGACTAAAAAATACATTAAAAATTCAACTGAATTTTGTTTCACTGGTGAAGAAACTTTAGATGATCTGTATACCAGCGATGGACTTCATAAGTTTGAGTCACCTTCAGCTGTCTTTCCAACAGATACGATATTAAACAGACCTTCTCTTCTTACCTTCAAAGTAGGTCACTCATATATTAATAAACCACTAAAAATAATAACAATCTGCATCAAATATTTCACAATTCCAGGAGCAATGAAGCCGTATTGTGATGGTTCACAAAGAGGGCATGGTATGTTAATTGAGACTCCTTTGGATGCGTGAGTGATCCTGTGAGCATCTGACAAAGAATGCAGCCGTGTCAATCATTCACATTTAATACAGAACTGATTTGAAGCCCATGTGGTTACGTCACTCAGTTTTATATCAGTCGTCACCAACGAGAGGAGCTGTGACATTTTATAGATTTGAAGAAGGAAAGGCAGTAGCCCCAAATTAAGCAACCAAAATGCAGATCTAGTTTGCGAAATTATGTTTGATCAAGACAATCTTTGATCAAATTCTTACACCAATCTTCAAGATGCGGGCTTTGACTGGTACAATATGTATATAAGTACATTATGTAATACTATGAACTCAAAACTGCATCATTATTGATATTTAAGATCATAGCTATCAAAGATTGCTAGATGTTTAATTTGACGCCATTTTACTACTAATACTTTTCCTAAATGCTTGATTCGACGTCATTGCATTTCAATACAAATGTGAGACTAAATGGCACACAGTTAACAACATTTACTGAATTTTTTTCATTGATATATACATGTAGATTTTAGATGATCTGTATGACAGTCAAACTGCAATAAGTTTGAGTCACCTACAGTTGCCTTTCCAACAGTAGATTCTTATGAAAAAAGACATTCTTTCTCTACCTTCAAAGTGCGTCACTAATACATTAATAAGCCACTAAAAATGAAAAGAACTATCTTCATCAAATATTACAAAATTCCTAAAGCAATGAAGCCGTGTTATGATGCACATGGTATGTTAATTGAGATTCCTTTGGATGCGTGAGTGATCCTGTGAGCATCTGACAAGGAATGCAGCCGTGTCAATCATTCACAATACTGACTCGAAGCCCACGTATTTTTCTAACAAGCAACTCCGTTTGATATCAGACAATGATCACTAACAAAACGCCAAAAAGCAACTGAGAGCTCTTCAATAATTACTGACTGCAAAAATTAAACCTTTTTGCTTAATTATAAGCTTGCTACCACGGGCAAGTGAACAGCCGCAGTAGTTACTATGGTGGCAAGGGTCTGCTTGGACTTCAATCGCCGGGTTAATTTTATACGTTGTTTTGGGTACATGCGCTGAGCTTATAGTTCTTGATGTTAACATGATAAATACTTTTTGTGTTCCTGAGATGTAGGAAGTGTATAGTGCATGTACCTTGCTGTTAGGCACTCTACAATGTACCTTGTTATCAACACTTTATATATACATTGTACTAACTTTAGATGTTTTCTTCAATGCTTTCCTGTATATTGTATGTAGAATACACTTACATCACATTGTGCATGTATATGTAGTTAAGCCATTTATCATTGTTTATAAAAGAATACTTAATTGTTGCTAAATCATGCCATTTTTTGTACGTACCTTATATGTTTTACTTGACCCAATAGTACCTGCAGAGCTAGGGCCTGTAGTGGTTAGAATTTCATTGGGGTTAATATTATACATTGTTTAAGTACACTTGCTCATAGTACTGGATGTTGCTTTTTGTGATCTTGAGATCTAGCAAGTATATAGTACACACGTATTACCACTTTAACCTTGCTGTAAGAGACTATAATTTGTCATCAACCCTGTTAAACTTTGAATGTAAAATTGTATACATACATATTCCAATGCTTTACTGTATGATATTGTATGTAGAATACATGTAGTAAAGTCATTTATTATTGCATGTGAAAAAAAACCTTGGTTGCTGAAACGTGCCATTCTTTGTACCTTGTATTAAGTGTTCACAGTAAAGTATATGCACCACATTCTTCTGGATATGGAGTTGTTGTTTTTGGTGTGTTTGTCAGTGTATTTGCCTGTACATCTTTTCGAGGCCATGAGGGAAGAAGTCATGGTCAGACTAAATATGACAAGATGCAGATTTGAAGTGCTAACAAATCTGTAGACATTACGAGTTATAGCCATAAGATAAGGTAAAGTAAAGTGTTAACCTACAAGTTTTCGGTCAGTACTCTGTCAGTACTATGATATTGTTTTAGACAGTTACATTTTATTGTGTAGATTTTTAAGTTCCTTTGTACTCTGTTTCAACCTTCTTTTATCTTTGTTATTTGCAATTAGCCTTCGGTCCGGAATTTGCAAAAAATTATAACGCTAACACACATATTGTTTTCGTTTTTCAGGATTTCAGCCACTGTAGTGCTCTTGTTGTTCAATTGTCTGATGTGAACAAGTACTGAAAAAGATGCTATACTGCAGCTATGGATAACTATAGGGCGTAAACAATGAGTCATTGTTAAAAATCTGATTAGAAAACATCAAATACATGCATGTACAAAGAAAGTAAAAAAATGTGGCTATATATTGTTTACACATGGGTGACTGATCGTTCTTTAGAGCTTGGCATCATCACAAGGCTCCGTGTGCAGTACCAGAGCCTTCCGCTGGTGGAGCCTCTGAAACGCCCGGTACTCTTCAGTCATGTTGTGTTTGCGATGGTTTCTTACGTCCCCATAGTAATGGTATTCTATCTTTCGGCCCTTTTCGTCCTTTGCAAACGGGTAGAATCCGTACAAGTGGATCTGGTCGCACAGACAGGCCGCCAGCGCGAACAAGATATTTCCTGTCGAAGGCCGCTTGGGCTGGAATTCTGAATCATTCCACAACCTGGACAATAGAAAGTATTCATACCACGTTACTAATGTAAAGAAAGCGCACAGTTTCATTTCATGTAATGTACATGCAATCATCCGATATGCATGCCACAAGTAGACAATATTGTTGTGGGCAATAACCATCGTTACAGCATAACGCAAGTTAAAACCTCACTTTTGCATCCTTTTTGAAGTGTGCCTTGGTGCATACGAAAGCTTGATTGGCAGGCGATGTTTCAGTATCATTCTGTTGGTAAACTCCACGTCTTTGCGTCCGCTCACTGATACAAAGGCAGGGATGTGGAGAATCTGATCGTGGATGAGGCGCAGTCGCCTGACGAATATTTCTTGCACGCTGCTGTCTTTGGCATATCCTTTATATTCGTGTGGAAGAACAGATGGATTCATGGTGGTGAAGTTGGATTTTGTCCCCACGTCTTTCTCGAACCCCTCAAGATCAGGAAGGTTACATCTGAACACGAAATCTGCAGAGTCGATCTGAGGACCACAGCGGCTGCCCAGGAGGATCCCAGAATTCCCAACGACTGCACAAGACCGGAAGTGCCTGCCCAGAAGGGGCGACGACTCGGGAATGAGACGGAGGAAGTTTTCCGTGATGTTCGCGCGTCTACTCCGGGACGCTTCGTACCGCATCAGTTTTCCAAGTTTCACTTGAGACTTGTTGATGGTGAGATCTGTGTCCGGGTTGAAGTACTTCAGAACCCACTTTCTATGAAGAACATACAGAACAAGACTGACAATGAAAACATACATTGCCTTGGAGACGGTAGTTGTTGTTAGGGTTATTGAATGAATGACGACCTTTATTGCACATTTTTGCCACACTGGGCTAAGTACAGGTCAAAACAAAACATAATGGAGAAATATATACAAAATAAAACTAACTATCATTACATAAACTTCTCGCTTTTCAGTTATGGTAGAGATAAATGAACAGATATGTTTATCGATGGAAGGTTTGTCAAGTCGCATCAGGAATATGAATTTTTCTACAGTGCTCAAGTGTATGAAATAAGGAAATAGGTTTTGTACAAGCCTATACAGATCACTTCTCTCTTTACTATATAATCTACATTCTATAACAAAGTGACATTCGTCCTCTATTCTATTCAAATTACAACATGTACATAACCTTTGTTCCAGAGGTTATTGTTTGCATGGCACTGCCATGATTTCATGATTTTGACTGATACAGTGCAGTTCAGTTGATCACTCCTCCCCTCCCCTGAGCGTATAGTGAACGTTTCCCGAGGGTTACATAAAGTAGGGCATCAGGGACAGACAGGTCTTCCAAAGAGTTTCCCGGAATGTTAGGTTCCCCCCTGAGGCGTCGCAAAAAAAAAAAAAACTTCAATTTCATGGAAGAACAATGTTGTCCAGAGCATCCAGCTATTACCTTTTGCAAGCAGAAAGTACCTCACCTTATCCTTTCAACTTCCGATGTATTGAAGCTCACACCCGGGGGCTTAGCTGTTCTTGTTGAGTTGATCCTGTTAGAGAAGAGATCGTACTGCTTGGCAATAAAGTGGCAATAAATAATACTGTAGCTTATGGCATGACTACTCACGAAAAAGGAGAAAGAGGGTTTTCTTCTGTATGTCATTGCAACTGACAACACAGCTAACAGTCACTGACAAATTTGATGCCTTGATACTTATATGTCCAGTTCTTAGATATCCTATTTGTTTCTGTAAGTTTGCCAGCATTAGATATCAAAGAAAATTATTCCTTATTCAATTCTGCGGGAAAAATACCCCACCTTGTCTGTTCAACTTTCGATGCTGTGATATTCACTCTCGGACTCTCATGTCTACTCGGTGAGTTGGTCCTGTGTGAAAAAATGGGAACACAGTGGCTCCATTGTTGTATTCTGCGTGACCGTGACAAAAATCGTTTTCGAGAAGCAAATAGTGCATAATTATCGTGACTACATAGAATTGCAAGTTATTAATGTTCGTCGATGATTAAGCTTAAGGTTAAACATACAGGTAACGAGAGACACAAAGTCACCGACGAAAAGTAGTGGATGAAACATGAGTTTTCAAAATCTATACAGTTGCTTGAGTTACAATTTTCTCTAGTCATGTTTGCTTTTGTTTTGTTTTGTTTTGTTTCTCAGAGGAATGTTTTTAAAGAGCCGTGGTGCCGCTTTCTGAACCGGCTACCATGTTTACGCTGGCGTCACTAACAGTATTTATTAGTAATTAAATTACTAGCAACTGGCTGCAGAAATAGAACTGGACGGATGACTTACAAGAATTCGATTTTCCCAACATCAAAAGAGAATGTATTCTTTGCTTAAACCCCTTTGTTCGTTAAATATCACGTTTGACTGTTTGTATCTCCACGATATTGGTTTCATGTTGTGTCTAACCGCATGTGTGTTTATATATAGTCAGTTATTGTTGGCTAACGCAAGAATGAAGCTCAACAGAAATATATCTATCGGCAAGAAACTTAGAATCCCCGTCCTTGCCCAAATGATTAAAATTCTTCCTAATTCGCCCCGAAACTTCGTCGCTCGATGTTATATCCATAAAGCCTCGGTCACAACCCGCCGTATACGCGATTGCGTGCTGTATACGCAAAAACGTGGGCAAATTTTGGTGATCCTTAACTTTAAGTGGTGAGTACCACCTCCCTACCGTGTGAGTGACGTGCGTTGACGTACTGCTCATGCAAGTCCTTCCCCACGTTTTCAGAAAAACGTAGCAGACGTGGCCTCCCCAAAATACGTACGGACAAAAATCACGTACGGCGGGTTGTGACCGAGGCTTAAGTAATCCACCAAACGGTTCGCGCGAATGTAACCCTTTCATAACCGTCGCCTTGCTACGTCAAGGTTAGTCAAATTCAAAATCAACAGGTGTTTCCTCAAACTAAAACCTACCTGTTTCCTACAGACACCGCCCCTGTCCCCATATAAGGCTGAACTGAAACGTAGCGGCGATTCTGCCAGGCCTGCGTGCCGAGGAAAAAGAAGACGGCCGTGGAAAAGAGTAACCCAAACGCCAGGAACAGAACACACGTTCTTCTACATGCCATGGTTATGGGCATTAATTAAATATAAGGTGGCCTTGTCTATTTTGGGCGCTTCCAATAGATCCTTATGGAGGGAGTGGCCCTACTTTATGCAGAAGTGTAGCTTAATCTAACTAGAGACACCTTTAGGTGGTGATAGATTATAAAAAAAAGTTCTAAGGATTGTAGGTGTTTGGAACGTTTTACGGATCGAGCGATATAGCGATCAGTCCAGTATAGTACTCCCCAAATGAAAGTGGTTTGATCCAAACTAGGTGTGCTGGGGGTACCTGGCGAAAGTTCATACATATTATGTTACTGACGCCTTACTTAACCAAGGAGACTCTAATGTCCTTGCACTGACCTTCACAACGAATTAATCTCCAAGCAGATATAAGGATGCAACTCGGTGCACTTCTTGAAAGATATACCAAACAAATGCTGCAAAAAACACATGCAATGGCTTAAAGAGTACTACTTAAACTACTGGCTGCTTTTAGTTTAGGGCAGACATTTAGGAATCTTCATTCAGACTCATCAAAAACAAAAACTTTCACACATGGAGGTAACAAGTCATGTCCAGATGTGTTTTACACCAATTTATTCAATGTGTGACCATGTAAATATATTCACTGTACAGTTTTGTTTTTCACTTGCATGGCTGATGTTATGAGTTTGTGATGCAGGGAGAGGCACGTTCTAGTTAGCCCTGTGAGTAGAGCTGTGTACTGGTACAGTACCAGTGCTGTACCTAAATAATTTCACACTAATTATATGCTTATTTTGTGTAAGAATTCTCCATAAACAAAAACTTACACTTAACTGTCAAGTTTATTCCTTTTTCTGTTATTACGGAAGGAGTTCAGAAAAACATGTTAATTTGTTGAATTGTTCAGGTACAGGTTCAGATCTAGACCTGGACCTAAACCCGTGTGCCTGTACATGTACCTGTACCAAAGATTTGTTTAGGTAAAAAGCTCTAACTGTGAGGGTTTAAGTGTTTGGGCCCAGTGTTCCAACGATGGCTTCATACCTCCAGCATCTGTTCTTCATTCACTATGACTTCATTGCTGTATTTGGCTGTTGAAAAAAACAACAACAGAAGGTTATCCTTCTTAGTCTGACAACACAGCTTTGCTACACCCCACATGTAGTGAGGTGATGCACTAAGCTTTTCTTATAAAAAAAATATATAACTGGTAGTGAAATACAGCTTACTTTAACATACCACCACTTGTGCTTTTAATCAAGTCAAATACAAAGCCTAAACATAAGATTAAAGGTTTAATGCCCCCCTACCCAGGAGGACAACTCTATCCTTACCTTTACTGGGGATGTTTTGAGAACTGCCCACTAGACTGTCCTTCAGCTCACACTGGTCCCCGATGTGTGCGTTATCACACACCACACAACCTTGTAGGATGGACCTGTGGTATGATGAATAGTTACAATAGTTATTGTACTAGAGACAGACACAGGTACGGAGAAACGAGGTTAAAAAATTTAAAGCTCCTTGGTAAAAACAAAACATGCCATTCTTCAGTACAGAACTATGATTCAAAACTTTGTGACTGTGATAATCAAATTAACTACACCAGTGGCCAATTATGACATACAGTATTATAACAGCAATTCCCATGTTGTAAATAATGTAACACTATACCTTTCAGTCAAAACTGTCTATGTCAAAAGATTAGTGTGGTATATACATTGAAAGATTGAAAGCAAGCAAACAAGAGATTTTCACTTGAAGCGTAATGCTTGAAGGAATTGGTAATATTGAAAGAATTCACAATTCTGCTCCAGTGTACCAGGAATAATCAGGCTTACCCGTCTTTGATGGTGACATGGTTCATGATGACAGAGTTGGTGATCTTGACGCGGTCCCCGATGGTACAGTGTTTCCCTATGATGGACTTCTTCAGGGTCACCTTGTCCCCCAAACTCGCCCCCTCCCCCACCATACAGTCTGGTCCGATCTGGCCAAACAGAACAGTTAGATCTTGTTTGAATCTCATCAAATTTTAGATTGGGATTTGAACCAGGGACATGGGTGCTAGTTTTCACATTACAAACCAGCACTCTAACCAATTGAGTGATTTTTCCTCACATAGTGTTGGTCTCCTTAACTTGGTTCAAATCCTGAATAGCATGCATTTCATCATATTATTTCTAATTCATTTGGTTAGAGTGCCAATTTAAGTTTAGAAAAAAATGACACTTAATACATTTATATGGTGCTGATGTTCTCAGTTTGAATCTATTGTTATATTATTTAATGCTTAAGCAATCTGTAGAATTCACTGCAATTGTACACAATCTCTCCCCTATTTCCAGTAAAACAATCTGTCATCAATTCACATCTTCCTATACATGTAGAAGGCCTACTTCAGGGAGTTATAAATTCTGTCAAGAAATTTTCCATGCAAAAAAGCTTCATGTACCCAGTGAGGTCTCACTGCCATACCTGATATTTCCCCTTGGTTGTGATGGATGGATGTACCAGTAGTTCATCTCCCCCTGCCAACTCATGCAGGACCTGCAGGTACAAGTATCACATATCAGGTGCATTTAGAAAGTGGGGGCCTTACTGAGCAAGAAGCAACTGCATTCCTATAAACTGTAAAACCTTCTATGAATGTCCACATACTTTTGAATCATTGTTATAGGTTTTTTTCTGTAAGCGACATCCTTTTGACCCTTACCATAGACAAAGGGTTATTTGTGACAAAACTGTTAACAATTGACTATCAAGTTACTATAAATCTACAATTTTTTTGCAGGGGTTTTATTTTTATAGCGACCTGTAGACAGTGAAATCACAACACCAATATGCGTTTCTATTCAAAGTAGTAACTTACTGTGAAAATGTACTCACACCTCCTACTGGATACTGCAAAATTGAGTGCCTGCATGCAAAAATAACTGAATATACGGTACTTCAGAACAGACCTGTCTGTTAGCCTCCACATAGCTGGGTAGTGTGTTAGCACGGACACACATGCCCTCGGTGACGATGTGGGTGTAACAGGTGATGGTGCTGTCCCGTGTGCTGTCCCCCTGCTGTCCAGCGCCTGACGACAAACTTCTGGTCAGCGCGGCCATCTCATCATCTTCATCAAAACTGTGGATGTCTGCTGAAACACACAGTGTTAACACTAACCTCAGCACGCGCTATTGTTGTCAGTTATACATTAGGCCACATGTGATGGACCTAAACACTACCTCAAAAGCCACTAAGTTAACGTACCAGGTTGGTTACAATGTACAATGTACAAATATTTTGTAACTTTTAATTCAATGATAAATGGAAAAATCTGGTGACCTACATGACCTAAAGACAAGACTTTCCTTCAACTGTTGGTGTCCTGAGTGATGTTAAACCTCCAGACAAATTACACTTGTGTGATGCAAACAAACAAGCAAGAAAAGCTGAAGTACTCCACCTAAGTTGTCGTCTTTAGTGGAGGGTGGTGACACCATGGACAGATCTGCCCTGCTGACATCAGCAGGTTTCTTCCGTTGGGAAAACTGTTTCCTCACCAAAAGGGGCACAAGTTCTCCCTTTATAGTAGATACTGATCTATACGGAGTACAAAATGTAAAAAAATATACATTAGACATTGGAATGAAAGTTCATCTGTGTTGGTAGAATTCATAGTTATAGAGTTCGCTTTGTTCCAACACAAGAAGGAAACTCAACGTAAATTTTTCCTCAATCTCAACAACATTCGTCAAATGTGTGATGCACTCATTGACTGTCCGGAAGTCAGAAATGTGATGATGTCAGGAGTGCATCAAAAGTGGCGGGAAGTTTACATCAGGGCCCATCAACCCTGTCTGAACCATGACGGTGGGAGATTCCGTCTTCCCACCACTTTTGATGCGCTCCCGCCGTCATCACATTTCTGACTTCCAGAGAGTCAGCGAGTGCATCATACATCTGACGAAGGTTGATTACATGAAACAAAAATTTATGGTGAGTTTCCTTCTTGTGTTGAAACAAAGCTTGAACTCTTTTAACTACATCAGACATTGTAATGTCAAAGCACTGAATGATATTAAACAACATATCATGATAAAGTTGACAACATTACTTCCCAGGCTGATACAATGGTCTCATTGAATCAAAGTCATATAAACAACACTGGAGTACCCACCTGTTCTGTTGCAGGTAGTCCACAACCCATTTCTTCATCAGGAACAGATGTGCATCTTGTAGTTTTGTCTTGATCCTTACATATGGGTGTCTGCAAAAGGTAAAATGGTACTGATTCATTTCAGTAATCTGTGTACAAATACAATCCTTTTACATAGATTAGAGTACTACACCAGTTTGTGACATTATCTCTTTTGGCAGTTTCTTTGTAAGGTGCAATACCTTTGTGTTCTGCTAGCATAGTACTAACAAGAAATTTATAATTATTGAAACAAGAATTTTCTTTAAGTTAACTTTATACATGTGTTCATTAGATCCTCAGCGTTATAACACTTGATTGTTTTTGTGAAGTTATTCTTAAAAGATCCTTTTATGATTAGATATTCAGAAACTAGTATTTCTTTCAGTTGCTCTGATGTTGAAACATAAATAATGAATTCTTGTTGTACATCTCTGAAGAACAGAATAAAGACCTTTTGAGGACAGATCGTCTGACGGTCAGGGCATCGTCCAGATCAGCTTCTGACGCCATCATCACCACTCTGCGCCCGTCCCCGTCCAGTCCGATAAAATCACGCTGTTCTGAGGATGGCAAATATACATACATCATCATATGGTCCTATAACAGGTAACTGATGTGCCAAATAATGCATATTGTGAGACAAAGTGAAATTGATCATTTATTGTGTATATGTATGAAATAGTCCTGAATATTTAGAAGTAAACCACAATAATCAAAGGCTTCTTTTATTTGGTTGCATATACTGTACATTGCATCTACTTTTCAATCTACTTTTGTTCTTTTGTGCATATTTATAAGTGTTTTCTTTTTGTTACAAGAATCTTTCCTGTTTGAAATATTTTACCAAGAAACAGGGGTGCCCAAAAATTCATACAAATTTAATGCATACGGAATTCATACAAATTACACGAGATACATATGATCCATTACCAGAAAGATACGAATTTTAGGGAGTACAAATGTACTTACAATCCATTACTCGGAAACATACGATCCTTACTAATTTTGTTACCTGTGCCTGGTTCACAAAATTTGTATGTTTCCAAGTGTAATGAATTCTATGTATTCTGTAAAGCTCTCATGAATTCCGTAAAATTTGTATGAATTCTTTGGCACCTGTACAAAAAGTAATGTATGGTGGTATGTCAGACTTACCATTTCCCACTTTTTTAGATTTGAGTATCGCTGCAGAGTCTGTAGTTTGTGGCAGGTCGGCCAGTAACATGGTGAGGGTGGAGCCGTGCATACGGTGGATATCAGCCAGCTGGTGCAGGGGGACATTACACACCAGGTCACAACTCACCACCAGGAGATCTGTCTGTAGTAAAGAACACAAATTAACAGCTCCACCTGTATGTAACAGAAGGAATTGCAGGGGGATATCAGCCAGCTGGTGCAGGGGGACATTACACACCAGGTCACAACTCACCACCAGGAGATCTGTCTGTAGAAAAGAACACAGATTAACAGCTCCATCTGTATGTCACAGAAGGTACTGCAGGGGGATATCAGCCAGCTGGTGCAGGGGGACGTTACACACCAGGTCACAACTCACCACCAGGAGATCTGTCTCCAATGTCCTTGGTCTGCAGTAAAGAACACAGATTAAGAGCTCCACCTGTGTGTCACAGAAGGTACTGCAGGATTCTAAATCAAACACGTATGTAGAACTTTGGCAGAACATATTGTACATGCATGAAATCTGTAATGTATTGTGCATAGCACTTTTGCAGAATGTCTCATGTAAAGTCTTATTTGGTATAAGGTGAACACTCTATCTGTAAAAAATAATATCGTCTGCAACAGGTGAAATTCTGATGCAAAGTTGACCAAAAATCCAAGGAAAACCGAGGTTTGCGCAGGCGCAGTACGTTCAGTGAAATATTTTGTGATATTTTGTGGATCACTAAGGAACTTGTAATTTTATTTTATCCAGATGTCTAACCTTCCTCAGCCTTACCTGTATCTTGTCCTTGATGTGTCGTAGGGAGTCTGCCGTGCCCCAGTCCTTGTCATCAGGGATCCCCACGATGTCCAGACTCACCTTCACGTCACACATGGCGGCAAGCGCCTGGCGAATGTCGTGACTCGTCGACTCTAACGCAATGATGATCACCTCTGTCAATACACAACATCAACCTTTAGAAAACTCTTGTACAAACTGGCATAGTTTCTGGCGCATTACTCCATAGAAATCTTTGTTAGTATTGTTTGTGATACTGTATATTCATTTATTTTCAGGGGACTAATTTTGCAGGGGGAGGAGGTTTTCGCAGTGTTTCAACTTCATTGTTGAAATATCTGTGTCAACATCACAGGAAGGAACTGTGTTGTCAGTACAGAGTTCACATAATGCGTCTTTTAAATGAGTAAACAACTAGTAATAAAAAGTGTATCAACATGTTGAATTTTATTTCCTCAATGATTTCTTTATAATATGCTAGATGTTCATTTTAGGATTAAAATCTAGCCAAAATTTCTGGTATTACTGTGTTGATGGGATAAATGCTTTTAATGGCATTATGTTACTTTTAGATACAATATATTATACATTGCATATAGCAAGGAACCTGCAATGTGGCCAGTAGGTTCTGTGCCATGGCCAGTCACCTTGAAAGCCTGCGGGCCCCAGCATGTATATTAAGTACTGTTAAGGTACTGCATAAGTACTGTAACTACTAATAGGTACTGCATATTAAATACTGTAGGTATAGGTACTATATATAAGTACAGTAAGTTCTAATCTGTACATTAAGTACTGGTATAACAACCCTCCAGACTAAATTTTTAGCTTAGGAGCGCATGCGCTCCTAGCCTCAAAAAGTTAGGCGCGCAGGCAAACATTTGGGCGCGCAAACAAAAAATCTGGTCGCGCAAAGTACTTTTTAATTTACAAGCCAAGAGAATGATGTACCTAAACAGACAATTAATTATATAATTCTTTCATTATCATAGAAACAAAATCAAAATTCACCATTTGTACTAAAAGAATTGTGATAAATGAAAGACCAAACAATGATTTTACAAGTAACTGTCTTTAATGTGTTCAAAGTCACTTCATCTCAGTCGTTAGGCCAGGCTGACTGATATGTCGGTCTCCTAGGCCTCTGGAGGGTTGGACATGTTTTCTAAAATCCACTTGCCCTCATGGTCATTTTCACTTGCCCGAACCAACTTTTTACTTGCCCGAAATATAAATGACATATTTCTATGCATTTATCATTGCAACAATGAAATCCTTTATTTAAAACAAAACACTTAAATGTTTTAGGCAATAATACACTGAGTCATTCATGATCTAACGGTTAATAATATTAACATTGCTACTCAAACCATTTTGTTAACGTTAAAGGTACAGATCTTCTGCAACAATGAAGACAATGTTCTTTATTTCTCAACTTTTCAGATACATGTAGCACTACATGTCTGAAGTAGTTTCATTGACTGAAAAATAATTCGTAAAAAAATCAAATACAATAAAAAAGCTCATAGCTATCATGGAAAAAAGGACAGAGTAGAAAACATAAAAGGGGAAGAATGAATAAAAATAGGCTTCATTTGGAATTGCCTATAACGTTAATTATTTAATAATATAAGCTACACAAATGTCTAAATACAATTATTTCTTCAACTGTATCAAAACAATCTACAACCTAGTTTCAGTTGACCTTTGAACAAATGAAAAGTCTGCACAACAGAGATCTGCCCATAATATTTGCAAGTTTTCCTTAGAGGAGTTCTAGTAGAAAATCATATCAGTCACGCATTGCCAAACTTCCCAGATCCTGGACGCTCCTGGGCCATGAGGGAGGATCTCTTTTCAAACACAAACTTTGCCAACAATCAAATCTTTGTGGCTGATAAAGATATTTATCTGCTTGGTTTCCCCCAAAATTTAGACCAGAGGGCAGTTCAGAATCCCCTAAACAATTCTGGAAACATCGTGTACCGTCCCGCTAGGTCCGGATCCCGCTCCGCTGCTCAAGTTTTGAAGGCGAGATCTCGTCACCTGACCCCTCTAATGGTATAAGGATATCAAGTCTCGCGAGAGTCGGGCCGCGAGGTCACGGCAGATGAAAACAAGATGGCGCCCCGGTTGTGTCGGACCTGTTTTTTCGTCGAAAAAAAGCTGTTTGCCGCTTTATTTGCCGAGATAATGGTATCTACGGACTTGTAATGAGTTTTCTGACAAATGAACATGATTTTTCCTGGCATTGATATGACATTCTTACGGGGAAAAATAAGAAATTTTTGCCTCTAACAGCGCCATAGCCAATGATTCAGGCGCACAGCAGATTCTCTGCCGGTCGCGCAGTGCGCGACCAGAGTAAACAGTTAAGTCGCATTTCATAATTTTTGGTCGCATATGCGACCAAAATGGTCGCAGTCTGGAGGGTTGTATAAGTACTGTAGGTACTGCATATCAAGTATTCTGTGCCAGACCTTGAAACCCTGCCGTCTCCAGCATGTTGACCGGGTACCAGATCATGGGTCTGTTGTAGTGCTGCCATTACTACAGCCTGGTACTCCATCTTACCTTAGACTGAAACAGTAACAAACATTAGGTACTAGTACTAGTGTAGTGTGTATGTAGAGGTTTGGGTATGCTGGCAGTCAGGTCAGTCATACGGGAACCCCGGCCTGCCGCCATCACTACAGCCTGGTACTCCATCTTACCTTACTAGTAGTATTACAAATGTTAGGTACTACATGTACTATGTAGAGGTTTGGGTATACTGGCTTACAGGAGCAAAAATATTATGATCATGTCTTTTTGATGAAATTTACCCTCAGTATTCCAATTTGCACAGGCTTAAGAAATAAATTTGCGAGTGTCTAGCACGTGTAAGATAACGACAGGTATGCCACTTTGGGTAAAAGACAGACGCCCCCCTCCCCCTTACGAGCACGTTGCGCTCCCATAAAAAAAAAAAATTATGCTTTTGACACACCCCATACAGGGCAGAATGTCACACACCAAGGTATACCTACCAGAGCTCAGTGTAGACGCCGGTAAATACGTGTAGGAATCAAATTTGAGCGGTGACGTCGTCAACAGCTGTCATAAACGTACTGTTTAGCAAAAATATCTGACTTCGGCAGCCATTTTGGATTTGGAACGAACCATTTGGATCCTGAAGGGGGTTGAACGATTGTCCTTTCACGATCACGACCTTTCTTGGTGTTTCCGGACCGAAGTTACTTTATGACCTCAAGTTCCTGCAAAATTGGGTGAAGTCTGCTATCTCTGATTGTTTCCTGTGTAGACCAATCAAACAATCAATCAAACATTGACAAGGTGTCTTATATGTGAAAACTTCGATAAATAATAAAAGAAGATTTTGTTGCAAGGTACATGTTTTTTCTGGGCTTGTGCTTGACAGTCGGAATTTAGACAATCAAACTTTTTTTGTAGAGCTCATTATAAATAGTCTTTTGATGTTATCGACGTTGACAACTTACCATATTACGTAACAGAAGCATCAGGCGTTACCCCTTTAGGATGCAGAACAATAGAACTTTTTCACGGTAGAGCGTATTATAAAAAAAAGTCGACGTCATTTGATGTTATCGACGTTAACGACTTACCATGATAACAGAAGCCTCAGGCGTTACCCCTCAGGATGCATTGCGTTTGCACCTGTTTTTTCACGCGGTTTTCCTCCACCCATGCCGGGCGGGTGGGAGTTTTGATACTGCGTTTTGTAGAGTTTTTAAGTTAACGCGTTCTTTTGCCGGCCACCCTTCAACCAGCCGCCCAGAGAACCTTTGGCATAAGAACGCGTTAAAAATTATTCTACAAAACGCAGTATCAAAACTCCTACCCGCCCGGAAGCTAGTATACTCCCCAAGTGACCTGTACAATTGGTGTATAAATTCTAAGCAATCGAATTCCTACAAATAACTATCTTTAGCTAAATTTCTGCTAGTATAATGCGGGCTAGGGTCTAGGTTAGGGTCTAGAATGCATTTAATAGGGCAAGGAGTAGGGCTGCGGACCGGTACACTGTACCGGTCCAATACCGTAAAAATCGTTTCAGTACAGGTCCAAAATACCGGATCATGAAGTAACGAGTATATACCGAAATAGCTAGTTTACACCATGTATATGACTAAAGATAGGTAAATCCTACCACAAAGACGAAAAATTAGCACTGGAAAAGACGTAAACACCGTCGATTGATTTGAGATCCTCAGTCTCACGAGACATCGCGAGAGTGTGGCTGATCCAGGGTTGTGATTGGTCAATAAACTCAAATCAGGTCAGAGGTCAGTCATTTTCCCTTCCCTCCAACACTTTATTATTGTTTCTGTGTCATGATTGAAAAAGTGAAGAACACGTGTTAATTTGTCAAATTGTTCAGGTACAGGTACAGGTCCGGACCTGTACCTAAACCTCTGTACCTGAGTACCTGTACCTGTACCTGATGTTACGTTTAGGTACGCAGCCCTAGCAAGGAGGCTCAATTTGATGTTCAAAGTTCCTTGTTTAGGGTTTGGGTTGAGGTTAGGATTAGCATAAGGAATGGGCTCAAGTCTTCTTGCGATAAAAATGTTCTGAAATGAAACGACACGTCTGGGCGTCAAATAGCAAGTCATATGACACTGGGGACTCAAACGCGGGGAAAGTTGGTGTGTGGGTGTGAATATGAGAAGAGTGACGCCATTAAACCAATATTTGCATAGATATCCGCAGAAAATCATTTACATAACGATTATCGAGAAACCTTTCTGGTTGCTGGTCCACTTTTTCAGAGTTAATTGACAGTGTATGTTTTAGTTCAGGCACAGTGGATCTTTTTCTGTAAGCAGCCCTTATCCTTTTTTCCATGGTTTAAGCGATGCAAGCTCCAGGGTTCGGCGGTACTATGAGAAGGTATGGAAAATTCTCATCTGTTTTAACAAATACTATAGCATCTGACCCGGCTACAAATAATGTAAATTGTTGTTGTTGTTGTTGTTGTTGTTGTTGTCCTTTTTTAACGTCACTAATATCTCGCTAGACGTGGTATCTTGGTGCTGGTTTACACTTGGTTCAGTTCAGAGTCAATTGTCTCACTTGGTGACTGAAATGTAAAGACAGAATTAATAGAAGGGTATCGTTTCCCAGTTCGAGATCTCAACGGTAGGGGGTCTGTGACTCGTAATTATCTGCAACCATGTTACGTACCACCCCGCAGTTCTTTTTTTGTCTCTTTTCCACCACACATTTTATCTATTCTAGATTTTAAGCTTTTTGGTGAGAGTTACGTGTCATTCAATATAAGTCCGACGTTTTGGTTCGCCTGTATTTTCTGATCATTTCTTACACTGGACGTGAAAGCCCCGCAAAGTTTGTCGTAACTTGAAAAGTATAGAACAGCTGTATTGAAAAAGGTGTACAGGTGATATAGCCGAATTAGCTCTCTAAGCTTTACATTAAGATTCCATTAAGAACATAAACATCAAATGTTTATCTTAGTTACCTGCGAGAAAATGTCAAAGCGTATGTTTGACGTGTTTACGCTTTTTCATTAAGAAGGTTAAAATGTAGACTTTTAGCCTCCTAGCCTCCTTCGCATGAGCGCAGACTTCTGAGGCGGCGGCGTTTATTATTAATTTCGGAATGACGCGAGTTATGCCGCGGAGGGACGGTTTTGCTGACGAAAATTTGCACAGGCGATATTATAACCTGGCATCCAGTCTATCGTGGTTGGGGTGGGTTTTCTTCGGGGCTGCTGAAGCTCTTCCCCGCCCGCCTGAGACTAGATTCCCCGGTAGGTTTTCCACGGCGGGAGTTTGATCAGGCCCACCACGATCATGCCTTTCCGAACGGTCGTCGCCGTGTCTCCGATCCCGAACGGTCATCGCTTTTTCAAGCGGCCGTCGCCATTTCCGAGCGACCAAACTTCAATATGAGTTGTTTATTGCAAATTCATGCCCGAGGGCTAATTGCAAACAGACATTGACAAGAAAAATGAGGTTTCAATTCTGAATATCCGCGGCATGTTCGTGACTTCCCGGGGTTCTTGGAAATCTGGAGCGCCTTTCACATGTTTGTTCTTCCAGATTCCAGTAGCACGGGGGCGGGGGTTTGGGAAATGACCTACTATTTCCCGTCATGACGGAAGAGAAAATTAATTATCCCCTTCGTAAGTTCAGGCGATGCCCACGTAGACCAGTAGTCCATGACCAAACAATGTAAAGGCATGTTAGCACGCACGTACACACCCTATTGTATATGTATGACTCATGTCTAGTGACGAAGGTCCGAACTTCAAGTGCACTGTGAACTGTTAGTTCTATGTCGGGCTGGCTTTTGTCATAGAAGGGCAACCCACCGCCTCTACGGCATCAAAAACTCAGAAAAAGCTATGTGGCTTAACTTTACGTTTAGGTGAAGTGATTGTGGTGTTTTACGTATACTTTTGCGGTTGGAACAGCACATAGCAGTTAACAGAGTACGCGCGTTTGCTACGCAGTGAACTTTATTGACACAACAGAAGTACAACGACTTCCGTAAGGTCTTTAATACATGTAGGGATACAGACAGATACGTGGGTACAACAAACTTAACCTACGTATAAAACAATAGATGGATCAACTTGTTCTAAGGTCTAAACATTCTTCGATATATTTACCTATTTGTACACAGTAAGAGTTATTACCTTCTAGAATGAAATTGAATTTATCTATAGCATAAAATGTAACACATTCCGTTGAGCAAGCAGAGAGAAGGTTGAACAGCTTTATGCAAACATAAAACCACCACATATTTTTTTACGATCTACAGTATACATGATGTAGTATACCCAACTAGCTGTGGTAAGGTCCTGGCGTAATTTCATGCATAATTATGAGTCAGTTTTAACGAGAGGTGCGGTACTCTCCAAAGGCCACGGTGGGTAGTGACGTGTGTTAAGTTATGCGGTGACGTACTAAGGGTGAGGGCTATATTCGCCACAAAGCGCTTCCTCGGACTTAAAATAACTCCAGACTGAAATTAGTTGTGGACAAGAAGACACCGTGTGCCCACTTTTGTAGCGCCACAGGACTCGTTTTTACAGGTATTTGGTTTTGTTTTATTTTATACCAATCGCTAACGTTAGAAATAATAGTACTAGGAAAGATCGCACAGCCGTGTTCTAAGTATGTTAGGTTTTAGGTATGGTTCAAACAGGCGGAAAATCAAAACTTCAGGCTAAAAAGCTATAGCAACCGGAGCAACTGTAACGGTTCTCTCCTGGTGAGGAAATAAGAACACACACATAGTTAAAACCACATACAGACACATACATAAATAAACCATACACAGACATACACAGAAACACAGACAGACTCACGTATTCACACACAAACATGTACACGCTCACTGGCACACACCCACAAAACACGTTCACACAAACACACGCAAACACACACACAAACGCACACACAAAAACACACACACGCACACGCTCAAACACACCCCCTCACACACAAGCGCGCAAACACACACACAAACGCACACACACAAACACACACGCTAATACACACACACACACACACACACACACACACACACACACACACACACACACACACACACACACACACACACACACCTACACACACCTACACACACACACACACGTCCACTCCTTATACTAGTACATATGAAACAGCTGCAATTCCACTTTGTGTAACACCTCATACATTCCAGCACGGGTACAGGTAGCCTAAGGCGCGCGCACTAGCTAATTATATGTTAGATATCCTGACAGATAGCCATACTGATGAGCAGGCCTTGAGGGTAAGAACCGGCAGCTTACTTCCTTTGTGTCTATGGGAATGTGTCCTTGGTGGAATTGTTTATATAGAGTTTAGTACTCGCCTGGTTGGAGAAACACGAAGGCGATCTGTACTCATGTAATGTTACCTTATTGATAGGTTGTCAACTTTAATCTCCAAGCAGATGTTGGGAGGATAAACCGTAACGTCTCAACAGTAGATATGCCCCTTTCTGTGTCAAAATCCTCAGAAAATGGCAGCTAGGAAAACATTAGCTCCCCTCAACATCTACTTGGAGATTAGGTCGACTTAAAGTGACCTCCATGCTAAACATAAACATCATAAAGGTAAACAATCCGTAATGGTATGCATACGTAAGAGCTTAAATTAGACTCCATAAAAACAGAAACATCATAAATATTCAGAGTAAATGTTCGTCATTGTTGGCACAATGCATATACTTACAGTCTTTACGTACGTATACCTTTGAATTATTGTTATTGTTATTTTCCTTCTTTTAGCCATCTTGTATTTATGTTGAGCGCGTGGGATGTTTACATGACGTAATTCAAAACATGTAACAGAAATAATAACCAAAAATAGCGCAGGTAGGGCATAATTAAGGTAAGGCAGGTAAGGCAAAAAATACGCAGCTTATCTTAACAACACCTTTGTCAGTATTGTCCTCGGTAAACGGGCAATTGAGATGCCGAAGCATTGATATCGGTAGGATCCATGCTACAGACTACACAATGACATTCCCGTTAAGGCCTAAGAAAAAATGTTGTGTTTCCTGTTTCAGTCCTGAAAAAAGAAATTAGGGTTGGTAGGTAGGGATTATCTTTTTTTTTCTTAATTTTTTACTGGTCAATTTCTAGTGATCTAACTTTTATACGGGTTATATTATACGGGTTAGGAAAGTAAAACTTGGATTATAATACTTATATTTTCAATGTCAATTTTGGAAAACAAATTGTTTAACATTTCATCACTCTGATGTCAGATCATGGAGTTAGAAAAGGTCGATCAGCTCGGAAAAATGTATGTCCCTTGCAGATGTCCACACAAAAAAAGGCGAGGGTCGGCCGTTTTTTTTTCTAGGGTTGTTTCTTCGGAAACAGGAAACACAACATTTTTCCCTAAGCCTCACTGCTTGTCACCAACAGTCCCAAACACGCACTGTCGCCAGGTGATCTGTCCACCCCGCCCTGTTAAAACGTCATCCCCACTTTGTTCGCCGACAAATATTTCACACGGCGTTATTCATCCGGTGTGACATCGGGCGCGTCGTCATCTATAATTCAGTAGTACAGTATAACTCCCGCCCAAACAAAACAAAGGAGGACTGCTGGCCACTTTTTAAGTAACGGTTCAGACTTGTCACAACGTCTTCACGTCATATGGCTGTGTACAAGTGAGTTATAAGGGCATGTTTCATTTCATTTGGCTTCTTTTTCTATAGCTTGAATATACGAGTGCGTCCATGTTGTAAATTATGCAGCCCCTAATTCAAGTACATTGTGTTCCTTTGTTGGACTGCAAATGTTACGTAAATGTTTTTATTCTATTGATTTGTAAGAAATTCTACTAAGGCCACACAGATTACATTTTATGGATGACATCCACGCGAGCATTGATTGCAAAAGTTTTGCCTGTTCTGAAAAATAAAAACACCTCCTCCGAGGCTCTGGCCTGGGTGCCATCCTCCGTAGTCCATGGTAGCTAGCAGCGACAGTAGGGAGCTGGTGGTAACTATAAGGGATGGCCCCACGGAAGTCCAGAACTTGAAGTACAGACTACAGACTATAGTACCAACTCAAAAATGCCAAAAAGGCCAGCATGTGCCAACCTGTTGTAAAAGTCGCTATGTACTACCGCAAATTTATAATACCAGCTTTGTATCCGTTGGTTTAGCAGCATTTTTTGGCTGGATTTTTTTTATTCACCCGCGAGCACTAGTTTGTGGGTCTTCAGAGGATGGCATCCATAAAATCAATTCAGTGTGGCCTGAAAGAAGAAGAAAATACTCCTTCGCCTTTCATAGTGCCCGACAGAAAAATATTCATGGATGGTCTTTGTTTCGCTGTATTGTTCTATACACTATAGCTATGCCCATATTCCTGTCAGAACGCGTCAGAGGCAATAAAAAGAACGATGTCATATAATACAAGAACAATGCACCTTCCTGGTTACATATCGTTAAACAGACGAGTGAATCGCGTGTATAGAAATCGCGTAGGATAGAAACAATCGCCGTTACTATCAACAAATATCACCACTCACCACAGAGATCTGTGTGAATACCAGTTCAAACAAGTGTTTTGAAGAGATACAGCAAATTCATTTTTATCCTCTGGAATTGCACCAAGTTCAAGTATCATCTTTTGAACCAAGAATTGTGTATTATTGGTTAATTCTCACATTTCAGGTGAGTTTGTATTTTGCTGGTTAAGGTTGAACGGTTAAAGGCGTTTATAGATTTACTTGGACTTTTCCTAAATTCAAAATGTATGCTATACTTACAATTTGTAATCCGGAGAAATGTCTATATATGATTATGCAAGGGATAATGTGTCGTAAACACCGCGACGACCTTCGTCTTTTGTTAGTAATACTGATTTTACGACTAGATTTTATCATGCATGTATTTTACTGCAATGTGAAGTTGTAACGGCATTACAATATTGTAATGTTTTCACTCTACATTACACAAAAATGTTACTAAAATGTGTTGTATATACTAGTAATGTACTAGTGCAATATATAGTTATTAGTGGTTATCAGGTTGGTAATAGTTTAAAACATCCGTCCGTTTAATAGCGAACTAAAGAATATTAGTGGGTCAACCTTGACCTTACATTCGCAGCAAGGCAGGTATTTCCTGTGTAAGTTTTGTGCACAACCTAAAAGGTCAATACTGATCTGCCAGGTTACTCGGTGTAGCTGTACATGTGGCATTCAAAGCTTGCATTTTTTACCCTTAGCTTCCCTCTTAATATCGCCAATGGAAACTAGTCTAGCCTGTTCTGTTCTGATCTATTGTTTTGTCTTTTACTTTGATGCTGTGATGCATTTCAATCCTTTTATATGTCATGTTCACAGAATCAAAGTCATTTGTACAATGATTGAAAACTTATTTTTCAGTGACATGTGGCTGTTGTAATAGTTAGCAGTAAACGTAGCATAATATAGATATCATTTCTTGTTTAACAAGGCTTATGATGTCAAAAGTTGAAAATGTTCCCCGTGATGACATCGCCGATGTCCACGTTTAAGGTTGGTTCAAGGAACCTTTTTTGCCCGCCTTGTTTTTTTTTCGCCCTACCGCATTAGATTTGGAGTCTGTGGAGGATGTCATCCATCGAATTTACTTGTTGTGGACTGAGTATGAAAAATGCCGTTGAACAACAATGTTGTGTCCCCATGTTTTGTTGCGAGGCTTGCATGCGACCTTTGCGTGTCTAAGAGTGATTGTTACTATTTTTCAAACGAACAAAGAATTAAGCTTCATCTGCGCCGACAATTATTCCAAAGAAACTGTGCTTATTATCTGTTGAGACATAAACATGCAGGTGTTTCTTGGCCAGGTTGTGAATCTGCGTACATGAATCCACTTGAAACACATCTGGACGGGATCACATCACTTAAGTTACACGGCACCCAACTAACTAATTTTTTGGAGACGCCCCAGGGACGGAGGCATATTTTTCACAGTACGGTGATCGCTCTGACCATATTTTTTGTACTAATGCATTCCATAGGGAACTTTTTCTGAGGTGTATGGTGATTGATACATGGTTGCTGACAAGATGATTAACACCACATTCCTGACCCCAGACTAGTTTTGGTGTCAAGTGTCTTTTATTAAACTGATTTTGACGATTTCATGTGGTTTAGAACAAAATGGGGAATGTGACATGAATTTGTCCGGAATTGATTCCAGACATTTATTTTTTTTTACTTTGAACCAAACATTTTTACAAGTCCTGAACCGGTCCAACAAACCAGCACACAGCGCTAATGTCATATACATATACCTCCTACAGAAACAAGGCTTACGCGGTCTCCCCTCCGTGGGCCACCAGCACTGATTTCGAGATGAACAAGTTCAAGCGCCCCCTGGCGAATAGCTTGGACCGACAGGAACAGGCTACACCAGACCTGATGAAATATGTGAACGACAACGTCATTGGCAGGGATAAGATCATCATCGGGCCTTACGGACCCAGAGAAGGTGGGTTGGAACGTTTGGAAAGGTAGCTTGTAGCTCATATAACTCTCGCTAGATATTGAAAATCATATTCTTCGTGATACTTTGATATTAAAGTCGATATTTAAGTCGATATTAACAGGTTTCTCTTTGCTTCACAGTGACATACTGTGACTACGTGGCTTCAGGAAGGTAAGTCACCATCACATCACTTATTAATTACTAGTAATATTCATGGTCGGCATCATAATGATAGCATAAATGCCTCCGCTACTGTGGCGTTGCCAAAAAGCATGACATATCAAGGATATATCCTGTCTATAATGCTTTAGAATCATCACACCCAAAAGCTACGTGTACCTGTAGTATAGATATGTCGATTTCTTCCTCTTGAATGTAAGTTCTATCATCGGCCATGTGTTCATGTTGCTAACAGTCTGTGTCGTTTGAAAAAAAAACATAGATCACTGAAGTTTATCGAAGACTACATTCGTGAGGAGGTTCTGCCGCTGTACGGGAACACACACACCTCCACCAGCGCTGTGTCACTTCAGACGTCTGCCTTCAGGGAACAGGCTCGGTGAGTTAGGCAATGTGTACCGGCGTGGTCGTATTCGTTATTACCTTTGTACGGCTTTGGTGCTGAAGAATTTTCTAGCAGGTTGTGACAGAACCAACTACCAAGAAGATCTAAGCAAGGACATTATAATGCCCTTTTCCGTCACAAGAAGTTTGTACCATAATCCAAGCCTTCCGTTTAATATTTGACAGGCTCGTCCGACTGGCTACAACTCGTTCATTTTAGGTTTAGTAAAATAACGTGTTGGGATAGAATGATACCACATCAAAGTAAACTGGTTTATGTGACGTGGAAATGTCTTTACAGGAAAATTATCCACAATGCCGTGCACGCTGGACCGGATGACGTGGTCATCTTCTCCGGAAATGGCTGTACAGGTGCGCTGACCACACTGATCGACGCCATGACGTTCACCAAACCACCGGTAAGGAATTATGCACATTTTTTATGTACAATCTAACCCTTGTCCTGCTGGCATTTTTACACACTATTTTCAAATAATCAAGTCATAGACCCTTGACTTTTTTGCCGGTTGCGTAGTCACTTCCGCATTTGTTGCGTTTTGCCGCGGTGTGATGCATTGAACGAGAAATACCCCCAAATCGTACATATATATTACTATACTAGTAAACTGTATGTGCAACACGTATATATACAGTGGCTCCACAGGACTACCACTGAGTAAGCTATTCTACTATGTGACATTGTAACAAGTACAACTATTTTCTTGAATCCTTCAGGTGATTTTCGTGGGTCCTTTTGAACACCACTCCAACCTGCTGCCCTGGCGTGAGCTGATGCCTAAGGTCAGTCTTAAATACAGCTGAAGTGTATTAATCTCGATTCAACATGATCTTCTTTTCATGCTGTTCAATATCATCGTCTTCATTTCATGTTGTTCATCATGATCTTGTTCCTTTCTCCCACGCTGCTTTAAATTTCCTTCTGGTATCAGGTGGAGGTGAGTGTCGGTATTGAGATTTCTACTTTACTAACACAGGAATACTAGGCTGTATCTACATTCTGACAGTATATTCCGTTTCTTGCTACATGTACGTATATATAATTAGTCTAATTTTTAACATTTCTTTCTTTTTCCTCCACACAGGTCGTCAGGATCGAAGAAAGCTCCAAGGGTACGTTAGATCTTAAGCAGCTGGACAACCAACTAAAGGTGAGCAGGACGTGGATTATTCAACAATGTACTGTGAACAATGACTTTCAGTTATTTGACTTTAACCGTTATTAATTCTTGAAACAGCAACAAATCTTTTTTTTTAATTGTTTCGAAATTGCAGACGTGGCAGGGTCGCGGACACCCCATGATCGGCGCCTTCTCGGCCGGTTCCAACATCACCGGCATCATGACGGACACGTCCCGGGTTTCCACCCTGCTGCATCGGTACGGAGCACTGGCCATCTTTGACTATGCCGCCACGGGTGAGTTTAGTCATATTTGCTCCCTCGTGTCCTCCATGGTGCACATTTCGGTGTCTTGGTTGGCGTAAGTTGTCATGTTTTCTTATATGAAGAAAGAACCACATTTTAGTTGCTGTCAGAAATAGTGCGATGGCCAAACCTAAATGTGATTTTACATGCAGTCTGGTGTGTGTGTGTAATGCCGAAGAGCGGTCATACCTACTGTGCAATACAGGTACAGAAAGTATTACTGTAGCCTATCTAGTGTGCGATATACGTTTGAGTCATGATAACTAATACCATGTACTGTATCTGTTTCACAGCTCCCTATGTTGACATAGACATGAACCCACCAGCAGACAGGTACGTTCAAACGACTTACACATTCCCATAACTTTGCACATTTCTTGTGTTTCTTCTATCTAAAACAACCTCCTCACATACATTATCTAATATTGAGGATATATTAAACATATGCAGGTTAACATCTAGCGGCGAGGAAGAAAACCTGGCGTACAAGGACGCGATCGTCCTGTCCCCGCACAAGTTGGTGGGAGGTCCGGGCACACCGGGCGTACTCATCGCCAAGAAGCATCTCTTCACCAGTACCGTGCCTCAGCCGTGCGGAGGTGGAACAGTTTTCTTTGTGAGTTACGGCATTTTGATGTTATCTTGGAAGTTCATCTGTGTTGGTAGAAGTCATTTTGAAACAAGTTTGAACTGTCATTGCTAACACAAGAAATTGGACTTACCCAAATTTTCGACCGTACAACTTCAGTCTTTGTTAAGGAATGAGCAATCCACCGCTTCCGCGACGTCACGCAGATATAAGTGACTCCGTGAGCAGTGTATCATAGGTTGCAGAAAACCTGTGGCGCCCCCCGTCTCTGGTGAACTAGAAGGTTGCAAAAATCAAACTCCTATTTCTTCTTTTGATTTCGAATCCTTCAAACCGTTCAGATGAAATCACCGGCACTAGTATTAGAGGCGTTTTAAAATAATGTTATCAGTTTTTATATTGAATGAAGACCTTTATTGTACATTTTTGCCCCACTGGGCTAAGCACAGGTCACATTATACATATTCGAATACATATTCATATAAATATACATATAACTATTACATGTACATGTATATATAAATGTCTAATGCATTCTAGTCTTTTCAACTTCTTCTCGCTCCTTAGTAATTGTATAAATGTAAGATGCTGTATGAGTAGTTAGATTTGGTTTATCAAAGGTTAACAGGAATATAAATTTTTCTTTACTTGTTAAGAATCCGAAGTGTGGAAATTTACTTAGAACATGTCCGAAGAGTATGCGTCTATCACTGTCATATAAAGGACAATCTATGGTAAAATGTACTTCGTCCTCTATAATGTCTATAATTTTTTCCAGGTTTCAAAACATAACCAGGTGTATCTGAAGGATGTGGTGGAAAGGTGGGAGGGGGGCACACCGAACATCGTGGGCTGCGTCAGGGCAGGCCTCGCCTTCCAACTCAAGCAGGCCATCGGCGCGAGCAACATCGTCCGGCGGGAGGACGAGCTGGTCAGGTCGGTGTCTTCTCAGTATTTTTTTTATTTTGGTGACGGCACACTCAATTTTTTTTCGAATTATTTTATGCCGCCACCAACGCAGAGAACCATACTAATTTTCACTTAAGTATTAAGTGTTAAGTGCATGACTTTCCCAAAGGGCACAAGATTGGTGGCATGTCAGGACTCGAACCCAGGACCTAACTTCGATTGGAGAAAGTCCGACGGTATTGAGGTCACCTTGTGGCGCCGAATGGCAGCCGCACAGACCCTTGCGACAGTTTCACAAAAATGTGTGTGGTGAAAATATGTTATATGTATCATGTATTCTGTGATTGTAAACCCTGTATCAATTCAGTGCTATAAAAGGATGCATGCGACTGCACAGGTAATGTTTGACCAATAAAACCATTTATTTGACCAATAAAACATTTGTTTCCTTGATACAGGCGAGCCTTCAGCGCGTGGTCCCAGTGTCCGAACCTGATTCTGGTCGGCAGCCACCGGGCCAAGCGGGTCCCCATCTTCTCCTTCCTCATCAGACATGCGCAGTCCGGGCTGCTGCTGCACCACAACTACGTCTGTACCCTGCTCAACGACGTCTTCGGCATCCAGGCCAGGGGAGGCTGCGCATGCGCAGGACCTTACGGACAGGTTGGTACAATCACTACAATGTCATGAATGCTCACATGTTTAAATGTTAAAACTTTTGTTCCAACACAAATTAAAGAATTCGTCGAAAATGGTGAATAGCATAGGGATTTTGCCGATCAAATAATGTATGAATGACCATCTTATTTCAACTTGTAGTGTCATTTGTAGTAGAGTACCTCTGACTGATCGTGTATTCCTCTCCAGGACCTTCTCGGCATCAGTGACGAGATGATGAGAAAGTTTGAATCTTTGCTGCTAGGAAGAAAGTGAGTCATCATCGTTGTCATTATGTCATGTTCATTAATAAATGATCTAGAAACTGAAATCATCGGCAATAGATTGATGTTTCTTGATCTATCTTTTACCTTGTTGACATGTGATAATGTTTTTTTCCTCACCAGACCAGATGTAGATTCCTCCGGCACCAAAGTAGCAGACCCGACATCTCGCGAGATTCTGAAGTAAGTTCCTTCATTATCATCGAAGACATATAGCAAGCAGTCGTCTTGTCAAAACGTCCCAGTAATTATTACCTCATTTTCCTAGTCGCACTGACCTTCGGGAAGTGTGACGTCAAGAGTGTGTCAAAGGTCGCCAGAAGCCGATACCTGCCGCCGTCCTGAAACGTAAATGATGCTGTAGTAACTGTTGCAATAATAACGCAGACATTGAAGATGCCATTAGAGTGTATTCAAGGTGTTATGCCACGGTAAACTGTGACGACTCAGATACTAAACCTTGTTGTGGCCCGCACAGACCCGGTTTTGCCAGGCTGAACCTGGTCTACTTCGCAGACGAACCCTGCATACAGTTTGTTCTCCGAGCCATTGCCATGGTAGCAGAGCACGGATGGAAACTTCTACCGCAGGTAGGAAAATATACCGAGTAGCATATTTGTACTACCTGAAATGTTTCCTATAGAGTAACACTTTTCAGTACATAACATTAGGACGACTTCCCAGCATGATGTTTCCAACACATTGACACTACAATTCAAGCACTTAACAAACATACTGTATTTTCCAGTACACGTTTAAAAGAGAGACGGCGGAATGGAAGCACAGGTCGCACCACAAACAGAGGCCGAGCCGGAGGGGGAAACGACTTGGCCTGGACTCCGTCAGTTACACGTCCGGTCAGATGACGTACACTTCCGTTTCGTCCATCCCAGAGAAGATGCCGCCTGCAAACTACCAGGAGTGTCTTAAGATGGCGGAGGAAGTCTTTGAGTCGGCGGAGGTTAAAGACAAAGAACTGGTGAGTGTAATTTTGGATCTCATCGACTAAGGCTACTATCTCAAACTAAGCATTCTCTGTTGGTTTGCTGTAGTAGCCTTTCTCTAACATCCTGTAATTAAAGCAGATCTTTTGGTTGCTGCAAAGACATAATCAAATTGGCCAGGCTGTATCCATTTAATTTCGCCATCCAAGTTTTGATTCTGTCTTTGCAGCCACCAAAAATCTGCTTGGAGATAAGTCTTTCTACCCAATCAGGGAATGAGATGATGGCGGCACAGTGAGTCTGATGTGCTGGGAAGTCGATATCGTCCCCCATCCAATTCGATAACATAGATATCACGAGCATGACATCACAATAATGATCCCCTTACCCTGCATTTTCATCTCGTGTCACCAGGAGGAGCTTGGCATTGAACTTCACGACAACCCGTTTGAGTTTGACGAGGACGGAGCGAAGTTCCGATGGTTCCTGCTGCCCAGCGAAGCGCGCCGCTACCTGCAGCAGCCGGAACTGCAGCAGGGCCCGCCCAAACCGCTGCCCTTCAAGGTGAAGACCTACGAGGACGGGACGACTCCGAATTCACAGAAGGCGCGTCTTCACAGACGGAACACCGCACAGAGCAGCGACTCAGAAGCGAAACCTGAGAACGGCAGAATTGGTAAGCGTCTTCGAAAGGTGTATATGAAGCTAAGGCCACAGTAATTTTTATGGATGACATCAGCGCGCGCATTAATTTTCCCGATTTGAGAAAAAAATGAAGAAAGTTTGATGCCTTCTGAAAGTGGTCAACATGCCAAAGAAGATAGGAGACAAGACAAGGCATTGTTCTGTCTTTTACTTTAATGCATTGATGCATTTCATTCATTTTATATGTGATGTTCATTGAAGCAAAACCATTTGTACAATGATTGAAAACTTTTATTTGACAAATGGGTGTAGTAACGGTTGGTGGAAAGTACACCACAATATAGGTATCAATTCCTGTCAATGTCAAAATTTGAAAATGTAGGAACCTTGTTTTTTTTGGCCCGCCTTGTTTTTTCGCCCCATCGCATTACATTTTGAGTCTGCGGAGGATGTCATCCATAAAATTTACTTGCTGTGGCCTAAGTGAATGATAGTCACATTTTGCAATATGATATACATCGACTTTTCTGTGATATTATTCCGTAATCTTTAACTAATGACCCTCTCCTCACCCCTAGCACGTCCAAGGGTGGTCCCGACAGGAGGGAGACAGCGGAGAGTCGTCTCCAAACGCGGCGACCCGCAGTCCACAGCCGTCATTCGCGTCAGGCTTCCCAAGGTCAACAACGGCAGCCTCGTGTCCATGCAACAGGAGGAAAAGGCTGAGGCGGTCTGATACCATGTAGTTTTGAACCATGCTGCTAGGGGACGCTTTCACACGGACAGCAATAAAAAAACTGCTAAAACAGCGTCATTCAACAACAGCAGCCTGGTGTCCATGCAGCAGGAGAAGGCTGAGGCGGTCTGATACCATGTAGTTCTGAACCATGCTGCTAGGGGGCGCTTTCACACGGACAGCGTTAAAATAAGCTGCTAAAACTGCTTTACAACATAAAACTGCTCAATGCTGCTGATGTTAATAATTATGTTTTTCTACGTTATGGAGTGGAGGTTTAATGCAATTCTTCATTCTGTTCTTTGTAAAACAATCAAAATGCATTATTTATCTAATACCAGCTATCGTTAACTGTTACAGCAGAATGGTGCATTAAGAAGTAGTTAGCCAAGAGTTAATAACAAGAAGAGGAAAATATATAATGCATAAAGAGTCCAACTAGACAGAACTAGGTGGATTGGAACAATGTATGATATGAAGTTACAGTTAACTAATGACCGTATCTGTCACGGAGAATATAATTGAACCGGAAGTCATCGTGTAACGATACTATGTATATATGTGTACAATAGGACAATATTGGATCTTAAATTAAGTGTAAATAATTATTTCATCATTGTACATCTATATCAACCCAACTCTAACATGATTGTGTGACGTTCGATTTACATAAATAGAAAGTTAAGTAAATCCACACTTCTTTAAGCATTGGCCGTAAAGGCTGCAAGGGCTATTTTTAGATTTAATCATACCTGTTAAAAGGTATGATTAAACTTCGATTTTTTATCTATATTTTCTATTACTTCACTCTGGTAAGAAATGGACACAGTCTCATAAATTAAAGTTATATTTGTAAGAAACTAGACTAGTCATGAGTGATATTGTTTAATAAAAAAATGTTTCTTTTTGTACACTAAGTAACTTTTTTATACAATGTACTAGGTGTATGTTGGTTTGTGCAGTCATAAGACAGAGACGGATCCAGTGCATTTTAGAGCTGTATTCCATAGTGTTAGTAGTTTACAGGAAGTCGTGTGCTCAGCCCCATGTCGGATGGTGAAGACGTTCTTATTACTTGATCTCGCGTACTTCAGGGCACACACACTATTCAATAGTCATGACTAGACTATTACATTCGGTGTGGAGGGGTGTTGGCATCTAGCTTACTTGTACTTCTTGTAACAGTGTACATCTCTCCAAACCAGCCGCTATAATTTCTTCCAAGTCATCGACCAACGTTACCGTAGTGTTGTGGTACATTTTTCGTGAAACATAGTAAGTGTAGTGGCAAAGTGAAGAAGGCAATGATGAGGTCCGTGATTTGGCTCATGTCTACTCGTAAAGAGTGGCGACAGCATTTCGCACATTTGATTGAGAACTGGTCTACGTCCTAATGTGTGCTAACCCTTCACCGCGTAGGTACTGTTCCTGGCAGGTCTTGGGAACACTTCTGTGAGTCATCGCCATCTGGAAACACGACTCGGCGAAGTAGTTCCTGTAAAGGAGAGATTTGACAACAGCCTCGTCTATTTCGAACTTGACATTGAACTGAATGCTGGGTGTGAAAGACTAAGTAAACACACTCTCTACTCACAGTACATCGCTGTTGCTGGTGGAAAGATTACTAGCTGCAGCTTTCAAAACATGGCTTGTTTTATCTTGTAAACATTTTACGTTTTTCTTATTTTTGTCCAACAAAAGTATAGTCACAGTGGTAGAAAACTCAAACTGCTAATATTAGCCTCACCACTGATAAAGAATACAATCAATAACAAAAAAATTAAAACTGCCAATGGGCGTTCCAAAATACAAAGATAACATGTACAAAATGAATCATTCTGTGAAATTGAATAGATCTATGTTAGCAGTTTTTAGCATTTAGTCAATTATATTTTGTGTTGCCAGATACATTTGAGTCATTTTACGATTCTTTGTCATCATTACTGTGGTAACATAACAGGCGTGCTCTAACAACATACCTTGTGTCCAAGCCGAACACGCCGTCTAGGAACCGCCTGAGATGCAGGACGTGACTCACTGGGGAGCTGAAGTCGAACAGGAAGTCTTCTATGACGTGGTGGAGGCTGGTGGGGCGGGGTAGGATCCATCCCGGGGGGCGGTGGAGCATGTCGTCAGCTACAGGATAAAGGAAATTAAAGTTTATCGCCAGTTCCTCCCCGTAGGGTAATTGCAAGTACATGTAACATGAAAATAAAGGATGGACAATGGATAACAATATAGTATGCGGCTACTCTAACTACTAACACTAGATTCTAGCTTATTGGGTTCGACTTTTTTTCAGAAACAGTAGACGACGAATGATCCTACTGAATGATAACATGTACCTGAGGGTAAGTGAGAATAGTAGTACAGTACAGGGTGGAGGAACCCTGCCTTGTGCGCGTCTTTAGGTACTGCCGTTGCAGTTCCGTGTCGTAGTGGGTCCGTACCAGGGCCTGGGACAAACATGTAGTTTAGAACGAGAGGAACATCTGAAGATATAGATTATGTAAATCACGACATAATTTGCATAATCAATGGGAGATTGCTCTAATTTCATAGTGGCAACTGCCGGGAATTTTATACTTTTGGAAGTTAAGTGAAGGTGAACATCAATAAACATACTTAATTTTTTAATGACCTCATATGACCTCATTTGCATAATTTATGAGGAAGTACTAAAGTAGCATTTTTGTTAAGATAAGGCTGTCATTAGATGGAGAATAGTAACTGATATAATCCATGATGGGAATGAAATGAGGATCGTATTTTCATAATCAATGAAAAAAATGTATCATTTCGTCAGTTGGAACGGTTAACATTATTTGGTGAAGGTATGGGATCGTGGAACTCTTGTTTTGTTGATAATTGTCTTTGCATAATGATGATGGATGAGATTAATTCTTTTACCTGAAAAGTTTTTACCGAATTCCATTGCCATGACAATGACCTTGTTGGGAGCAGAATGTCCAGTGACTTTCTCTAGTTGTGGTAGAAGTTGAACAGGAACCTCTTCCAAGTACACAGAGCCAGACGCGCTAAAATGTATGATACACACACCAAAGTCAACATGTTATCATGAAATTTCATCTGTGTCGGTAAAAAAATTACTAGTAATCATAGTAAAATGTTGATCTTTATTCCAACACAAGGAGGATTGCACATTTTGAAGTGATTGGCCATTACTTATCCTGTTGAAGGCGAAAATTTGATCTCTGTGTACCCTTGTGTTGGAATAAAGTTCAACATTTTACTGAAGTCAAAGGTAACGTACTCGTTGATAATGATAATGTCCCCCAGAACGCTGTACATTTGGTACAGTCCAGAGGCTTCGTTCATTCTCTTCAGAAGCGTGTTCATAACTTGGGTAGTAGGCAGCACTGTAGAGGGCCAAGTAATCTGTTAAGATACAACAGAGATAGTACTTGAAAATTTTTCATAGAAACAAACTACAATAGATTTATCCAACGTATAAGAAAATTGATTTGATATTTAATAATTTAACGTAAATTTTTTCCGACGTATAAAAAGACAAGTTTGCAAAGGTACAAACATAAATCACGAAAAGCATTTATTTCATTGTCACCTTGTGATTTCGCCAATCCAGAAGTCGATGGAGAGCACGAGCTGTAAAAGGTAGTAAAAAACACAACACACATTTTGATAGTTTATGTTAGAAAAAACGACGCCATATCGCTTAGAAATGCTTTGGGATTTTTATTATATCTTAATCTATATGGGGGGAGGCAATCATATGTCTCTAACGTTTCTTGAAATACTAAGAAAACTTCCAGAAGAAGAGCAATTAAAGAAGAAAAGAAATTAAAATTTTGTTGTTGATCTTTTTCTGGAAGTTTTTCTTAGTACATGTATTTCCAAAACTTGTCATCTGGTTTTAACTCTAAACGTGTAACTACCAACACAGATGAACTTTCATGATAGTTACTCACTCGTGTATCTGAACCCGTGAATGAATCCACCAGCGGACTTGCGGAAGTCCAGGGAATGAGTGTTGGTGCCGGCAAAAAACAGCCCCTTCACGTTAACGGACTCGTAGTTAGGTTTGATAGCAGGATACTTCTTCTTCTCACCCTTGCCCAGGTTAGGCATGATATTCCTGAAAAAAAAAATTAAAAGTAGTCGACTAGTCATCCAGTCATCGACTAGTCGGGGCAGACTGTACACAGCACTGACTGTTTACTTGTTAGAACACCATTAGATAGAACACCATTTCAATACCAATTCACTTTTTCCCATTTTTTATCACTTTCAGGAGCACCCTAACCCCACTGGCCGCTTCTGTCAAAACCCTGGGCGGGATGCCCCATGTATAGGGTTTGGCCCAGTTCAAAATAGATGTAGATATTTAGCTTTTGCGTAACTTGTTTTCGTCTCTTCGCCTTGTCAGACGTTTTAAAGTAGCAGTGTTGTAGTTTATGTTCAACTCATTGCTGTATAGCTGGTCTAAAATTAAACTTAAACTTCGAAGGCCCAGGATTGCTGAGAACGAAATAGCCTCCATAGCATGCCAAAAACTATAAGATTGCATACAGACAATATACCCGGCCTGGTTGAATTACCCCCGTTTTGGGGGCTGATCAGAGAACAGCCGAAGACCACCAAACCCCCAGTTCTATAAGCCTGCTACGGAGGCTAAGAACGAAAATCGGTTAGCGTTCATATGCAGAATGTCTCTACTCACGTGTCAAAAATGCTGTCGTCAAAATGGAAGCCAAGTGCCCGGATGATGACGTCATACGGCGCCCTGGCTGCGAAGTTATCGTGCAGGCCCCTGTGTTCTGTGTCGTTCAACAGCTTGATGTTGAACTGGTCGCCATGTTTGGTGACCTGCATGTTGTTGATGTCTGTGTACAGGACGCCGTCCAGAGCCTTCAGCTGGTACGTGTCGATCAATCCGTTGTTGACAGCTCTGAAGTATAACATATTTCCTAACATTAATATTGGGCCATGTTGATTTGATTATGTGGATGTCACGAGCGCGTATGAATTTTCGTCCTTTTCAAAAATAAAAAATAAAAAATCGTACAAAGCAGCTTGACCTTGGTCTTCTCAACAGTAACATGCCTACCCAAAATCATAAACATCTGTTTACAGATTTTCGAGTTATCCCGCTAACAAGAAAAAACACACCATGGTCATAAACACAAAAAAGTCCACTGCAGTGACGTAGGGACGAGGCCCATGTTCGAACTTGACCATGTATTGTCTACCCAACCGTGACCTGCCTTCCAAAAATCATGAATCCATGACGTCAAGAGTTATGCCGCATAAATCCACAGTCTCTCCCACCATACCCAAACCGATTTCATAGCCTTCTGACAAGGGCAATAAACAGAAACTCGTACCTGAGGTCTCCTACATAGTGTGTCTCCCACGCAAGCTTCACACGCGAACGTGAGAACAGGTGGATGTAGTTAGTCACGGGCTGGATGTAGTCGGCTGTTTCGAAAGCCGAGTTGCCTAAATAGAGGCAAAGCCATAACTGATTTCATGTTTTAAGGTAAGACTTTTGATCCAACACAAAGAAGTTCTCTCAGCTAGAGCTTTCGACCAGTCACTGGTCTTCCTTCATGATCAGGCTAACATTTTTATGTAATATTGTTTAATTGGGTTATTTATTGACGTTAAATGTGCAAAGTTACTTTAATGACGTTTCTAATGTTATATTATCATCATTATTAGATGACAAATGTTAGTAAGATACCTTTTTTGAAAGTAGTCGTACTCCAGTAGGAGTTACAATGTTTGTATTTTACAATGTATGTAACAGGACTCGAGGAAGAGTAGTGGTTGTATTATATTGTCACTAATTTAAGGTTCCTTAAATAAACAAATAAACCCCAACGTACCTTTCCCCAGAATAAGGACGGTCTTTCCCCTGTACCGGTCCAGGTCTAAGGACATGTTCTCGTAACCGATGACGTGTTCCTTCCCCACAAAGTCTGGTTCATTCGGAACCCAAATCCCCGTCGCCACTACCAGGTACCTGTAAAGCCAAATACAAGTTTAAAACTGGAAAGGTTACATTTGCAAAGCAAATGCAAAATCTTTACCTTCGCACATGATCTGCTCTGTTAATTCATACCCTGACATATTCATATACCGTTATATGGTCAGACAGGAGTCTAAATATCACCTGTTGTAAAATTGCAACATGATGTAACCCAACACTAGTTACCATGGTGACAGACGTCTGGTTCAGGTCATTGACATTATTTCTTTGGAGAAGAAGAGGAAGAAGAAACATAGCAAAATCAATATATTTTCCTTCTGCGAAGGTAAACATAATGTCTACACTATCCCACATTCGCCAGACACCGTTACATTGCATAGCATTTTTATGTAATGATGCTGCACTGGATAAGGATGCTGCACTGACACGTGTTCCACAATGCCTGTGTCCTACAACAACACGTATACATTATCATGAAAATGCTTACTTTTTTTATTTTATTCTTATTAAATGCATTAGTCGGCAAAGTTTACCGACCTGCAAGTGAAGATATTGCCATTTTGATCTCGCATGTAGAAGTTTTCTTCGTCTTTGCCAGTCTTCCAGATTCTTTGAACGTTGACTCCGTACTGTTAGTAACATTGGGAGGTGAATAAAATAACAACAACCTTCATACTTCCTATCAACTATGAATACACTGTATGCAATTTTAGCTGCAACGTTGACATAGCACTAGAGGGCCTAAATGAATGTCACGACACATTAACAAGCCTCACTGGGTCAGTCTACTGAGGAAGACCAGAGTGACCGGTCGAAAGCTCTAGGTGAGAGAATTTTTTGTGTTGGACCAAAAGTTTTAACTTTAAACATGTAACTACCAACACAGATGAACTTTCATGATAGTAGATTTAAAAAGAGTTGGTCTTTTGATTTTAAAGGGGCTAAAGATTACAGACCGCTTTGGTACATGGTGAAGCTCACCTGTATCTGAAGTTGCAGTTTTCTTGCAAAGTCGTTCAGGTACTGCACGTAGATGTCGGCACTGGGAAAGAATTCTTCCGAGTACCGTGTCATGCGCAGAGTCTCGTCATCACTGAGTAGGCTGTTCCAATCATGACGCAAGTTGTACTCCTGATGACATGAATAGTGTTACCAACATATGTGCTAATTTCACATTACAAGTATCGCACTTTGAAGGAGAACTATTTGTTCCTATATTATCTGATACAATTCAGGCAAAATTAGCTCAAAAACGACCAAAAACAGCATGATTACATGTTTGTGTAACTTGATCATGTGTTCTATTTACCCAGCGTTGGATTTTAACATGTATTATGTTTTACCTTGTTCGTTTTGCCTGTGTATCGTTTGTTAATACTGATCAGCTTCCTATGACGGGGGTACGTTTTGTAGAAGGTACCGGCGGAGTCCCCCTTCTCTAGGATGACGTAGTCTCGCCCAGACCGCTGGAGAAAGTACCCGAACTGTAGCCCGGAGGGACCTGCGCCCACTATGATGTAGTCATGGTACTTTGCAGAGGGGAACCCTGCCAAAATTATGTTTAATGTCATGATCATATATCAACAACGGAACCTACATTGCCGTTACTACTACATGTACGCCGTGACGTGAAACCCTCTGCGGCCGGGAAATCTGGTCCAGCCTCCGTCCTTGTTTTCGTACACGATCCCGCGAGTTTCGACGAGACTACGCTCTCGCGGGAGCACATTTTAAATTGGCGCGCTTTAGTGGGTCTTTAGCCACCAGCTAGGATACACCGTTAAAACGAATTTCAGATTCAAACACATGTTTGGAATGTAACACTCCTGAAGGTAGTTTTCTCGTACAATACCCTGGTCTAGAACGGGAAAACCCCATACCTGTATCCTCAGACTCCACTGGATGGCGCTCTTTCCCCGTCATAGAAACTTGGCCCGGTGACAGTGTGATCAAACCAGCCAAGCAGGTCAAGGCCAGTACGTGACGTGACCGGGTAACATCCATTCTACTGATGGAGCAAAGATAAGAAAGTTGTCAAAACACTGGTGCCTCACTCAGCCACTCTTGTGGCACACACGCCTCACCTCGATCATCGACATTGTATAAAGTATATATACCTTGTTAAATCGCTTATTTTAAGTGCAATAACGTAAATTTTATGGCAATTTTGGGCATAAAGTTGGTGGTGCAATGAATATTTAGTGAGAATGATATACCAGTGCAGGATACCATTGGCACATCCTGATCTTGGAATAGCCGATTACGTCAAGTATCGTCGCTCAATCGGGTAAAAATTAGTACCTAGCTTCAGTAGTGACGTCCTCTCGTATGGTACGTAAAACCGGAGGTCCCGTGCTTGAGGAGAGTCACACCTCGAGCACGTTACTACCCTGGATGCCAAACTAGTATCGGGCCGTTAGCCGTTTTCCTTCGGCCGCCTATCTATCTACGGGGGAGTTGAGCCCGAGGTGTTTGTCCGGCCCTAGACCTATCTCTCTTCTTGGTAGTCCTTCGTTGTCGAAGATGACTGTCCGTGTGCTGTGCCTAGAACTGTACGGCCAGCCAAACTCCCCCCGGGCTAGACTCCCCCGTAGCGGTGCGGTGGATTCCAGGGTAGCACGTTAGGCCACACCGACTTAATTTTATGGATGACATCCTCTGAAGACCCCTAAACTAGTGCGCGCGGGCGAAAAAAAAAATCCGGCCAAAAATAAAAATGCTACTAAACCACAGTAATACAAAGCCGGCATTGTGAATTTGGCGCATTACATAGCGACGTACATGTATACGACAGGCCGGCACATACTGGCTTTTTGCGGAATTTATGAATCGGCACTGTACGTATGTACTGAGTTCTTGAGTCGTGGAGCTTCGGTAGCCTGAGTGCCGTCCTCCAGAGTTACCACCGGCTTCATTGTCGCTTACCACCATGGACTACCTAGGCCTAGAGCCAGGCCAGAGCCTCGGAAGACGTGATCTTTTTTTCTTTTTTTTTTGGAGATCAGGTGAAAATCAATGCGCGCGTGGATGTCATCCATAAAATTAAATCGGTGTGGCCTTACAGACTTACCAAAAAGAATGTGTCCTTCCCGGTGTGAGTGGATCAAACCTTACAGTCCGGTTGTACGCATAGGCACCCGCAGTTTCTATGTGCAAGGTATCCTTAGTCAGTGAGAGTGATTGTGTAACACAATTTGTACTGTGGCGTGTTCGTCACAGGCCACTGGCAGGTCAAGTCACGTACCACTGTGCATCCAAGCGTCCACGTATCCCGAGGTCACATAGTCACTGAACAATAAACTATGCGGGGATTCTGCAGTCAAGTCGTCAGTCGGCAGTCAGGGTCACACGCCAACCGTCAATAATCTTCGAGACATCAAGTTAAGAAAGTCATTCTATTCTGCTAGGAGTAAACAGGAGCTAGACTTGTGGATTTCAGGTTATTGTTGCTCGGTGAGTGCGATAATGAGGGTCACTATTTGTCACTTTCAGATCATTAAATCATACATTGTGTTCTTATTGTCTTATCAGATGATTGACGTAACTCTGTGGCAGGATATGACGCATACTAGTATCCGGTCCTTTTAGGCGGGGCTGTCACGTAGTTGGTATTCAAAACCATTTCAACCATGGGCAGGTGCTATACTCTAGTCGCTTTGGAGTATTAAAGACACTTCTCTTCAGTAGCGTACATAGTCAAGTATGCCCTCACTGATTGTGGTTATGAGTTTGGTTTATAAAATAACAATCATTCTAGAAAGAAAACTAACAATATCACAATAAACCTGGAACCGCCTTGTTAGTAAAAGAAACAACGGCAAGAAACAATTTTTCTTGGTGCCAGTATAAATTTACCGGCTGGAAAATTCATTGTGTATTAGAAGCTAACTTTACCTTACTTGCATATACATGTCTAATATGTCAGTTAGTGATAACAAGTGTACAAAAGATCCATTGAATTGACATAAAATGTATTATCAGTCTGGTGTTTACAGAACACATTGTTGAAGGTAACATAATGAGTGTCATTTTGTAGTTGATTGTACATTATATAGAAATGAGAGGGATTCCTTCTATACTTATATAATAGATAAATTCCCCAGCTTGAGACGTTTAGAAGAAACATAAAATTCGCATTCCTTGAATTCCATAAACCTTGACACACCATGTATCATTATATAGCTTCATACATCTACAACTGCCTCAAGAAGCGAGAAGAAGTCGAACCTGTAAATAGTAGATCACATTAGTATGTATAATCTAAGTGTTATAATTGCGTTTCTGTATCCTTTTCCCTGTTTATTCATGACCTGTACTTGGCTTGTAAGAGCATAAACATACACTAATAAAGGTCTTTCATTTATGTCGGGAAACTTTTGTCCTGCTCTGTGACATCATCTTTAGCCATTTTATTGCGTATTGTATCGAGGGCTAGCACACAGCTGGAACGGAGGAGGGGTAAGGGTAAATCCACAGCGTCCTTCCGTTGAAGGTTTGGGCTCACCCTCCGGCACTGTGAACCGGTAGCGTTGCATCACAGCAGAGAACAGCAGGAACAGCTCGATTTTGGCCAGCTTCTCTCCGAGACACAGCCGATCACCTGTCCACAAACACGTAGTGTCAATCAGATTTAACTCCACTTTCAATGTAAACAACAGAACGTTAGAAAATCATATACACCATGTAAAATCATATACACCATGTAAAATGGAAGCAGGTACTGATATCATCTGAAATATAGACATCTCTATATTATGACACCCCATAAACCTCAACAACAATAACAGACATCTATAGAGTATCGATCTTTTCAGAATTATTATGCTCAATATAAAAAAAAAACATATAAGTTAGAATTTTATACGGGTTACTTGATTGCTTGATGATACACACAAACATAAAAGGTTAGTCTGCATCCTATCTGTATCTGTATAGCCGGTATAACCGCCCTTCGGTGTAACACACCATCCTATAGGAATGTTGAACCTTAGTTACGTTATGTCTACCTATTTCTCTTGTCAGTTACCTGCAGAGAAAGGCATGAACGACTCCGGGTTGTTGATGACTCGTCCTTCCCGGTCCAGAAAACGCTCAGGTTGGAAGATGTCCGGATCTGTCCAGACTTCCGGGTCCATGTGAGCCGACCACAGATTAGTCAGCACCTACAACAAAACAGAGGATATACGGTACTCCAAACAACTGTCTCTATCTGTATATAGCCGGTATAACAGCCCTTAGGCGTAACACACCAGCTTCTGTATCTGTATCTGTATAGCCGGTATAACCATCCTTCGGTGTAACACACCAGATTCTGTATCTGTATAGCCAGCCATGTCATTTTGTACATCATGCATAGTCTGGACATTTTTCGTCTGTCTTCCACTGTCACCAGTACAATACAACACCATCTTTATACTCCTGTGGTTTAGCAGCATTTTTTAATCTGGAATTTTTTTTATTCGCTCACGCGCACTAGTTTGGGGATGTTCAGAGGATGCCATCCATAAAATTCAGCCAGTGTTTCCTAATTATTGTAACTATACCGCGGAGGGACAGTTTTGCGGCTGATGGAGTTTTGTCGGGGAGAGACGGTTTCGCTGCCCTACAAGTGAGCGACGTAGGCTAGTAACTACCAACCTGTGTCCCGGCCGGTATGTCGTACCCGCGGAAGTTGACAGGCGTGGTTGTGGCGTGAGGGAGGTTGAGAGGAATGACCTGGCGGATCCGCTGGATCTCCAGGACAGTCGCCTCCACGTACGGCAGCTGCAGGCGGTGACTGATGGAGGGAACTCCGCCGTCTCTACCGACCACACGGTCCAACTCCTCCTGGACCTGTAACAGATACGAACTATTAATAAAACATCTGCAAAGCAAATGCATTATGTTTACCTTCACATGGCCCAGCTTAACAAACTACTGCTTTGTTTATTCTTACTCTAACACATATGAACTCTCTTAAACGCACTTCTGCATGGCACTTGGTCGTGGTCATTTACCTACATGTAATTTGTTTAATTTGGCGAAGAAGAAGAGGAAGAAGAAGAAACACAGCAAAAACAATATGTTTTCCTCATAATTATGTAGTGAAATCTGTTTACCTTCGCCAGGGGGAGATTTCTCGTACCTTAGTCTGGATGTCCGGGTTCAGGATCATGTAGAGAACTCCCCAGGCCAGCGTCATGCTGCCGCCCTCCGTCCCCGCCGTGAACAGGTTGGCCACGAAGTACACCAGGTGTTCCTCGGTGAAGCCGCCGGCGGGGCGAGGCTTGTCCAGCTCCAGCAGGCAGTAGTCGATGAAGTCGCGCGGGTTGGCCGGCTGCAGGGAGGCGCGGTGTTCCACTACCTCTTCCCGGATGAACGCCAGTAGCATCCCGGCGAGCTTTATTGCCTTACGACCGGATTGGTTCTCTGGGACACATGCAAAAAAAAAAAAAGAGTACACTAAACGTCAAAGCTATTTCATAGGCATTTGGAATCGTTGTTTCCAGCGTTAAGTTTTATGAGGGTTTCTGCTTATCGACATGTAGATAGCTTAGCTCCTTTCTATCGAGAAGCACATGTATTAAGTGCACTTGTGATGAAAGATCCAAACATTCGTTTTGTACAGAACTAACAGACGTACCGAATCACACATGCAAACTGTGTTTATGGACAGGTTTCTAGACTTCCTTTTCTACTTTCTACTACTAGTATTGAAAAAAAACCTCTTAGAGTGTTAATCAAAAAAAATAATATAGTAGTAAAGAATGCCAAACCTTACAAACAATCTAGTCTTGCGGTCACACAGCATTGTACATATATCTTTAACAAGAAAGATCATAATGAAGATAAGGATCTCTTACCGAGTGGTAGAAAGCGTAGAACCGGGAACAGGCTGAGGATCTGGCAGCTACTGATGGCCCTCGCTATGTTCCTCACATTACGGCGGAGCTGGCTCAGTTTGGGGTCGTCGTAGTCGAATCGGCGGCCGAAAACCATGGAGCACACCACGTTGGAAAAGGCGGCATTCGATACGTCCACAATGTCAAATGGTTCACCGTTGTATGATTGTATCTGTAAAATGCAGAAACGCAACTCTCAATGTAACACAAATACAAGTACAGTGTACATTTGTTTCAAAACCGTTCCTATTTGGAGATGTGTACAGTTAAACATAAGGTCATGGCTTAGTAGTAGTGTTCTCACACATGCTTAATTTCACCATGTGCTAGGACAATTTGGTTGTATTTCTTTTTTCCCCTCTTCCAACATGCTATATAACGTGTTAGCTATAATTAACGTTAACCCACCTTTAGACAGAGGTTGTTCGCTTCCTCTTTGACTACGTCCTCGGCATGACCAGGGCTGAGTCTCATTCCTAAGGATTTCAGGATGTTGTAGGACAGTTTTCTGCGCTGCGCGAATTCGTCGGTCCATCTGGCCGTAGCAATACCTGGTGAATTTTGAAGAAATTAGATCGTCAACATATGACGTCTTTGCAGCAGTTTATTAGGTACTAAGAGTTCGTGGAACACATGCTTTCGTCAGGTGTAGATACTATATCATTTCCCACCAAGTCGGCCTTGGTGCGAAATTCTGTATTCTGAATACTAGAAGGCAATCTTTGTGATATTGACACATACTGCTTCACATTAGCACATTTCAATCAGTATTTAATACTTTGGGCTTTTAAAACTGCAGAAACAAGTCCCAAGATAAGTCCTTTATTTTCTTGGTGGTACGCTAAAAATCAGCCAAGGGCCATTCCAGTAACCATTTTCCATCAGTGGGTATTTTTGCTCCATGTGGGTCACTATACATTGGGAAAGTGTTAACTCAGTATGTAGATAAGTGACTAGAATGTTGACTTTAAAAAATCGTGTTTCCAAGCCCTGAAAACTGCATTGGATGCCTTTAACACTTGTCAGTGAATGCGCCCTCCGAGTTTGTAAAGTGCCTGGTGACATCTGTGTAACCTACCCCAATGCTCACTCACTGTACGCTGTAACATGCCAAGTGTACTCTGTATGACCTATCATAATGCCAATACCCATTGTACTTGAGCAGTCTGCCGTGTGCATGCCCTCGGGCCCTGTCTTTCATTTGTCACCTCCCAAACTACCCTGCACTGTTGAACCTGTGACCAGATAGACTGTCATAGTCCTTTGCATCCTGACGGAAAATGTATATGTGTATGTAGGGGAGCTAGATTTCAAACAAAGGTCATATCATCACTTCAGTCAGAGAAAAAACACATTTGTTGCATACGATTTTGTTGTGCCAAAACACCACACCGGCATACGTCAGCTTTTTTTAAAAAAGCACTTGTTTAGCTTTAAACACTTACTTTGTCCAAAACCTGTGATGGCGTCGAGTATGTAAACATTCGGCCTGCTGGAGAAGGCATGCCGGGCCTCCACCAGAGCGTCTTTAATGGTCCTCCCTCCGTTCAAGACGACCACGTCTTCCATCCCGAGCCGTATGCTGAACACATCGCCGTACCGCTTGCTCCACTCCGTCAGCCGCAGGTGGGGTTCTCGGCCTAAGGCGAACAGATGCCCGACAATCGGCCAGCTACCAGGCGGGGAGGGCGGGAAGGTACCTCTGCGGCGGTTTAGATAAAAGTACACGGAGAGGGGAACTAGAACGGCGGCTATCAGGCCCCAAGTCAGGGGAGAAAACCACGCCACCATCTTGGCACGAACAGTCCCAACTTCAAAGTACGTTTCTTGCCTAAGGCTATGCTATAAACAATGGGTCAAAGGTAAAATGAAGGTTGCCAGAAGATAGGAGTGCGTTTTTACTCCAAGTAGAAGTTCACAAGTCAAAATGTTATCGTTATGCTATAGACGCTCTAGTACTGTAGGAAGGAAAATGTCTATAGTTTAGAATTATAACAACGGTAACTTGCATGAACATTATACGTTAAAAATGAATGACAAAAAAAACAATTATAAGTACATGTAGCATAAAATGATATTTGTGAATAATGACACAATAATACTTCTTGGACTGAACTATATATATGTATTTTAATTAATTAATTAATTAATAACATTTTAATACAAGCAGAGAGACTACATTTTAACATTTACCACAAATTCCCATTACTCTCATCAAAGCTGTCATATTTTGAACAGGAAGTTGAGGTTTGCAGGTACATTGCTACAGATGTATTATAATTGTTTTCAAAGTTTCTATGATTACATATATCCATGTTGCTATTGCTGCACGTTAGAACAATGAACAAAAGTAACTCACCCTTCACAGTCATCGTCACTTAACTATATAAATATATATCAGCTATATATTATGTTAATGTTAACGCTATGCTGCCCCTATAGCTATCGACTAGCTATGGGACAAGGGGTGGGGGGGTTTAGTCGTGATGTGGGAGACTAAACCTAATCTAACCCAATCGTAAGTTTTACCGGGTACCCTAGCCCCGAACAATGATCCCAACCCTAACCCTAACTCTAATACCAACCCTAACCCTAACCCTAACCCTAGCCCTAAACACCTGACCTCTCATGTATGGGGCAGCTCGAGGATTTGGCTCAACACCGGCCGTTATATTACTACTTGTGAACTTCACGTTCTATCTTCACAAATCTTAAGCTTGCTTGTAACATGGCAACCAGCACAGGTCTCGCGTACAAGTAGCTCTGGGGTGATGTCAGAAATGTTGGAACAACCTGCGGGAAATGTATAATAAATGTATTGTGATTAGCTATTGATAGAGATACTGAAAAGTCATAGAAAGAACGTAAAGTAAAGTAAAGCAAAGTAAGTAGGTATAGATGTTTCTTGAGAATGATGGATATCTAGACGAATGTACGTACATGGCGATTCAGAAAAATAATTGTCCATGATTTGTCCAATATTGAATTTTACTGTACTTAACGTTGGTGATTACAGACTGATTTTCTCAACTTGTTCTCCATCAACGCGGCAACTATGCAGTTTCCCGTGTTGCTATGCTCAACAACGCTTGGAAATGCTCAAACGGGAGTTTTCGAGGAAACAACTAATTTTTGGGGGGCGGGGAGGAAATTGCTAAAGGCTGTCGAGGTGGGGGATGGGCAAATCTCTAGCGGGGAGGGCGAAGTCGCGGGGGTGGGGCTAGATCGCTGTGACACCGGTACACTTGCCATACTATTGGGTCAAAATGATACTATTCAAAACCCTGCCGTTGTCTTAAAACAATGCGTGTTCGCTCACCTGTGTGAGCCATGGCAACACGTAGCTCATCGTTCAGTATCTGGAGCACCTGTCGAACACCCTCCTCTCCCTGCAAAGAAAGGATAATATGTATTTGTTTATATTACCATTACTTCTTGGCCTCATCCTCATCTCTATAGTATCAGATCCGATAATTGAAATGTGTGCAAAGATATGACCGATAGCTACTACATGTACATGGCTTCCTTCGGTCAATGTTGACCGTGGTAAAATAATTTATGTCATCAACCCTACAGCTTCTGCTATGGCGGAACTGAATACAAGAATGACAGTCTTTGCCACATAGGGCAAATCTGTGTATAAGCTGACTCAGGTCTGTTTCAAAGTTTTTCTCTGGATCTCACTCTCTTCTGTGAACCAGTCTAGCTTCTACTGTCAACAGCAGGGATGTGACTTTCCATATGTAACGCCAGGAGATACTGAACATGCTTTAACTATCTTCACACTCTTTGTTCCGTCCGCAGTTCACTTGACCTAGCAAGGCGGTCATGTTTAGCGGATAGATAAAAACATCAGAAGGACAGACGATATTTGCACAGGTGTGTTATTCCTGACATGTCTTTGGTGTTGTGTATACATGAAACATCCATTAAGAACACTCACCTGGCCACAGGCTTGTCACGGAATGATGTTGGAGTTTCAAGGATGGTTCGAAGACTAAATAATGTACTAACTCGCCTTTCCAGGTTTGCCTAGGAAAGGCGAGTTAGAGTTCAAACTCAAGAAAATTTCAGAAGCTAGCCCTTGCCTTGTATGCCAAGCCCCACAACACAGGCCTTCCTACGAACACACACTTGGCCCCCAAAGCTAAGGCCTTCAAAATGTCGGCTCCTGTCCGCACTCCACCGTCCATGTACACATCCAGCCTTCCCTCAACAGCACGAACAACGTCAGGGAGAACGTCAATCTGAAGAACAATAACGTCAGGGAGAACGTCAATCTGAAGAACAACGTCAGGGAGAACGTCAATCTGAAGAACAACGTCAGGGAGAACGTCAATCTGAAGAACAACGTCAGGGAGAACGTCAATCTGAGAACAACGTCAGGGAGAACGTCAATCTGAAGAACAACGTCAGGGAGAACGTCAATCTGAAGAACAACGTCAGGGAGAACGTCAATCTGAAGAACAACGTCAGGGAGAACGTCAATCTGAAGAACAACGTCAGGGAGAACGTCAATCTGAAGAACAACGTCAGGGAGAACGTCAATCTGAAGAACCCCCCCTCTCTGTCTCCGTCTCTCTGTCTCTCTCTGTGCGTGCGTGTGTGTGTTGCATTATCTGACCGATGACAGAATGCACAATAGTGTAAGAGAAGGTAGTGGATGTCGGTTATCACAAAGCAATACTCTAGCAGCAGGAATACTAGTTACGAGCTCATGGAAGAAATGAAATGTAACATGTCCGACTTTGTGAACAGGTAACTACGCAGAGTGTTTGAAGTAAAACTTGCAGTTGCAGGGACTCCATCCAGCTGTCTGTTAAACATAGAATGTGATGGGAAAATTGATTGTTATATATCTGCAATTAAGCCAAATTGTTTGTTCGTTTCGCATAACCGGTAATACATTCGCCTAACACACTAGTTTACATGTAAGTACAAGCTGCGTAAGACCGGACTGTAAGGTTTGAATCATTCACACCGGGAAGGACCCCTACTCTTTTCGATAAGTGTAGTGGTTTCTTTAACGTGCGTGGGGTGTCTCTCTCCACAAACACGGGACCTCCATTTAATATCTTATCCGAGGGATGTCCCTAACCGAAGGTAGGTAATCATTTCCACCTGAGTGAAGTGAGGAAAGTCGTGTAAAGAGCCTTTCCCAAGGGCCATACGATCCCTACAATTGCAAAGTAGACAGAATTTATCGAAGGAGAAAGACACCTCGGTGATGTACCACTAACTTGCATAATTTATGTATGATATTACAGACGTTACAATTGTGAAAATACGATGAACCGAAAAAAAGTGATAGATGTAACATCTTACCGGACAGTATCCCTTTCAGGACGACTGGTAGACTGGTGTTGGCTTTTGTCCACTCAACATCGTCCCACGTTATAGGCTGTTTCATGGACGAGTAGATGTACTCTCCATAGCTCACCGTGCCTCTGTCAGGAGCATCGTCAAACGTCATATGGGGAAGACTGAACAAATTGGGAAACAAATATAAGAATTGTCAAGAGGATTTTTTGTTCACAATTTGCAGGAATCTCTGAATAACAGCTAACGCAGGGGACACTCGTTTAACCAAAGGCTACCTTGAGGATGACCTTGTAAAAATGGGAATTATGAACAATCTGATTAACTATGTACAGACTGAATGGGTGTTTAAAGCGACCACTCAACCAACTTACACCTGTTCACAAATGGATGGATGGATGGATGGATGGATGGATGGATGGACGGATGGACGGCTGTCCAAACAGGCTGCAGTGAGTAACAGCTTTTTCTATTTCAATATTTATTACATTTATTATAGCGACGGCGCACTCAAGTTTTTTCCAACTTATATTTATGCCGGCACCAACGCAAACAAGCCCATGAACGGAGAACAGACATAATCATTTTTACCAGAGTAAAGTGAGGAAAGTCGTGTAAAGTGCCTTCCCCAAGGACACAAGATCGGTGGCATGGCAGGACTCGAACCCGGGACCTCTTGGTCTGTCATGACGCCATACGACCCCACTAACAGTTACGGGCAGTGCACACTTGACACGGACGCCTGTTTACTAAATATTAGTAATAGCCAGCCCTGGTGAAGTCACGCGTATTAGGACCATGGGCACCAAAAATAGGACAAGCTAGGAGCAAGTATCTAGTGTAAAGCCCATTTGGTGAAATACTATACTCGTCCCTTATCTACTGTTCATCGTAGCAAGGGCCATGCAGTGCTTAAAAGCGTGCTTATGCATTTACAATCAGCAAGGTAAGAAAGCCAACCAAGTGGAAGCAATACATCAATGGTGACAAGTGTCTTGTCCACGATCTTGTCCAAGTACCTCCATGTGTCAGGCGTGACTGCCAACTTCCCCGTACGTTTTAACCGCCGAGCTACAGGCTGATCCACCGTCAGAACTATAGCCGTACAACCGGCGTTTTCTGCCCGGGCAAGGAGAGCCTTGTTGCGAGCCGAATCCTTCTGCAGCGTCAGGTGAAACCACTTGACTCCATCGGGCGCGGCAGCCACGATTTCTTCGATGCCGTAACTTGTCCAGCTACTGACCACCATCCCGACATTCATAGAAGCTGCAGCTGAAAGACCAGAAAACACGTTGCGCTCATTTTACTGAGAGAACTTTCAAAAGTAATTCTAATTAAGTATACGTAATACGTAAATGGTGTAAAACACTTCAAACTACTGCATTCCAGAGATTTTCTTGGAATATTGATTTCATGGTTATAGATTTTATTATTTCATAAGAACTGTACAAAAAAACAAAGTATGCCATCTATTGCCATCTGGCATCTACATTTTATATATATACCAAATATTACGATACTATAGCTATTCTACCTTACACACAAACTATATAGTATGGGATGAGAATGCACTTTTGCAGTCTATCATAAGACATTGCATGCCTTTGTTGTTATCTGAAATTCGGCCGAGGTAGGCAAATATTACCTATTTACTTCATGATTCACCTCAAAACAAGGCTCAAGGCCACTCAAAATGTTTTGGGTTACTGTACAGCCAGTAAGGACAGATGTTTGTGATTTTCTTCAGTGGAAGTGGCAAGACGTGTCCTTGTAGAGAATGTTCGAAGTTGCGAGTGAAGTCCCGCGGAGCATTTTCCGTGGAAATAGCGATAAAATAACGACAGGCTTGCAGCATTACGCCAATGTGAGAGTGGTGGTAGGGTGGCGAACAAGTCACTCCCAACAAGATTTTGTATTAAAGCGGTTTTGAAGCTGTTTAGGGAGCTCTGGATATTCTATCACGTTTTACTGGTATCACCTTTGGCAGTTGCCTTTTCCCCGTGGTCGTGTGCCAAAACGTGCTGTGCTGTAGGCGCGATCACAACAGGCAGGTCAAGTACTCTCCCCAGCACCGTTATAGACGTGTCTTGTTTAGACACATCCCGTAGGACGCGTGTTAACAGGCGGTATCTGGAAGAAAATTAAAAACACGAAAATTAAAGTACAAAATACTTGGCAGTAAATGTGGTGTCAGTATGTGCGTTTAAGTATGTGTGAGTATGGTGTGTGTGTGTGTGTGTGTGTGTGTGTGTGTGTGTGTGTGTGTGTGTGTCACAGTCCACGTGTGTTTCTGTGTGAGTGTCTGTGTGTCAGAAGAATCTTCCTGTCTGTGTGACTGCAGTACCTTTTAAAAGCGGCACAGTTGTCTTTAGCGGTTTGCCCGTCGCCTGCCCAGCCATGGTAGTAGTTGTACACAAGTTCTGGGAGTCTCCTCTCTGCCAGTGCCTCAAAATCAACCAAACGCCGTGGTGGGGGACTTGTTTTCGCCTCCGCCATCATGCTGTGACACTCACACTGCAAATTCCGATGTTATCCTTTGTGAGGCGCTGCTGTACATTGAAAAGCAAACTCGGCGGCGGGTCAGGGTGTGGCCGTAACGCTGTAGTCCGCTGCACGACTACATTATTTGTATAATCAGGACCTGGAACTTTTTGACCTCCGCCCTTTGACCTCAACCGGTCAAGTGCAGGCTGTCCAAAGGTTGTGTGACAGTGGCCCAGCAAATAACGTGAGTTGTAAGAAACAAATTTGTCTTTCAGCACATATATATAACGTTTTCTATAAATCAGGCAAGAGCAGCTAGGATCAGCTTGCACCTTGAATGCGCTCACTGTCATTCAAGGACGTTTTGGTGAGTGACAACTTGCAACTCTATGACTAATACAGACTCGGTCTTTGCATTAACATGTTACAAGCCCGAGCCGAGTCAAGAGTACTAGAGTCGCCACGGCTAACTATTTATATTAGTTGACTACTATAGTTCACCATTTGTTCTGTAACATAGAAATCATGGTAATGACTTACGTGCCATCCTATTTTGTATACCGGGGTTCCCATACATGTGCTTGCTCCATAAAAAGTAATTGGGTATATAGGATCGATCACCCAGGCTATGTAGACTGACTTAGGAAATCTAGAATTTATATCGGATCATTATATACCTACCATCGGTGGTGTTTGAGTTCAGTGCTGATCCGCCCGGTGGATTGGCCCTAATCTGCATGAAAGTTGTCTGATCGCTTTTTGTATGTCAATTAGATTTCACCTCTGACATCATGGGGTCATAAATATTAAATGTTACCTACACTGCGCCTTTTTTTCAGTGAAGCAGATAATTATAAGTGTTGCATTTGCAAAGCAATGCATAAGTTTCACATATGGAAACGAAACACATCCATATAACTTTATACAGGAGTCTAAATCCCTCCTGCTATATTAAATTGCAACATGATGTAACCCAACACTAGTTACCATGGTGACAGACGTCTGGTTCAGGTCAATAACCTTATTTGTTTGAAGAAGAAGAGGAAGAAGGCACAGAGGAAAAACAACATGCTTCCTTCTGAAAAGACTATAAACATGTAATAACAAGGAGGTTTTTGGTGTTTGGTGATTTTGATGGTACAAATTTCTCTGTTTGTGCTTTTGAGTACCTCCTTGCGTGCATGTGATAGAAGGAAGTTGAACATCATCAATGTGTTAATCTAATTAAAACACCATGATGAGTTAATCAAGGTGTTGCATGCTTTACCTTAATAGATTGGTCCCCACAATCTTGCTATTGCTATTAATGATAATAAAGTCATAAAAATTTTTCAATGTACATAGATTAGTTGTCATGGAAGTTCATCTGTGTTAAATTGGTAGTAATCATTAACCTGGGTACCATCCTACTTGTATGCTGGGGCTCCCACACTCGCTTCCCTAAGAAGTAGTCTGGAAACGCTTGTATCTATTTGGTTTGGTGATAATGTCACATAATGAGGTAGGCCACATGGGGAGGGCTGGGCGGAGCCTCTTCCACTAGATGACCCATCAGTACAAAAGTCCATCTGGCCATGTGCTGTTTTGGTAAGGGTAAAAGAAGTTGCTGCATACATGTCTTAGGGAAGCGAGTATGGGAGTCTCGGCATGATGGTACCCACGCTAAGTAATCATAGTACGATGCTGAACTTTATTCCAACACAAAGGGTACACAAGGATGAAATTAGTATCCTGATGAAAGTAACAGTGGTCGTTGAAAATTTGATTCGTATGTACCCTAATGTTGGTATAAAGTACTGTATGTCAACATTGTACAAATATTAATTGTATTTTGAACTGCAGACCATCATGAGTACTACTGCTGTCTATGATGTTGCTATCATCGGTGGAGGTGTTGTGGGATGTGCTGTTGTTCATGAACTAACAGGACGTGGTTTGAAATGTGTGCTGTGTGAACGGAACAGTCAACTTGTGCAGGAGGCTAGCGCAGGAAATAGGTAAGTCAGTAGAATTCTTCACAGTCTTTTTATTAGTTTTTGTGTACATATGATTTCATCTCCAAAGGAGTGAATTTGAACTATATCTTTTTCAGTCTGTGTGTGTGTGTGTCCATCTGTCTGTCTGTCTTTGTGTGTTTCTGCACTGGTGTTTCTATATGTTTGTCCAGAGGTTCAGTGTAGTTTCTGTACGTTCTGCTAGGAGGCACTTGCCTACCAGGGGTGGGGTCTGTCATCACATTGTCCTTGTCATAAACAGTATACGTTACATAAAGCTTTAAGCAGTTAGATTAGTGTGTATGCCTGGCATCTTAAGTGATTTTCATGTTATATATGTACCTAAAAACCATAAAGTTTGGTTACTGGCCAATTCCTTAGCCTGACTAAATCGCGCTCCTGGCGGCCGCCGCCCTAGGTTGCCGCCCTTGGGGTGGGGGTCATTAACGTCCAGCCGAGAGCTTGTATACACAGGCTAGCCAATTCCTTACCTGTGTTAACGTTGCTTTATACCATAGTGGAATCGTGCATACTGGATTTGATGCTACCCCAAGTACCATTGAACACCAGTGTCTAGAGGATGCCAGGATCCTGAACAAAGACATTTACACCAAGTACAACCTGCCTGCTGAAGAGAGAGGGGCTTTACTTGTGGCCTGGAATCAGGATCAGGTATTGAAAACTATTGAAAATTGTAGCATTTGGGGCAATATTGTTACTTTCGTAGGAAATCTAATCGGTAGTTACTATTAACCTGTGTGCGAAGAAAGAGCCATTGTTTTGAAGCTATCCCATTTTTTTACAGATGTCCAAGCTACCTTTGTTACTTAAATCTGCCCACAACAACGGTGTGACAGGTGCTCATCTTATCTCGAGGGAGGATCTTCTGCGGAGAGAGCCCCACCTGAATCCAGCTGCAGTCGGAGCGATGGTGATACCAGGGGAGACCGTCGTGGACCCATGGCTCATACCTGTCACACTGGCACACAAAGCATGGCAACACGGGGCCAAGGTAAATATACTGATGCTGTTTTTGGCGACACCTCAGGGGCGAGCCTAATAGTAACAGGGGAGTCAGTCGTGGACCCATGGCTCATACCTGTCACACTGGCACACAAAGCCTGGCAACACGGGGCCAAGGTAAATATACTGATGCTGTTTTTGGCGACACCTCAGGGGCAAGCCTAATGGTACATTGTCTACAGGCATGTAATGTGTTTTAGCACGATAACTTAAGAAGCTATGGATGGATTTTAAAGAAACTTAAAGGTAGGTTAGTCTTCATGAGACCTCAAAACGAGTAGACATTAAACATAAATTATTCATATCTTTGCATTTGGGAAAGCACCTGTGCTGTGCAATGTGAACCAGTCAGACTTGCCCTGAGCTAGGTGACAGGCAGTGACCAAAACATCGGCTGATTAAACTTCTTGGTTGTGAAAAAACTTCTTAGATCTGTTTTTCTAACTTATTTTCTATCATGCAATATTTTTCATTAGATGTTCCGCTATTACCTCTTTCTTGCTTGCAGATCATGAGAGACTGCAAGGTGCTTGGAGGGCATCTTGAAAGAGTCAGCCATTGGTTGCTTCAAACTTCAAGAGGACCAATCAGAAGCAGAGTTGTCATCAACTGTGCTGGTCTCCAGGGCGACATAGTGGAAGCCATCAACCAGCCCAGTCCTTTTCGGTAGAGTAGCCTATTTTTTTTCTCTTTTAATGTGCTGTGATGGCACAGAGCTCTAAAACAACATTCTAGTATAAACTGAAACTGCTGAAAAAATAGGCCTCTATTCAATCCAAATTTCCGTAATCTGGCATATTGGTCTAACGTTATATTGGTGTTTTTTTAAATTCTATTTGGCATTTTGAAGTTGTGCTATTGTCCTCTTACATGAACAAATTCTAGACATATAGTCAGTGATGTTCTTGACAAGATATAACTTTCTGATTAATTTCTATGTGCACATTTTTCTAGGATCCATCCGAGAAAGGGCCAGTTTGCAGTGTTTGACTGCTCAGCTGCAAGTCTTCTCCACTCCATCATCCTACCTGTCCCAACAGAGAGGACAAAAGGTGTTCTGGTCTTCCCATCAGGTAAGGAAAGAACTTAAAGGCATCCAGTTTAATTCCAGGGCTGCAAAACAAAAAATATATATTCTGGATGAGGAAATCTGTCTGATATTATAACTGACATTTACAGTCATTTCTTTCCCATCATCATTTTAAAACTACACGCATTTAAAATAGCCCCAAAACATTGATAGTATGAATGTCTAATATCCCTTTAAATGTGTACCAACATTTCCTGTTATTCTAAGACCTTTTAACCCTTTAATACTAGTATTGAATGCAATGATGATTGGAGTAACATTTCACTTACATCCGGGCAACATTTTGACAACTCCATTCACAGTGTACGGCAACATTGTGGTCGGGCCTACAGCAGAGGACCAGGAAACTAGGGAGAATCCACAAGTTCATCAGAAAGTCATTGACGAGCTGACGAGATACGCTCACTTTGTCCTTCCCGAGTTGGCTGAATATCCAGTTGTAGTGACCTACGCAGGGCTCCGTCCAGCAACACAGACAAAGGACTATCACTTCATTGTTGACAAGGACAGGTGAGAAGTCTGTTGTAGCAGGCTGGGATCCACCCCTGACCAAAATATCCCCGGTACATTCTGGCCAGGGGTAGACTATAATAATGGCATGCAACACTAGTAAAAGATATACATGTATAAAGAAATATCAAGAACATGCTGTATTCTACTATACAATAACATCAGAAAAAAAAATTGGGTGCACAGCCAAATTTGCATGGGCTGACTAAGGTGCACATGCACCGAGTATATTTCGAGTCCTGCTGTATCAATGATATGTAACTGTTGTTTGACCTTACAGAGGATGGGTGACCGTTGGTGGGATCCGATCCACAGGACTCTCTGCCTGTCTGGCTATTGCCAGACGTGTTGCCAACTCCCTCCCAACATCACAACCTTCCATCACATACCCAGAACACAGGCCAACCATGAGAAAAACAGCACAAGATACTGTGGAAATGGACGGGGTGTCATATCGTATTACACATCCATTGATTAGGCTTGGGTTTGCTGACAAGGTGGCAAAATTGTAGTTCATCATAATCTTTCTTTATTTCAGGCATCCTTGGCCCATATAAATAGAAGAAAACATACAACAAATAGAAATGCACGTAATAACACCAGTTAGAAATATGACAGATCCTGATATTGCGGAAGAATCTGTTGCGGAAGATTACATCAAATTTGAGAACAGATTGGATGATGTTATTTGAGGAGTTGTACAGAGGGGATATGAAAGAATAACATTGTTTGCGCCATGAAGTGTCAAAGGTGTCTGTCCTATGGTAAACAAACACTGGCACTGCAAAATCTAGATAAATACAACAGGTCTTAACACTACTGTTAGTGTCCTTTCCCCTGTATAATGGTACGGTCCAAAAAGTGGTCGGTTACTTTTAAGGTTACCGCCTGATGATGATAAACCGATGGGAAATGGAGCCTTCTGATTGGTGGACGTCTTCTGCAAAGTAATACACGTTCGATTCTGTGTAAGCTATTAGAAGATTTGACAAAAAGCGCGTACTTCAGGTACATACTGTCCTTGCCTCATGTACGACGGAGGGTACGTCAGTCCTGTCTTCTCGGTGACTATGGTTAATATCCAGTCAACCTTCGACCGGCTGGACGTCAAGGCCAGCGAGAGGTAAGCAAAAGCGGGTGACGGTTGATTTGCCGACCAATAATTTGCATATGTCTTCAAATAATTTGCATGCATGTGATGTAAACAAAAACAGCGGTCGCCCGTATACATACATGCAGTAAGACATACGGCAGTAAGACGTATACATACGGCAGTAAGACGGACGATGTCCTCTCAATTTTGAAGGATGAGGCCAATGTCCGAAGGTCGTTGACGGCCCCTTATGCCTTCGGGATAAACGTGACAGGAACCATATACAGGAAGTGACGTGTGATGTGGGGACAATCAAGGACATTCTTAGAACGTCCTTGGTACAATAGAAAACACCAACAAACGCCGTACAAACCTTGTCAGCTCATTATCTGTCAATAAATCAGGTTCAGGAGTCCCCATCGGTGTCCTAACGCATTGTCAAGCTTGACAGCATTCTCCACAGGCTACTGATCAATCTATAAACAGGTGGGTTTTTTTGTGTCCGTAGCTCAATACTACTAGTACAACTGTAAAGATCTAATATGTTGTTTTGAGGAAAGTCGTATCCTTGTTTAGTGTCCGGGTCTAAAACTGTATATCATTTGGACTGATGCCACCGTTAATCTTTGACATTAATAACTTAGCCATTAGGCAATATGATTTCAGGGTCGTTGACTTAAAACCTAAGGGTTCTAGGTTTGACCAAAGAGGTTATTGAAGAGTTTGGTTTTGGTTTAATAAATCCCTGGCAGGCACCATTGTTGGGTGGTGGGTCACCTCGGTTGGGAAGGATTCGGGAGGGACTCGTCTCCAAATTTGACACCCGACCATGCTGACTTCCTCCCAACCGGCTCCCGACCGTTTCACAACACATTCCGGACTATCTGGTCCAGACCTCGCGCTCTCCCATTTTACATTTCGAACGTTGTAATTATGTTGAAACATTTGGCTGGCGTAGGCAGCCGGAATGCAATTTTTCAGATCAACTGCCAACCACAGACCATCATGGTCTTGGGATAGTCGGGACACAAAGGTCGGCTATGGCCCCATTCCCGCTAGGATAAGATTGTCCGGAATGGCTTGAAGCCGGATCAAAGCGAATCAATTCGGTTCGACCCGGATGATTTTATCCTAGTGGGAAAAGGGCGTATGTGTGACTGGGGCGGCTTACTGAATTTCCCAATTTACTTATTATTCAAAATGATAATTTCCAGATGTCCCGTGGTACTTGTAAGCTTCCCAGTGGAGGAGGCTATGACGTTATAAGAATAGACGACTTGCGCTGCCGCACAGAGGCAGGCTTGCTTCAAGACGAGATAGGACAAAAACAGGAGGTCATCATCAGTCTTCGCCTGGGGTGCGATGTCCGCGAAGCAGGAAAAAGCGATGACGTCAGAGATTCCGTGAACTACAGTGATGTTTCGAAAGACGTCATCAATTACGTGGAGTCAACGTCTTTTAACTTGGTGGAGAAACTGGCAACGGATGTGGCCAGGATCTGTATCGCTTTATACAAGGTTTGTGTTGTTGGTGTATATGATTTTGGTGTGACACACACACCAAAACCTCCATGAAAAATGTAGGTTTTGGTGTGTGTGTGTGTTTGTGTCTGTGTTTCCGCACATTTTAGTCAGCATAACTTCAGAACGCCTTTATGGATTCTGATGATATTTGGTATGCTGGTAGGTCGTAGAAAGAAGAAGGTCAAATATGGGCCTCCTAGCCTGTTGGCTGACCTTGGTACTGAAGCAGAACTTCCGGTTTTTGTATCTTTTGTCCTGAACATGCTATGGACTTGGATTTTTTTGTGTGTGACAGATAGCTTTTCCTGTCAGGTTAGAATTGTATGTTGGGAGCTATTGAACGTTTTTAACACGGACATGACAATAACCTCTGCGTTTAGTTTCTCATCATCACAAATGTTCCCCCAAAAAATTCGAAAAAAATACTTCAATTTAACATGTTACTGATGGCCATTGAAGCTGGGCATACTCATGTACTTCAAAACAAAATGTGATATTTCATGCGTTCTATATTACAACGTTATACAGGTGCCATGGGTCCAAGTCCTAGTCCACAAGCCACTGGTAGCGCGTTTCTGTAACTCTGTCGGTGTCCAGATAGAGAGAACGCCGGACGATTTCAACGACAGCGTGGTCTATCTCTCCCTCGGCTCTAACATCCACCCTAGGAAGAACCTGAAAGACGCCATCGCCTTCTTGAAGAAGAAAGTCTTGGTGCTCAAGATGTCTTCACCATTTCTCACCCCGCCTCAGCTGCAAACAAACCAGCCGGATATCGTCAACATGGCGGTCCAAATCCTGACGGAAATGGCGCCAACACAACTGAAAACCTTCACGTTGGGAATAGAAAAGGAGCTTCTACGCGTGCGAGACCCCAACAACAAACACGGCCCCTGTACAATCGACATCGACATCTCTCTCTGGGGGTCAGAAGTTTTGGAATACGGCGTTATCGATATCGATAAAGAAGAGGCCAATCACAGCTCGCCTTACGGCCACGTCATCAGAACGAAGAACGTGCCCGACCCAGACGTTCTCCGGTTTGCTCATGTGGCCGTGCCATTGGCTGAGATCTCTCCACACCTGATTCATCCAACCAATGGCAGCACGCTATCCTCCATAGCCACGGACATAACGGGCCGCGAGGATTATGCTAATACATTCCCCATCGTGGAACTCTTCCGTTAGATAGGCAACTGATTTTGTGGATGACATGTTACAAATAACCTCTACCAGGCTTCAGGAAGGGGTTGGAAAGAGTTGCTGTAAAAATTTGGTCAATAAAGATAACATGCCAGGGGAGTGGGCCTACCAAAGAGACCGGCTAACTGTTCTCTTAGCGCGGAGCAACTCCTTGGCATATCATCTGTCTATTTGACGAATTTCTACTTTCCAACCGCTTCCCAAAGCCTAGTAGAGGCTAGATGATTCGTCAAAGCTAGTAGTGTAGACCTATTGGGAAAGGTTGCAGTGAGATGCGTAGATTACTCAACGCTGCAATATAGCTTTGGGCACTAGGTGATGTTAATGGCTGATCATGAATTTAAGGTGTTCAGAGTAAATCAAAGGTTTTACTTTTCGGTAATTAATGGGACGAGTGTAATGCAAACTTCGATTCTTGTGAATTCATAAAAAACTGAAACCAGAAAGTTGGGATAACTATTGTTTTGTACAATATTCTATACAAGAACACTTCAGACCGTAGCGAAAATTAAGGCTTATTTTTCTGTGCATTTTGTTGTGATTTTGCATGAATCATCATATAATACAATAATGTTACGTTACAACGCACCATCTAACGTACAGCAATACTGTAGTTTGCGCGTGTAGTATCATCGGATTTCGATGTCGACCTTGTCCTTTCTCGACTCAGGATTACGACATGATTCGAGTCACATTTAGACATTTAATAGAGTTTTAACAACCGGCCCGGTCGATCTATAGTGACCACAAGAAAAACATTAAGCTTTCACCTGTCTTTGATTATGGTTGAGACAATTTTAAGGCTGAAAAGCGAGTAATTTTGACATGATGGCTAAGGGCTCTTGGAGTATAATCACACGGGGAAAGGTGTACGTGCCTGGAAACTTGTAGCACAGTCAGACCCTAATGAACTACATGTGGTCGGACCGGTATTGGCTGAGATGCGCACTGACCCGTCTCATGTACGACCTCGACCCCATTATACCTGCCTTCTGACGTACGTGGTTCATTTCTAACACCCTGTCCTGCTGGCACGCACACGGATAGGAACATAAAGAGGTAACTCACTATCACAGGTTATACGGTAGCCGTAGTGAGTATACGTAGTGGTGGGGAAATCGCGTATTTCTCGTGACTGCTTGTCATAGTATATAGTTTCTTAGCGAAGGACTTGGTATACCCTATAGCTGCATTCTATTCTCTATGAATTCTTGCACTTGGTAGTGTCCTCCGTTACAAATTACATTTAGTTTTATCTCCTTAACGCGTGGTTGTTTATAGTGAATGTTCAGTCAGGATATGACCGCTATACGTAGCGTAGGTTGTTTGCACTCATTTTGACAGTTTCCTTTGTCAATGGTTTCTCCCAAACTGGGCCGGACGACGCATTTGATCCTGGGTGTCCTTTGATTTGCACGCAAGTGGCATTATCTAAAGTGATGAAGTGGTAAATGTTCGGTTTCGGGTTGTTTTTTTTTAACTAAAGATAGTCGCATTGCGTTTCGAGTAATATCTAAACCGGAAGTGTCGTCATACACCGAAGGGAGTCAAGGAAGAGGTCAAGGTCACTGCTTAATGACCACTTATGCTGCAATCCCAGCGTCCCTTGCAAAGGGAAACTTGCACAGGGCTCGAAATACTGGGTGAATGTGCGTCTAAGTGCACCAAAATTTGGAGCTGTGGATGCACCTTTGCATGCACCCAAATATTCTCGTAGGTTTACATGTGTGTACAATTGTAGTAGTATACAGCATATTATTATCTAAGTGTCAAAAGAAAAATAAAATCCTTTGTAGTACTATTTTTAGAAATGAAACATAATTAGTTTTTGCTGACTTCTACTTATCTATTTTATATGGTGCACCCAAAAAAATTGTGCACCCAAGTTTTTTAGATTGGGTGCACCGGTGCACTTGTTAACGTTCCCAAAAATGAATTTCGAGCCCTGCCTGCATGAAAATGCAGCTGCAAAGTACAGTGCTAGGGTACTAGTATACCCAATGTGTTCACCCTTTTGCAGCCTCATCAGGAGATATACAAGATGACTCAGGATATTGACAGAAAAGAGCAAAGGTATGTTATATCTTTACTGCCGTCTTTTCACAACAGAAGACGACCCAAGAACTTACATAATTAAAAAGTAGTCGCTTTTCTTGTTTATTTTACGGCTGATTCAAGAGCCCTTTAAACTAGCCTCATTCGTAGTCTTCTGAGGCGGCAGCGTTAATTTTTTCGGTGAGCGACGCGAGTTATGCCACGGAGAGACGGTTTTGACACAGAGGGACTTTGCCGGGAGACACGGTTTCGCCGCGAAAAAATGAACGCCACCGCCTCAGAAGTCTGCGAATCAGGCTCATTTTAAACCTCATTTCCCCCTCCTGCTCTATCTAGTGAGGTTGCGCGACTCGTGGAGCTGTACGATCTACAGCCACATCCAGAGGGAGGATGGTTCAAAGAAACATTCAAGTCAACAGTTCACTGTCAGGTAAGAGTGAGTGAGAGAGTAAGTGAGTGAGTGAGTGGATGATTGAGTGAATGAGTGAGTGAGTAGGTAGGTAAGAGGGTGAGTGAGTGAGTGAGTGACTCGGTGAGTGATCGAGCGCCTGAGCGAACAAGTTGAGAACGTTAACCTTAACAGAGAGAGAGAGACACAGAGAGAGAGAGAGAGAGAGAGAGACGCAGACACACAAACAGACACATAAACGCTTGGGAAGACATAACCGTCTTGGCGTAGGTAATAACCAGTGGATTCCGTACTGACTTTCCAACAGAACGAACACCTTCACGGTAACAAAGACTCCAGAGTCGCCACAGTTTGCTACTACCTCCTCCCGAAGAACAGTATGTCCCACTGGCACAGGCTGGCGTCAGACGAGATATGGCTGTACCACGATGGCGGCTGCCTCAAGGTGTGTGTTGCCTTCGTCAGAAGGCTATGAAATCGGTTTGTGTATGGTGGGGAAACTGTGGATTTATGCGGCATAACTCTTGAAGGCATAAATCGATGGTCATGATTTTTGGCCTGCAGGTTACCATTGGGTAGACGGTGGTCAAGTACGAAAATGGGCCTCGTGGGGGGTCCCTATGTTACTGCAGTGGACCTTTTGTGTTTGTCGTTTTCCTGTTGCTTCAGCGTTAGATCTTGACTACTAGTATCCAATAGAACTGAATGATACCATGTATATCCATGTTACAGATTCATATGATAGACGAAAAAGGTGTGTACAGTTCCGCTGTACTGGGGAGCAGTCTGGAGCACGCCGAGGCGCGGTACGGGGTCCTGGTGCCGGCAGAGGTGTGGCTGGCTGCGGAACTCACAAACGGTGGAGGCTTCTCTCTCATCAGCTGTATGGTGGCGCCGGGTAAGTACTAGCTTCTGTACCAGCATTTAGGCCAAACTGCCTTAATTTTATGGATGACATCCCCTGAAGACCCCCAAACTAGTGTGCGCGCGGGCGAATAAAAAAATCCGGCCAAAAAATGCTGCTAAACCACAGGAATACAAAGCTGGTATTGTGAATTTTCGGCAGTACATAGACAAATCGGCACATGCTGGCCTTTTGCAGCATTTATGAGTCTTGAAGACCATGTCTGTCTTGAAGACCAGCTTGACAATTAGTACTGTAACAGGACAGCATATGTTTAGCTTACGACCTTCTTACAACCGAACCCCCGAATGCTTTCGGACCTTCTCCCAAGTCACTCCCAACCACCCCGATCTCTTGCCGAAAACTGCCGACTCCCTCTTGACTGATTCTCAACCGTTTGTCAACTCTCTCGGCCAGCGGTTGGGGGGGGGGTCTGACTACGGTCAGTTACATGTATGTGTGACAGGCTTAGGGGTTTTTTCATGAATCAATGTCATTTACATCCTATTCCTGATTAATGTTGTTGTTTCACAGGTTTTGAATGGAAGGGTTTTGAGATGGGCAAGGAGGAGGACCTGGTGGCGTCATTTCCGCATCTGGCTGATATTATCAAACCATACTGTCAACCGTAGAGAATATACTACATTGTATATGATATAGCTTTATCAACACGTCCAGGAACTTTCTAGACTATTGCCATCTACACTTCTACAGAGAGTTGATGATCTCCACTACTAATATCAGACATAAATACAATCATACCTGTAGTGTACCTACAATTGTTAGCACATTTATATTGTAATTTTCTATTATATATTTAAACACAACCTTATATAATGTTGGCAATTAAAAGGAATCATCTATGCTGATCACTTCACTGTTAAAATCATATTTTGATCTCAAAAGTAGTCTAGTCGGTTTGTTTATTCTCTAACCCAGCTGCTCCAACCATATATATATACCATACTCGTGTGAAAAGAAACTTCTTAAGTAACGAGACCAAATGTTGCCTTAACAGGGGTTCTAGTGTCTAAGCGAGCTCTGCCTATTCCTACTCGTGTGGCTCCAATCGTCCCCAACATAAGGGCGAGCTGTAAGCGTGACAGCTATAGTAACCAGTCTATCGCGGTTGGGGCGGATTTTCTTCGGGGCTGCTGAAGCTCTTCCCCGCCCGCCTCATCTAGGTTCCCCGCTGTTTGATTAGCCCCACCACGATCGGTCCTGTGGAGCTAATCAACTCCTGGCGTGCCAATCTTCAACCACAGGCGTAACTCCCCTACCGGGCGGTGTGTTCAGCTGGACGGAGAAAAACTATTAGAGCCCCGACGACAGCCTGCCCCAACCACGATGGACTGGATACCAGGCTACAGCTATAGAAGCTTCGGTGCGCACGGGCAGCGGCAAAACTTTGAAAACTTTAAAAAAAGCCCGCACAAAAATTAAAACTTCTGAAATCCCCTATGAAAGGATTACTTCAAACAGTGTTCCTCCAAATTACTTCTCTGTTCTAAAGATTAGTCTACAAATTGTGAAAATAACAAATTCCAATTAGAAAGACATCATACAGGACCGGCTATTCCATATAAGGACCAAAATTTATACTGACGTCTTCAGACTATTATTTTCTACATTTATGCATTTTTCACAACATTGGAGAGCCGTTACGTTGTGCCCGTTGCCTGTCAGTACAGTACAGTCCAAAATGTATGAAGAAGCACACCCTGTTCGGGTCGATTGCTCCGGACCCCGCAGTGGCCATGCCAGCAGGCCGCCGCCCGGCCACCAGGGCGATTCACGCGGGCGTGTCCGCCGGGGAAACGACGCTCCTGACAAGTTGCAAGAAGGGTTGGAAACGCCTTCAGACGATTACGAAGAAGCCGAGGCAGTGAGGCGTTACGCAACGTACGCCCATACAGGTAATGAATGTGTTATCAGAATATATTTCCACCTAATGTTGAGGTTACTCTCCAAGCAGAGGTTTGGGTTCGGGCTTATTTTTGGTGTGTTTTTAGGCTTTTTAATCGGGGTTTCTTTTTTGCACTGGAATGTTTTTTTTTTTTCCGGGGCGTAAACATTGTTTGGAGAGTATGCTGAGGTCACATGTCCAACCTGGCCTGGCTGTTTGCATTAACGAAAAATCAACAATTTATATCAATAATATACGCAGATAGTTCCCCACATTAATCTTTTCAACTTTTTTTTTGTCTTTTATATCATACCTTTCGTTCCATAAGACTGCCCAGCCGGGCCCCGGTTTGGAAATATGACCTCAGCATAAATCTAAAATAGTGGATATTTAATCATCATTCTCCATACGGTAGTGTTGATTTCAGTGGCTATGGTTTTGTTTGGATGGACGCAGTTAAGATTATGATGCAATAGCGGAATACGTTAAGTAATACATGTGTACGAGTAATAATTCTTACTATGGTGTAATTCTCCTATGTCTTTGTCGCGATTATCATGTACATTGCAGTAACTAAAATATTTACGTAAGTCGATCTCGAAGGGGTTTTGCCTTTTTTTGGTTGAAGTGGTTGTGTATGAGCAGCATGGTAGGGGAGAGGAGGACACCAACAGTATATTATGTAGAGAGAGTAAACAAACATGGATGTAGAAAGAAGGTTTCGATCGGGTAGACTTTTGTTAGATGTATGTAGTCGAGGTAGGAATATTCAATAAGGTGTTTGTAGTGGCATGATTTAAACAAAATTCCAACATGTACATGTAATCACAAGACGTGGTGACGGCACACTCAAGTTTTTTTCAACTTATTTTCATGCCGCCACCAACACAGAGGACAATGCAATACTCATTTTCACCTGAGCGAAGTGATTAAAGTCGTGTAAAGTGCCTTTCCCAATTGGGCACAAGATCGGTGGCATGGCAGGGTTCGAACCCGGGACTTCTTGGTTCCGAGACGAACACTCTGGCACCGTTATATACCACACGACCCCACGCATGATTTGTTGTTGGCGAGATTTTACAAAGGGGAGCTGGGCCATTTGTCAGAAGGGCATTTTGATAGCCATATAACGATAACACAAACCATAACTACATACCGGAAGGTTGAAATTTTTTATTCTTGCTTAATAGGCCACAACATCTAATATGTATGGATGACATCATCGCCCACATTGATGTTCGCCCTATTGAAAAAAAAAGAAAGAAATTTTGTTGCCCTCCTTACAGCAAGGACATTATATTCGATATACATATTCCCTATGGAATGTCCTTGACAACAGCCAGAATCACATTTACTCAATAACTGCTTGCAATTCAGGTATTCATGCAGTAAAGAACAAATAACCACAATACTAAAATCGTCTGACAACGAGAAATGGTGTTTGTTCGATGATGCAGCAGATGCATGGAATTATCAATAATTATGCAAATTAGTTCCTGATTTGCATTATTGTCATCTAATTTTATCAAGCATCACATAAGCTACCTACATAATAGAAATGACGACGATCTGTCAACAAGTTATTGAGTTATCCTCTGTCAAAGATTTTTTAACAAACTTCCCTGCAGTTCGAGAACAAACTATTAGGGGACCCAAACTAATGACACTTCTTTCCAAGCGCAAGAGGTATCTATCATCAATTCATGTCCAGATCGCGAGGTTTCACAAGTAGAAGTTCCACTTTAGTACCATAACAAGCCGCCAGGGGGCCCAAAATCTAATAATTTTCAGGTCTCATCAAGACCGACGCTTACCTGTTCCAAAGCTAATTCATCCGAAGCTTCTTGACTTATGAGACCACACAAACACACACGCGCACGCACGCACACACACCGACACTGATACACGCACACACTCACACATGCGCGCGCACAGGCACGACGAAACACACACACACAAACACACACGGACACGCATATACGAACGAAGAAACACACACACACACACACACACACACACACTCAAGGATTGATTGTACCAAAGTCGGAAACGTAGAAGAATTTTTGTGGATTTCAACTTTCAGGTAGACTTCACTATAACCTGAACCAAATATTTCTATTTTTCCACAGATCGAACTTATCCGGGTGGAGCAAGCGGCCACCGTGGTGTCTGTGGCTTCCTCCGCTCCCACCGCAGCTGTCTGGCCGCCGGCATCGCCGTGCTGCTGAGCCTAGTCTCTGTGGGACTCGCTCCGCTGACGTTTCTCAATAAAGAGGTAATGCAATATGTACTGAAATATGTACAACAAATGTGCAGGACAACCCAAGAAACCTAGGGGTTAATCAGGAGGGTTTCCCGTAAATACCAATTGCTTATTATTTATTTTTTGTTCATTTTTTTACTATATTTTGGCGACGCCCCAGGGGGAGCCTAATAGTACAAAACTGTGTGCAGTTGGCAAGAATGTAGATTTGTACAGGAATTTTACTGGAACTTTGCTGACACACATCTATGCCCACAGTCCTACTTATTAGTAAAATTCCTGAAAACCCTTGGGAAAACCTTTCTGCAGGGATGCCCTACCTTCCCGGGGCTCGTTCATCACTAAACACTCAGGGGGGGAGGAGTGATCTACTGAACTGCACTGTATCTGTCTAGACCTAGCAAGGTACATGTATAGAAAGTAGGGCAGGTTTTCCCAGAGACTTGCGACCTCAACTGTTATTTTCAACAAACTCATGACAGACCACAACGGGGCTTTCCCAAAATTATAATAGAGTGTCATGCAAACAATAACCCTAACAACAACCACCGTCGCCATGAAATTGTATGTTTTCATTGTCATAATCAGTCTTGTTCTCTATTGTATTTGTATTATTTATTACTATTTGTATTTAATACAATGGCATCACAGATTCTGTTTTCTAGATACTTTTCAATGGACATTGCTTCTTGTTTTTAGCTGTTGTCCTTTTATTGAAGCTAGGTTGAAGCCGCCTGTTTCTTTCTCAGTTTTGTTTTGTTTTGTTTTGTTTGGTATTCTGGCGAATAGGAAATGTCTCAACTGGCCACCACTGTTGACGGCTTGCAGCGTGACGTGGACAACATTTTCCAACAGTCTACCGCCGTAGATGCCGAAATTTCCAATCTTTCCACCACTGTTGACGCCTTGAAGCGCGATCTGGCGAGTAACAAGCGAGACCGAGCTGATGTTTTGCAGCGTCTTGGCGAGATGAGTAATGCTCTGTGTGAGTCTGTTGGTTAAAATTATTCTTCCTTTTAAGCGATTCAGTGCTCAGCAATACTTGTGACTTCTAATGATGTTTACCCATTGATAGTTCATCATTTTCAAAAGAACTGTTGTGTATCACTGCCAATACGAATGTCAGAGATATCATTTGCCTTCAAAGAAATTGAAAATATTTCACAAGAAACATGTGCGACTGATTTGATAATTTGGACAAATATATTTGTAAGCCATTTGCTTTTGCCTAGATTATGCAAATTCCTATAGTAATGTAAGCTTTATCCAATGTTTA